TAGTTCGTTTATAGCATAGCGTTAGCATTTTGCTTCTGGCGACTAGATTTATGATTAGAAAATGATAAAAGTAGGGTAGACATGTGGAGATTATCCGGCTGAACAAAACATGAGCCGTTTCTTAAATGCGTCTCAACCACAGACCTTATTTCCAGCTATTTTCCAAAATCGGTAGCACTTTACAATAAGACTACCCTTATAAAGGGTTTACGAATAGTTTGTAATTCATTTATTAATTAGGTTGTGAACACTTTATATATCATTAATAAGCTTTTATAAAACATGAGATGAACAGGGCAACTGTGACCGGTTGCTTGCCAAATAGTGAGCCCACATGTATCTGTACTGCTAAGCCTTGTATTGGCTACCTAGCTTACTTCGTCTTCTTCATCAGCCAGCATCCTTGGTATCTGTTGTTCACTGAGTTGATTCTCGCTAAGTAGCCAATATAAGGCTTAGTCATCTTGCCAAATAGTGAGCCTGTGTTGACGTATGAAAACTGGTTTATAAATGGTTCTTAATGATTAATAAAGTGTGTACAACCTAATTCATAACCTAATTATGAACCCTTTATGAATCCTTTATAAGGGTAGTCTTATTGTAAAGTGGTACCCCAAAATCTTATGGAGAAATTGCATTGCTTTTTTGACGAAGGAACCAGAAGGAGTTTACTTCCGGGTTTTAGGACGCGTCACTGTGGCACTCTATAGCGCAAGTGTTACATAGTGATGTCAGTATGTTATTGGAAGTAAATTGGAGTAAAGATGAGTTGTTTCCTGATAGAATAAGACACAAACATTGTTGTTCCTGCGCATTAGAAATGATTTGACAGACAAAAGAAAAAAGGAATATAAATATCTACAGTAAGACTTCATGTATGTGGTGAAAGGCAATTTGTCCCTGATGCAGTTTCACATAACTGAAGATTTTGTTCTGTGGTCTCATTTAACCTCCGTCTCCTCTCACAACTTTAGTTCCACTGAAGTTAAGCTCCATCTAAAACCATTGTTACAAGTCATTTGCCCTTGTAAACTTTAATTTAGATGAAATATAGATATACCCCCCAGTGAGACAGGATAAGGGACGAGGGGGTGGCAAGTCTGTGTGTGTGTGTGTGTGTGTGTGTGTGTGTGTGTGTGTGTGTGTGTGTGTGTGTGTGTGTGTGTGTGTGTGTGTGTGTGTGTGTGTGTGTGTGTGTGTGTGTGTGTGTGTGTGGGGGAATATCTAAAGAAAACCTCTAATACCACGTCTGTCGGACTGAAATAATTCCTTCACATTGTTCCCACGGAGAGAGACAGAGGAGAAGAGGGAGGGGTCGTTGGACGCGATAGAATACAACTTTTAACAGTTCAGCTCAGGACGAGGATGACACACACACACACACACACACACACACACACACACACACACACACACACACACACACACACACCTCATTACAAGAGCTTCCTCAGATGAAGCCTCTCCAACTGATCTTTTATTCACAACAACTGTCATGACGATGTTAACATCAGAGCTATCAGCCGGAGACACCACGGACTGAAATGAGTAATGAATTCGAGCCGTTTCTCGTTCACACTGCCGCCGTTTAATGCTGCTTCGGATATGGGTAGAAAAAGACATCTCGGAGGATGTAACCTCTGACCTTCGGGGTCCAGTCTTCAATCATGGCTTCAGAGCAGAATTTATTCTAATCACGTGTGCTCAATCTCAGAAAAGACTTCTCTCCACAGTATATTTTCCACACCGTAGTAGTGGGAGGTTTTTCCGAACAATTTCCAAAAGTAGATTTTTTTAATTCAGTGTGCCATGGATGACTGCTGCTGCATATAAAAGGGGGATTGAACAATTCAGTAGAGGTCTTTCAGCAGCCACTGCTTAAGACTTCTCATAAAAAATCCAGACAATTTATGAGACCAAATAATGAAGTGTCCCTAATTTATTGAACTGGAATAAGGGAGTGATTCTTCCAAAGAAAGCCTATTTCATAAAGTATTATAGCGACAACATGAGTGTGCTGTGTGCAGACTTTGTAATAAGAAGCTGCCTTACTCTACAAGGATGAGACCAAATGGGAAATACTGGAGGGTACACGCTCTCTTTCACCATGTCCCAGCAGAGAGGGGGACTAAAGTTTGGATATGGACTCGAGTCAAACTTCGCACACACAGTGACTTGAGACTTGTCCTCAAATTATGTTAAACTTGACAAGGACCCGTAAACAACAGAAATGTAAATGTTTGACAAGCTTCATTTCCCTCACTTAGAATCACACATTACCTAAATACTTGTAACACTTGGTAATGTTAGTCGACTCTGCATCCGTTTGTCTAACAACCCTTTCTACATTTAGGAAAAGAGGAACTGCAACATCACCTCAGAAACTGTAGCTGTAGTTTATGGAACAAGGTAAATACAGTTTTCAACTTCAAAGTTAAGATTGTAAAATGTGTTTTTGTCCTATTCCACAAAGTAACCTGTGATCATATTCCAAACAAGTGGCATTTAACATTCAGCAGCATTGATAATAGACAAAGGGGTTAATAATACAGTAGCCTACATACTCTGAGTTCCTTCGATATAAGCAGTGTCCTGAGCAGCCTGGAGGGCGTGCAGCAGATTATAAAACCCTCATTACAAACATAGGAGAGTTGACTCTGACTCTTGCAGTAAAAATTGCATCTCTGTATGACGGTCAAAACCCTGCATGATATGCATTACGTTGTATAGGTCAAACAGTAATTCATTGATTGACAGAAAATGTTAGCAAATTAGCAACTACTGTATTATGATTACCTGCACAAGTTAGATGCCGCCTATCACAGTGCACTGAGATTTGTTACTAACTGTAAAGCACTTACTCATCACTGTACCCTGTACGCCAGGGGTCATCACTGTATGCCAGGGGTCATCACTGTATCACTGTACCCTGTACGCCAGGGGTCATCACTGTATCACTGTACCCTGTACGCCAGGGGTCATCACTGTATCACTGTACCCTGTACGCCAGGGGTCATCACTGTATCACTGTACCCTGTACGCCAGGGCAGGTTTGCCTTCACTTACTTTACGGAGGCTCAGTCATTGGTACATGTTCATCTATAAAGCCATGTTGGGTAAACTCCCATCTTACACCTGCTCTCTGATCACACAGAGAGTTGCAGGTAGCTATTGCCTGAGATCACATGATGTGGCTTTGTTACATGTGCTAAGTGCAAGGAGTAACTTAGGTAAGTGTGCAGCTCCTCTTGCTTGGAACAGTCTTCAAACAGATTTGAAAGTGAGCAAATTGGTTCCACTGCCTGTTTTTAAAGCTCGGATAGGTGCAATGATACTTGATACTGTTGGTACTTGTCAATGTCTCTAGGTATGTAAATGTGGCCCTGTGAATACAATGTCCTTTTGTGTTATCTGTTGTTTTATGTTCATGTTGTAACCTACTTGCTGCCATGTTGGACAGGTCTCCCTTGAAAAAGAGATCGATGATCTCAATGGGACCACCTGGTTAAATAAAGGTTTGAATTGAATGAATGATTCATGGTTTCAGTGAGATTCTCTGAAACACTCGTCTCGAGGCTTCTTCGATGTCAGGACTTCTTTATTTTCCTCTTTTTTTTTTAATGGCTTTGTAAGTTCTTTATTCTTATCTGTCAAATATAAGTGTGGGCCTTGGGCTTTGTGGCATTTTTCAGACAAAGGGATTAATATAAAGAATCAAAACATTATTTGGCATAGTATTCAGTCATCAGAAAGAAGTTAGTTGCAGCGCCACCTTACAACATACTTCTTTACATTGAGAGATCTAGATCAATATGCAAGTTCCTCATACATGTAATACTTTTATACACAAGGCCACTTTTAGAGCCATCTTTTGTTTTGATTACAAATTACAATTTTCTTAATAATCTTAATATAATCTTTCGATTTATGAATTTGTAGTTAATGAAATATTGTGAGAATAGTTTGAATTTATTTATGCATTACATTACATGCCATTTGTTAGACGCTTTTATCCAAAGTGACTCACATACATTCAGTACTGTGGACAATCCCCACAGCAACAATTTGGGGTGAAGTGTCTTCAGGGACACAAGGACAAGCTGACTGCAGTGGGACTCGAACTTGCTACCCCCTGATTCGAAGTCCAGCACACTATCCACTGAGCCACTGTTTGTTTAATTTGATGGGAGACGTAAATAAATCAGCCAAAGGAAAAAAAAAGAAATCGGCGCCTGCAGAGCTTTAAATATCCTACAAAGAATGAGCCACGACAGCCACCTCAAGTTTTAAATGTACTTTGAGAGGATGTTCTCTGTTTAAAGGTCCCCTATTATACTGTTTTTCATCAACATATAATAGGTCTCAGATATATACAGAACATGTCTCTGAAGTGATTGGCTCCAAACACCAAACAGATCATTGCAGCATTACCCATAATCCCCTCTGTTTCAGCCCTGTTTCCAAAGTGCTGATTCTCAGTCTGTTACTTTAGATGAAAATAAGGAGCCCCTCCCCACGCCCCTCTGAGAGAGATTTGGTTAAAAAGAACTCAATGGTGCTCTAGGAGGAGATTCAGGTGATAAGGTGGGGGGGGGTTACCTTGGTTGCTGATTGGCTAATGGTTACACAAGACAAAACATCGTTATGACATCATAAAGTGGCCAAAATCTGCTCATTTTCAGACAGGTTTTTATATAAATGGATCAGGACAAAAAGAGAGAGAATCTTTGTTCCTGAAACTTTCAGAGTCTCTTTACACAGAGGGGACACATGTTGATGTATAAGAGACATGAAGAAGAGGGGACACATGTTGATGTAGAAGAGACATGAAGAAGAGGGGACACATGCTGATGTAGAAGAGACATGAAGAAGAGGGGACACATGTTGATGTAGAAGAGACATGAAGAAGAGGGGACACATGTTGATGTAGAAGAGACATGAACAAGTGGATGTTGCATGATAGGTCCCCTTTAAACTGCAGTACTGTTGCTTTATCTCACCTTGAGGTAGACCTGCAGCTGCTGGGACTGAGTGCGCTGCAGGATGTCTGGCTGCAGGTGTGTGAAGACGGCCACACACATGTACACCTGGTAGTCCGGACCCATCAGCACACAGGTGGAAACGTAGTGGCAGATCTCGGTCCAGTCCAGGTAGTTCCAGAAACACTGAGTCAACCAGTGCAGGCACATCTGAGGAGAGACAGAAGTCCAGTTTAATGGGATTTGCAGGATTTTTGTGACTGAGAATAAACTCGTTTTAGTAGTTTAGTAAATGAAGGAGAAATAAATGAAAATGAATGATTCTGTAATAAGAATGATCTACTTGATGCTTCTGACAATTAATGAATCATGTTTCAGACAATTATTCTCCTCCCTGTGATAAATCAAAGATGTCAAATATAAAATGTCTCTACACTCAGTCGCTCATCAATCTTCATAGCCCTCTTCATCATACTCTATATAATAAAAGGGAAAACATATATTCTAAAGAATTACAAATAACTATGTTGATAGCTGAGATTGCAGTAAAGACTTCCATCAAACCACCAAATAATTCCATGCATGCATGACCGTATGATTCATATTCAAACCATTTAATTATAAAAAGAAGCAGGGTAGTATTTAAAGGACAGGGTAGTAAATGTAGCACCTCTAGTCCTATCTCATACCAAGAACAGAGGCGCTAACATCTACCTAGGTTCGTAAAGTGGTATGCCGTGAATAACTCTGGGAAGAGTTCGATTTTAGTTGAAGATTTTACAATTTCATTGCCAGCAGTGTTCAACAACATTTACATTAAATTGTGCCAACAATATGAAAAGGAATGAAAATAAAAAATAGAGCTCTTTACCACACAAATATAAATAGTCTCTTCTCTTTGATCAAGAGAATTCAAATCAGTTCAGTTCGGTGTGTGTGTGTGTGTGTGTGTATATGTACTGCTATGGCTCTTCTACCCGGGTAGAGCTAATAGTGTACTGGTTCTTATCTGGATCAGATCAGTGTGAGTTCAGCAGGATTCTTCAAATCAAACATCCTCTGTAGGCAGGTCCAACGGTAGGCCACACCGCTTCCAACAACCGCTCACAGATTCACCGGGCTTGGCTCGCCATCAATCCCAAGTCAGATTGGATCTGGCTCGCTGACATCAATAAAAAACCAACCGGAGTTTCTACACTTACAAGACAACACAGGCTGTCGTCTTCTAGTTCGGGTTCACACAGGGGTTCTTGCAGGTCAGAGTTTCTCAACTGATATAGTTGAGAGTACAAATAACACTTTTTAAATACTATTATGCACACTATACTAGGAGCTGCTCGACTTATGTCTCTGCGTCTTCAGGGTGTTCACAGGGAAAAAGAGAGAGAGAGAGGCGGAGTGATTCGCTCATTACCCTGGGTGTGAGTGCTCCGTGCAGAAACAACATGTATTCATACATCTAAATGACATAAAGGGGTCTAGTAGCCCTATATTTCATATGGGTTACATAAACATAATAATAGTTAGGTTATGTTCATTTGAATTGGCAAACTCCTTGTTAAAGAACTCAGAAATTAATATGAAGAAGAATTATTGAGAAGTGGATTTAGAGGTCATTTAAAACAATGCACGCTGCTCAAGTAATTTAAGAGCTATCCCACAGACTGGGAACACAACAGCAAAAGCTAAATAACACTTCCAAAAATCAAGTAAACTAAAGTTTGCCAGAAGACCAGGGGGAGGAAAGTTCACAAATAACAAGTTGGGTACAGAGGAGGTATTTAACAAACTAAATATAATAAAAAAAAAATGGTTTCACTATTTCACAAGAAGCCATCCGTCACTGTCAACAAAGGTGATAACGTGGTTCTTTTTTTTAAACCAGATGGAGTTTTTCCCGTGGCAATTCTTAAAAAAGGTAAATACAAAAGAGGTACAATTAATCTGGTTAAAGAAGCAAATATTTAATGTTTACGTCAGTTTCACCAAACTCATCAAACTGACTGAAGAGTGCACTTGTGTTTGAAGAGATATGACCATTTGTTTTATAATCCATGGTCCTTAAATTGTCAGATTTCTTGTTATGCCACAATTATTCTATGCTCTCAGTATTAATTGTAAAATGGAGTTGACATTGTTAGCATTTCCCGTGACATTTACATGATGGAGATAATGGAGCAGAAGTGTTGGTTTTATCACCTGAGCCCCCGCTGATGTATAATCACACTCAGCTCTATACTGTACGTCTATATGATGTTCACTCGCTGACTAAGCATTTCTAAATGAGTCTTTCCGGGAACATTGAACAGCGTGGAAAGTGATAACTCACAGCAGTGCTGTATATTAAGGTGGGATTAGGAGACACAGAGACAAGGGGAAGCATGCTACCTCTCTCCTGTCCTCAGTGAAAACAAAATCCTTTCAAGTTCAAAGTGAGAATATATTGTTATCGACTCATTCAATCCTCCCCATTGTGCAGGCTGGAGCATAGCAACAAGTCCCCACAGTCCTTCCCTCTGTTGATGATATGTATGTCATGCAAGACATTTTAAAGATTTGAATTATCAAGTACTTTTTTTTCATTTCAGAATTAATTTAAGAGCTGTTTAAAGAGATTATGCTTTTGGGGGCTTTCCCCTTCCTTTAGTGTGTTCAGGGTTCTTACACCTTTTCCAAAGTCAAATTCAAGCACTTTTCAAGCATTTTCAAGCTTTTCAAGCATCTTACAGCTGTTGTAAATTACATATTTATATACACATACTTATACTCAAATGATTATTTCCCTACCTCACATTAAATCAGATGTTCTTTATGCTATAAACAACCAAATGTGTGTTTCATAATAGATGAGGATGAAAAATAAAAAATGTTAGAAAAGAAAACTAAGTTTAATATTTCAAAATGAGTGACCCATCTGTACGTAGACTGGGCATCCCATATAACCTGGCTGAGCCAATATAAAACAATCAGCCAAATAACTTTTCAATATATTATTGATTACTATTTTTGAGGTACTTTTAGGTTGGCAGTAAACACAAGTCAGAGGTAAATTGTGTACTTTTACTCCACTACATGTATTTAATACCTTTAGTTACTTTACAGATGTGGATGAATGATGTGAAATATAATCAAGTGTTAAATCAGACTTTAGTTCCACCTGGAGTAAATTCACAAGCTACTCTGTAGTATACAAAGTCATTCAAACTAGCTGCAACTTTACCAGCTTTGATAACACTTTCATGATCAATCATTATAAAACATATCATATATAATTATTAGGGATGCTCCGATCGCCAATTTTGGGGCCGATCGCCGGAATCAGTATCGGCCGATACCGCTCTCTTTTCCTCTCTCCCCCTCTCTCTCTCTCTCTCCTGACAGCCCGTCAGTATCTCCTGCAGCTCACTGATCCAGTAATGAGTGACCCGACAGTGAAGAATAAACATATTTATAACTAGTTTAGCTTGTTCCAGAGGTAGATAAAATAGCTAAGTGTGTTAGGTCTAACTCTTAATGTGTGTTCTGCTCCGCTCACCAGTCCGTCACAGCGGGTGGAGCTGCAGGATTTCTGCTTCACACACACGTTGCATACCGCTATTTTATTGTCATTTTCGGACACTTAAAATACTGCCAGACTAGTGAAGCCATTTTGGCGAGCTTGTTTTGCCGCGCACAGAGAAAAGTGTCATGTATTTTACATGCAACGATAGCCTAATCTAAAATGCTCTACTCTGACGTACCTTTCGTGTGGTGTGTGGCGTCAGCGCAGACTCTCGCATCGTTATTGTTGCACACTTTGCAGGAGGCTACTCTTGGGCTTCGCTTGACCCTCGTCTTAGCCATGGCTTGTATTTGTCTTCTGCTAGCCAACGCTCGTTGAAACGGCAACCTCCTGGCATACTGTCATCTATCACTCTCATCAGAATGCCCAGGTCACACACGTAACAAAAACACTTGCCGGTCACGCGCATTGCGCGGGAAGGCCGGAGCGAGCTGTTTTATGTAAAAGCGAAGCAATTAAGCGCGCTCCGACTTCTTTATTTTCTTTTAATCTAAAAAGCGAAGTAAAGCATTTACAATTTCAAGCACTTTATCCCAAATTCAAGCACCATTCCCAAAATTCAAGCACTTTTCAAACCTTGAAAACACCTCGTACAATTTCAAGCCTTTTCAAGGATTTCCAGCACCCGTACGCACCCTGTGTGTTGTATAGGTTTTTGTTTCCCTCCCATTGGACTCCTTTTTTACTTTTGAACATGATCACATCTCTATGTAACACTCGCGCTTCTATTGGCTAGTGCTCCAACCGATTTCACAAGATAGGCTAAGGGGCGGGACAGCTCTAAGCTGTTGACCAATCACAACAGAGCCGGCCAGCTAACCAATCAGAGCAAACTGGGCTCTGGTTTCAGACAGAGGGTGAAAAGAGGTGCTGCAGAACAGACAGTATGAGACAAATGAAGAGCTTTTTGAACATTAAAGCATGGAGACATGTCACAGTAGAGACACTACATACAAAAATAAACAAAAGAATTAGCCCCTTTAAGTGAGACTCCCAATGCAGGAGTACTTTGTCCACCGATGCTTTAAGCCACATGTGTCAAACTCAAGGCCCGGGGGCCAAATCAGGCCCTTGGTGGATTTAATTTCGGCCCGCACGATAATTTCTAATTACTATTAGATCTGGCCCGCCGGTATATTGCACGCTCACCTTCACTCAATCCTGAGGGTCTCCTCCGCTCAGAGCCTGACCCCAAACATTGATGAACTTGCACCCAAGATGAGATGCCAAGTATCTGGCTTGAACTAGCATCACAGAGCAGCACACTGAGTTTACATGGATGTTTCCTTCTGCACTTCTTTTCTTGAGACAACAGGGCATGTTTGGTTTTCTCTTTGAGGGAAATAGTTTTGTTGAAGCTGTTGTTGGCCTGTGGGAAAATGTAATCATAAGAAATGACTCTGGAAAATCTGCAGATAGAGCCATAAGAAATGAATGCAACTGATTATTTAATGTTTAATGTTGTTTTTATAGGCAATCATTTAAGCTTTGTTAGTTCCAGGTTTAATATGTGCAATAAGTTCATTTCAATAAGTTTTGCAATAAACATTGAACCAGTCCGGCCCTCGACTAGTACCCATTTTTAAATGTTGGCCCACTGTGTATTTGAGTTTGACACCCCTGCTTTAAGCACTGACATGTCTTTCATTTTTGTAAAGCACTTTGAATTGCCTTGTGTTGAAAGGTGCTGCATAAACTTGCCTTGGCTTGCCTGGCCTTGCCTTGACTTAACATTACACTTTTATAATACATATATTTTCCATTACATTTGACAGAAGCCTAAGTCCACGCACGTTCACACACAACCTCTATTTTATGAATGTCAGATGTGTATTGCTTCATTTGCCATTGCTGCTTTGTCAGGCGTTCAAAGCTCAAACTTTTGAAATAGTCATTTCCATTTCTGACGGAAGAATAGGTGCCCATTACCGCCTTGAAGAGCAGAAAGATGAGCTGAATGTTAACGTTTTACCCCCCCCCGGAGACGGTGAGTTCAGATCTTTGATGCAAATGCAGCGAGTCTTAAAGCACCCCTGCTGCCGAACATTATGTGAAACTCTGTCAGCCGCAGACACACAGCAGACAGGATCAAACACCAGAGGATTCGAGGTGAAAAACCTTTTTTCTACCCTTTTGTTTGCCTGTGTCAAAGGTATTAAGTGCCAAAGAATAGGTTTCTAACTTTTCAACTGCTCTGTTTAAAAGAAAAAGACAGAAAGGATAAGGAATCAATGTCAAAACCGCATTTCAAAATGAAGTCAAAATGAAGCAGGATGAAAAGGGAAGTCATTCACAGGGCAAGTGTCTCTTACTAACATCTTTAATGAAATATTCAACAACAGTGACACAACAAAATGGGCTGCCGGTGCTGACTCTCTTTGTGTGTATGCAACAACACCTAATCCAAATGCACTTCCTTTATTTCCTCCATCAGTAGGCATGAGTGTTGTTTATTGATCTAAGAGGCTCAGAGAATGGAAATTAGAAAACAAAGACAGAAAATAAAGAATGAAATGTTTGAGTTTAACTAATTGCCTGCTGGATAGAGACACACTTTTGTCTGCAAAGCTTCATCAGTCTTCTCTCTAAAGTGAATTTATATTATCACTACCTCCTGATTATCAACATTTGTCAAATAAATCAATACAGGGAATTAAAATGCATCTGTTGTTCTAAAACCTCAGCACATAAAGTAACGAATTAAGTAGAAAAACTACACTTCCAACTAGCATTGACAGTGTATGCATCGGTAATGTAGTTTAATGGACTTAAGTTCATAAATCTAGGAATATTTTTGGCAAACATATATCATAGAATAGAATTGAAGGGATGAAACCCCCTCTGTAATGGTCACACATGCAGAGCACACAGCACACACAGTGACATGTGTTCTCTGCTTTTAACCCATCCTAGCACCAGGAGTCTAGTACTAGGAGCAGTGGGCAGCTATTGTACAGCGCCCGGGGAGCAATGGGAGTGAGGGGGGAAGGGGGGTGTCCGGTGCCTTGCTCAAGGGCACCATGGCAGGGCAGGAGGTAAACTGGGACCTCTCCAAGTAGCAGTCCACACTCCATATTTAGGGTCTGTTCGGGGACTTGAACCGGCGACCCTACGGCTCACAGTCCAAGCCCCTACTGACTGAGCCACTGCCGGACATAATGAATGAACAAATGTGTGTGAAATAAGGATAATGTGATCGATTGGGGTTATTTCCTCATGCGTCATTGACAATGTCATAATAAGAAATACATGTGACCATTCTAATTGAAACAAATTAGCTTTAATTAAAAAAAGCTGACTCATTGAACTCTCAATTAACAAATAAATACAAATAAAACACTGACTATGAACCCTTCCAAGGGCAGCTTATCCTCTATGAAGAATTTATCCCATGCCTCATTATCACTTTCCAAGCTTAATTCTTATTTAATGGGATGCTGGCCAGTTATCTGTACATGTAATTAACGACTGCACTGATGTCTGAAGGGCGTGGTTACAATTCAATTAACTACAATCATTGAAAACCTTTTAAGAGCTAGTATTGTTTTATTTTATGTACATTTGACGCCAAAATAAATGCATGGTTATGATCGTCATATTAACACTGTTCAAAATATGTCTAATTCATGAGCTTAACTCCCCGTGAACTGACTCTTTGCATTCCTAACAAAGAAACAGGACTACAAAGAAATGTTCAATTCACTTCTGGCACAAAAACACACAATTACATATCGCTCAGATGAACAAGGTGTAGCAGCGTTGCGCAGATGCTTGTCGGCCATTTATTTATTCATTTGATTGTTAATGTTTGCTTTTGTGGTTTTAAAGTGATGGTACTTTATTTAAAGATGTGCCTGTTGTGACCAAATGTTCCTAAGGTTACAAATATATAACCTGAACCTGCACACTGTGATTTTGAAACACCTCTAGTCATTTATGAGCACACATCTACAGAAGCATGAACCATCCAGGAGGTCTTCTGGGACGGGTCTGCTCTCTGTTACAAGAGTCAGAACTAAACATGGAGAGTTTAGTTTGTACGCCCCGACCATCTGGAACAAACTCCCTGAATCCTGCAGGTCCGCTGCAACTGTTAATACTTTTAAATCCAGACTACAAACGTATCTTTTTGACGCTGCATTTGAGTGAGTTGTTCAAATTCAAACTGCAGTATGGCTTTTATTCATGTATTTTATACCTGTTGTGTTTATTTTATTATCTTTGGGCACTTTGGGTTGCCGTGTGCTGAAAGGTGCTGTATAAATAAACTTGCCTTGACTTGCCTACATCATATGAGGAACAGCTCAAGAGAGAAGGCTCTTAGTGACGTGTTGGTTACCTGTGACGGGGTGAAACCAGACATCCTGAAGGCGGAGTGAACCAGAGGAACTTCAGCTTTCAGCAGCATCTCCACGTAGTGAGCAGTACACCAGTACATAGGAGAGATTCCTGACTCAGCTACTTCCACAGGAACATGGATCTGTCCAGCAAACAAAACCAGAACCATTTTAGATTCAAAACAGAGCTTTAGATATATAAGTAGTGTCCAATTTATCTTGTTCTGCTGGGGGATATTTAAACACAAAACAACATCGTTTACAAGCTCCTTGTTCTGTATTCAGTGCAGATGAAAACAGTGTTGAATACTTTTATTCACTTTTATCGAGTAGTAAATAGAAATAACATGCTGTTTTGTGTTCCAATACAAGTTTCCCACATTCCCTGCTAAGCTCGCTGCTGACTTAATTATTTGTGCCCTTTCCATTTTCCGTGATATTGACTAAATCGACCACGTTGTGTAGTCAGACACTAACTGCGGTGTGGAGAAATTCACTGTGTGCATCCAACACACTGAGAACACGTAACACACGTTCAGACGAGTCCAATGGAGCTGTATTGACTTTGACAAGACGACAAGATTACAGAGGTTGGTCTAATGATTGCAAAACGTCTCCCCTGCAATTTAAAATGATTGAAACTAGACTTCATTTCAGACTTCTAACGCTGCTGTAATTTTGTTTTACTCCCTTCTCTCCTCATTTATCTCTTCTTCTTCCTCCTCCTACAACTCCTCCTACAACCCTTCCTCCTAAATGAGGCTGTTAACATTTGGGAGGTGGACTCTGTGGACATGCAGACACGCCTTATTTCATTTAGATTAAGTATAGGTTTTACTGTACTTTATCGAAAATGTCAAGGTATGGGCGTAGGGAGGAGGCTCTGTTTGACATAGATAAAGAAACTGTCAAATGTATAACAACCTACTGGAAAAATAGTTCATTACCTTAATTGATTAATTGGTTATCTTAACAACCTATCCTTACAAGTGTAACATGGAGATGAGCTGTCTGGAATAGGTTTTTTTGAGTACTTAATCCATTCAATCGTAATTTAAATGTTTGAAAATCCCCAATCTGGAAGTTATAGATAGGACCTATACAATTGATATTTTTCACTTAGGGGTTAAAGCAAGTCATTTCAATTATGTGTATGGTATTTGTACATTTGAAATGAATTTTCAAAGCTAATACATCTATACAAATGTCATCAATAAAATTACCAGGTTTGAAAAGGGCATTTTAATACCAAAATTGAGTCTAGAAGAAAATCTCAGGATAATATTTACGCTGTTCCAGTCTTTAGAAGAAAATATGTCACTCTACTAACTAATTTAACACTTACATGAACACTTTGTAGCCCACATTTACATTTGACTTTTTCAAAGGAATCTCTTGGCAGCAGCACCGTGACTGAAGTCTTCTCAAACCAAGACAGGGACAAAACATTAAAGCTGAAAAACGCTCTGTAGGATAATTCATGACTTTTTCAATGCTTCTTAAGAGCTAAGTTACTGCATATTCAAATCCTAAACTGTGCTAATAACTACAAATAACTCCCCTACGTGTATTGGGGTTACAGATGGAGTCCAAAACTAGCAAGCCACAGGAATGTCTGGGAGAAAATTAATTGTATATGCTACACAAATATGGCCAGGATCCGTGGAATCTTCGGATTATTGGGTTGCAGATTAGAATCCAAAGGGGGGTTTGTTGAGCATGAAACACTTGAAATAACTAAAGGATAAGTTCAAAAAGAAAGTAGAAAGAAAGTGAGGTCAAAGAAAACTATTTCTGCTAAAAAGTTAGCAATGATTGAGTCAGAGCTAAACATTTCAGATGTGTGTGTCTCACACTGCACTGTAACTTTAACGGTACGTCCACACGGCAGCGTCGCGTGCTTCAACGGAGACGCTTCCCATTCACTTTGAATGGGGTGACGTCACGCTTTGCCGAACTGCATTGTGGTTCTGTCGCGTCGCTTTGCCTCCGCTGCTCACTTCGAAAGTTGAGAAAAGTTCAACTTTTCAAGCGTCGACGGAAGCGCCAGCCAATCAAATCACATGCCAGTACAAGCTCTAGCCAATCAAACCGCGTGCTTGTGTGTCCGGGGCGGGAGATTCATGTGATTGGTTGTTGGTTGCACGCCAGACACGCCCACCGGCAAGCTTCAACGTGACGCTGCCGTGTGGACGTACCGTAATTCATGTACCTTTGTTATTCATGTTTTATTATCGTTGCTTTTAAATGAGTGTTTTTAAATGCCATTTCATAAGATGTTTCTTAATGCTCTTAATGTCTTTCATTTTTGTAAAGCACTTTGAATTGCCTTGTGTTGAAAGGTGCTGTATAAATAAACGTGCCTTGCCTTACACAGTACTGTAGTTGCGTTTGCACGTTGTTATACTCACAGAGGCATGTATCCTCGCTGGCCAGATGAATGCAGAAGTGAGCAGAGAGGACAGGTTGAGCAACAGCTTTAGAGAGCGGTCCATGTTCCCCGCCATGATGAGAAACACTGTGGAGGCCAGCCAGTCGTAGCCCGGATACCCGTCCTGCTGAGTGACTGGAGGCAGAGTTAAAGAGCCAAAGGACTGATGGAAAAGATACTCAGACTCACTGCTAAGCTACAAAAAAAAAAACATGTCTCCTTAGATTAGTTGTGCAACATGAAAGTGGTACATTGATGTGACAGATATATGTGGAGCCATACAGTGTTTATGTTATCTTAAAGGAGCCTTCTGTAACGCAAATGTATATAGCAGCTTTAAAGGAGGGGAATGTAATACTTTGCAAGTCAAATGAAATCTGAATGAACAACCTCTGCATTTTATTACCAATGAATAATCTAAAGAGCTGGGAAGGCATAGACAAATCGGACACATGTGGCCTTATTATGCTTTTTAGGGTGTTCCCTTTCCTGTAGTGTTATATAGGTTTTTTTGCATGTACAGTAAATGCTCTGCAAAGGCTAAAATCCCAACTAGTGCTCCAACACATTTTAGGTGATAGGCTAAGGGGCAGAACATCTCTAAGCTGTTGACCAATCACAACAGAGCCTGCCAGCTAACCAATCAGAGCAGACCGGGCTCTGGTTTCAGACAGAGGGTGAAAAGAGATATTTTTGAACATTAAAGCATGGAGACATGTCCCAGTAGAGACACTAACTACAAATATGAACCTAAAAATATGTCCACTTTAATATATTTTAGAGGATTTGAACCGATTGTGTCACATGAAGCTGATTCCTTATGTTGTGTTAAATTAAGCCGCAAGCTAATATCGCTTTTCTGTCAACTGCCACCGCAGCGAGTCAACCACAGAGCGAGTAATGCTTTGACAGATAATTAACCCTGTTACACCAGAGCATTATCTCATAGCAGAAACACATCCTATACTGTAGGATCCAGATCTCTTTTGGCTGTATTATTATGTGAATCGATGAGAGGAAAAACAGACTGTCTGCCTGGCTAGGGCTTAGTGGGAGGATTTTGGTGTGAGGAGTTGAGTGTGAATAAATGAATCATTCACTACAAAGACTCCCAGGTGGCAGCTCTGCATTGTGAACACCACATTATGCCAACAATTATGAATAAACACAATTCCAAACACCAATCAGACACTTAGGTTTTTAACTTAGAGCTTTCTTAGGTGGGTTAAACCGGATCTGGTGCATTTACACTTTTTAATCTAATTGTTTTTATAATTGTGTTCAGATTCTGCTAGAAGCATATGACTGCCTTCATGTGCAGGTCTGAGTCTCCCTTTGCATGAGAAATAGGAAGAGATTAGTTGGTAGTGAATGAAATCGAAAAAACAACCCCAGGCTATCGACACATAGCTTTTAATGTCTGGCTGCTGATTCGCTGCCTTTTAAATAATGTCAACTTTTTACTTTTGTTTTGGTAGAATGCCAAAGAAAGATTGAATATGCCCTCAAGACATTCACTGGGAATAATTTAACAGAATATAAAAATATGCTTCACAAAGTCCTGTTTTGAATACTGAAATGTGAGGACATTGAAGCCCTCAATAACACACACATTGAGTTACAAACACTTCATGCTCTTTGAAAGTGATTGACTGACACGCCTCATCTCTATTTGTAGGTCACTCTGTCAAGACGTCATTTTCAATGATAAAGAATTAATAAACCAAAGCCTAAAAAAACATTTTGATCTGCCATCACTCAAACTAAAAATAGACTCCATTTAACAGCTTCTCTCTATGCTTTCATGCTCAAAAACAGATCAGTGACTCAAAACTCAATGGACTTAAAGGGGACCTATCATGCAAAATGCACTTTTTGATGTCTTTTATACATAAATATGTGTCCCCTCACGCAGCGTCAGAAAATAAAACCCTCTCTCTTTTCCTCCGTGTGCAAATCTCTAAAAACGAGGCTACAACGGAGCTGATCCAGATTTGCCATCCGATATGAAGTAATGAAACGTCGCTGTATCAGAAACAATTCCCGACGTGTTTTGGACGTAATAGTCTTTGTTTACAAGCATCGCTAACACTCAGAGCTAACCTGTACTGGAGAGAGCATGTGTAAGAAGCAGGATATAAAAAGGAACTCACCTTGTGGTAAACCCGCAAGAGAGAAAGAATCAGCACTTTTGAAACAGGAAGTGAAATAGAGGGATATGAGGCATGGCTAGAATGGGTGATCTGTTTGGTATTTTGAGCAAAACACTTCATAGACATGTTTTTTATATATCTGAGACCGATGCTATTGCCTAAAAATAGCATGATAGGTGACCTTTAATGTCAACACATTTTATGTCATGCACTATATGTTGCATCCGGTGGATCTTTCTGAATCTTATTACTTCTCACTTATCCATAACATCCATGACAAATCCTAGTGGCTGTAGTAAACCTGCGATACGGCAAAATGACCATGTTTGCTCGGTAAAAAAGATCTTCACTACCAAGTTGTTCATATTAGTTTAAATGTCAGCGTCGTTTGAGCATGAGAGGGAAAATGTCAGTGTGCTCTATATGTGTGCTGACTCTTTATCTCTGCTCAGTGTTTTCATGTTCAATTGTCCACATACAAAGGGGAGACTTCCTGAAGGAGAAAGGAGGCCTATCAGTTGCTATGTGGCACAAAAGGACGCTGAATTATTCTCTGAGACACAGATGAGAAAGATAATCCGTATTGTGTTGATCAGACAGAGACGGACACTATCAGTAACGAATGTTCCCTCTCAAAGACTGTCCCCTGATTGATTACAATAAAACTCATTGCATGAAAATGAAAATCAACTGATAGCGTGTGTCCAGATAGTGTATAAGGGAATATAGCATTTGTAAGGGTAAAGGCAGAATACTTTTGTGTGTATATTCTTTACTGTGGTTATTTTTGCAGGGATTCTTTTTCTCTTTTTCCCAAAGATTAATAGTTTATATTGATATTACACATTTCTAGGTTCCTCTTTTAGAAAGTTGAAGTCATCAAAATGATTCCTAATTATTATAAGATTCGGCAAACTTGTTTATTAGGGGGTATTCACTTAACCCTCCTATTGTCTTCGTTTCCCCCCTCCCCCTTACTTTGGTGTTCGCGGTCAAATTTGACCGGTCCTGTTTAAACTGCCATTACATTAACACAAAAACCATTAATCATCACCAAATTTCATTTAACACCAGACTACTGGTATACATGAAAAACTGCAGTAAATATACAAAGAATAGACACTGAACATGTATTGCGTGTGCCAGGTGTGATCCATGTGGGGGGATGGGCACATAAGAGCGGGACATGTGTCAAATTGTTCTGTGTGTGTTTGTGTGTGCCAGGTGTGATTCACATGGGGGGATTGGGCACATAAGGGGGGGGGAACATATCTAGAGTGTGTGTGTGTGTGTGTGTGTGTGTGTGTGTGTGTGTGTGTGTGTGTATGTGTGTGTGTGTGCATGCGTGCGTGCGTGCGTGCGTGTGGGTGACCGGGAACACCATGGGTGTTTCAAAGTTGACTAAATCATCCAAAATGCAATGAAAGTGGTGATCAGTTGTTGTAAAACAAAAAAGTTATGATTGATGAAAGTAGTCAGATTTTACCCGAAGACAACAGGAGGGTTAATTGTGTAATCAGAACTAAATGTTTAACTGTCCGAAATTGTCTAAATCTGTGAATATAGAAAATAATATGAATAGACATAGTTTGCTTAGCAGGATACTAGTAAACTTCAAAGCGTTATTCCACATAAGTTAAATATAAAAATGTAGTTATATGATATGTTGAAGGCTCAATTTAAATGTAAGTGACACATATTTCTACGTTGTGTCCCAGTGGGATATGCAGTGTCTCTTTCTAGAAACACTTTTGATTAATAGGCTTTACATGGTCATTGATTAAGGTTATGGTGGGATTGGTATGATCATGTTCGAACACAAATCCTATACTAATGTAACAGAACAAATGATGTAGCACAAGAAAATGTACAAAATGGTTGTGAATACGTTTATAGTGACACTTTATAAATGTGCCGATGTGGCGTTTGTAAAGGATACTGAGCTCTGACGCAGTTGTTACTCGCTGCGTGGACAAGAAGATCTTAATATTCTTCATCAGCAGCGGCAGGTCGCTCACAGCATCTTCTGTCAGGAGCTTCAGGTAGCTGCCGTATCTGTACGAGAAAAACAGAAATAATGTTCTATATGTTATCTACCAAATCATCTTACATAAATGTGTCTGAGCTATTATAACAGTACCACAGCCAAAGGTCTTTGGGCTTATTCTGAAGGGAATTCCTTTAAATACAAGTTCATTTGTTTACTATTAAACAAAATCACTTAGCTATTGTTCATTGCAACCAAAACCCTGTTTGTTTCACTGTAAAACCAAAACAAATAAGTTGTTTTTCTATGAAATCTTACTAATGAACTCCCCTTCTTGTACTCAAAGGAAAGTCATGCAACACAATGGGAGATATATAAACAAAGAGACAAAAACGGAGGCCTCAGGCAAACACATAGAAGTACTCATCAATATTGAATTCAACAAGTCCAATGTCTTTAGATTAAACTTCGCAAGTCTGACACTTCTAAGGAGAGGATTAACTATAATTCATGTCCAACAGCTTTTAATCCTATAAAACACATTGCTCTGTTGAAAAATGCTAACACACTGTTTTCTGACGATGCAGGAAAAACGCAAACAGCTGTGTTTCTGAACCTGCTGGGAGGGATGTTGAGAACTTGTATATCAACTCTGTAATGTAGCAGCGGGGTGTCATTAAGAAACATATAGGAGCGATGTCAGAACATAACACACGTCAGAGGGCCCACCCATGGGAAAATAAAGAGCAGACTGAGTATTATGCACAGCAGGAGGTGCATTACACACATTCAGTAGGTGTGGGTGGTGTAATGCTACTGTTGGAGCAGAAGGGAATACAAACTGTTCCTCTGTGTATGGCAGCATGTTTTCCTGATGTGTTAAAACGGAATTATGGACAGGTGTTTTTTTAAGTCCTCTGAAGGATACACTCTGGGCCTTCAAAACAGCCAACAAAGGCTACTGAAGTGCGAACATGTTTGTTGTGGTTGCACTCAAATTCAATACCATGTCTGGAGAATTTCTCTATTTATTCACCCTTATGGCCTTCTCCATTTTTCAGCATTGTTGCAGCCAAAGAAAACAACATATTTTCTCTGTGAGGGATTGGCGACAAAACCTGAGGCCAGATGCATAAATGGTGTAAACGTTGTAATATTAAAAGCATCCTTACACATGTTCTCATTGATCCAGCTCAGTGTGATATGGAAGAAATAGGCGGGAGACTGAATCTTGCATGGTATGTTGAAGTAAAGGCTTTGATTTCATAGTAACGTTGCTTGCGGTAAGTTCATGATTGAGGTGAACTATAGTGGAAGTTTTAGAGGTATTTAGATATAAGTTAATGTTTGATGTGGGTCCGTCATGAATGCACTTGTAGCCTCAGGAAAACTAAAATGGAGAGAGTGTTGGGAAAATACTGAATGTTCCTTCTATATCAGAGTAGCACATGATAACAGAGGCCCTACGTAGCTGTGTACGTAGCCGGATGTATGACTACATGGATGACGCTCATGAGACACTCATCTCAATTGAATATTTCACCTCCTCCTGTCCCTCACTCGCGTCCCTTCCTTGCGTCTCAGCTCCGCCTCCGTAAGATGCGAGCGAGAGACACGAGGAGGATACGCGAGGACAGAGGAGTCCTCAGGTATTAATTGGGATGTCCTCGTTCACTCAAACGTCATTTTTAAACGACGTCTGTTAATGATGACATGTGCACAGCTGTATCCCCTCTCATTGGGCTTAACTGAATAACCCTTTAGAACCGTCCCATTTGTTGTTAAATATTTATTTATTTGTTAGTCAAGGAATTCAATGTATGATGGTTGGTCCTGCTTTTGTGTTAAATGTACGTTTAAATACAAATATAATTATAGTAATGTGAAAGCCTTTACTCTGAAAATGTGTGTCCTGTAGATCCCCACATTCACCACAAACCCACATTCAGGACTGTGAATTTTAAATAATTTAACTACTGAATATTTTAACACAAAACTATAAAATAATTGTTATTTATCAAGATCTAGCCATTTATGAAATAGCTTTCTTAATAGCTATGTTTTAGTGACGTTCAAGATCATTAAACATGACTTAAATTGTTAGTATAACCTTAAGAAATGAATTGTACATAATAATTCCCACGGAGCTGTGAGCACTTAGATTTATGTGACTATTTTCCACTCATTCTTCCAGTTCTCCGTTTTCCTCTGTTGAAATCGACCAGCTGTGAATGTGGGGGCGGGGCTTTTATACGCGAGTAGTGAAAACACTTCCGCGTAGTCTGCTCTCGTGTATCCTCCCTTTCGTCTCCTCTGGAAGCCTCCTCCCTCACCCCTCCTCGACTCCTCCGTGTGCATTTCAGCGATTGGGACGTCCTTCAACATGGCGTGTCTTGATCGATTTCCAGGTCAAGTCCCGGAGGAGGGGGAGAGAGGAGTCGAGGAGGGATATTGAGATGAACCTCTTGTGTTGAAGTTATGATGTTCCTAAGATTGGCATGATGACACAGCCCCTAGAGAGACATATGACTGTCATGTTTAGTGCTTACGCAGGTCTTAGCTAATCTTAACTAATGTCAGAATACTGCTTTGAACCAGTATTCTTCCATCTTGTTGACTGTAACACCCTCTCTTGTATATCAGCATCTGAAGGACTCTACTCTGGGAACTATTTGTCCCACGCAGCTCTGTGTGCGATGACTACTTCCATTCTTGCAAGGATAATAAATACATGTATCCTGATATTGAAGACCAAGCCGGTGACGAGTGAGATTTTTCTAACAGAGAGTAACTGAATTTCATGAACGATGTTGAAATGACCTACAACAGATTGAGGGTTAAGGTTGGTAAAAAAAACTTTTAAATATAGTTGTTATGAGATTTCCCGCCCCTCAGCCTATCACGTACAATGTGTTAAAGCGCTAGCAAATAGTTGGCGAGTGTTACATAGTGATGTCCCTATGTTGCGGAAGTAAACAAAGGAGACCAATAAGGGTGTTTCAGGTGGGGGAGTGTGTGAAAGACAAACTCCCTCTGGAGCAGTGCTTCTCAAAGTATATATATATTGGTAAAATTTCACATTTGAAATAAATAAATTCATTTAAGTTTTCTGCACTCTCGCGGGAATATCTCCGCAATGGAGCGAGCTTAAGTTTCACTTTTGATTGCATGATATAGCCCAGCGCAACACCTTCATCACACATGTTGCCACCTGTTTGTACCATTTCCAGGCGATCAGTAATCTGTTCTAGAAAAACGATGTGTTTTTGGATATTTGTGGAGTTAGGTGGTCCGCGAGTGTTTTTTTTATTGGTTAAGTGGTCCTTGGTATGAAAAAGTTTGAGAAACACTGCTCTGGAGGGAACACAGGGATTTTAGACTTTCAGACAATTCACATGCACACAAACCCAACACACTCCAGGAAAGGGAAAACCCTAAAAAGGCAGAATAGGGCCTCTTTATGGGTTTCTTAGAGTGGATACTGTCGAAGAGATTCACACGGCAGGTTTCTCCTCTCGTCCCAGGTTGCTGCTGTCAGAAGGCTGTCTAATTAAATGCAGGTTTATGAGCTATAGAAAAACGCTTTACGGTACATACCTGAGACAGGTGTTGATCCCCAGCTGCTCCACAGATGATAATACAGCACTCTGCACAGTCTTCTCCTCAGCTGTAAAACAAAGTGATTAAAAAGGAGAGGTGGTTATTACCTGGCAGAGAAATACCCAGAGAGGATGGCTGGAGGTTTTTCTGCAGTCCGTAGACATCTCTAACGGAGATCATTACGACCGTGGAGAGTGGGAAAACATGACAACGTATCATGACTTGCTGTTTTCAGGGCACGACAGATGAGAGCATGAGTCTAGGTAATGTTATATCTGGCAGCTTGACAGAGGCTGTTTGCCATTTAATTGTGATGTTTGCGAGGCAACAATGTGACTCGGAGTAATTTCACTAACAGTCGGACACGGGTAATTTCACAGCAGCGGTTTGACGGTTTAGTGCAGCGGAGTCCTTATGATATTAGGAGTGTGGTGGAATTTTGGAAGAAAATACAGCCGTGAGAAAGCTCTTTATCTCAGGACGTTATCTGTGGAGCGAGATACTGTACTACAGCAGCAGGGCAGCTTTAGATCCACATGAAACAGCTTTGTACGGATTTTTGAGCTATCAGTCTCACCAGCTGCTCTCATGGGCTCTTATTTAGCACCATTAAGAATCATAAAAATATATTAGTTTTTTGGAGTTACAGTTGTAATTGTGTGGAGAGAGTGATGAAAGAAGCAATAACTGCGGCAAGACTGATATTTTGTTTTGGAAGATGTTTCCACTGATTCCTGGCTTCGGGGAAAACAAATATTATTACATCTGAGCTAATGGATCCCCTGCTTCAGACAGTTTGTCGGAAAGGATGATGAGAAGATTTCGACAATTAAAAGAAGAAGAATTATCCAGGCAGAATCAGCGGCGGGGAAAACTTTCAAATCCAATTTACAGACTAATGGTGCAGAAATATGAAAGGGGACATGATAATAGAGTCGCTGTAATCTACATATTGAAGTGATAATTCTCCATTGTTCCCTTAAAAAAAAATCAAAGCTGAGAAATGTTGATTAATTACAGACCATCACATTTGATATTAATTGGTAGAAAATAGCCTGTGATTATGAGGTAGTGCCGTGTTTTCTCTCTCTCTCACTCTTCTCTCCTCAGATATTAACATCTCCAAAAACCTCTCGCTGATGGCAATTACTGCCTAATGGAGATGAATGCTCTCCTGTTGTATGTATTCCCTCCCTCCTCATTCCTCTCTGCTCCTGTCTCTCCAGCATTATGCCAGCAGAGTCTATTTTACAGCTTGTAATAACTTTAATCACAACCATTTAGATTGTTTTGCAAAGACTGACTGGTGAACGATTGCACATTAACACTCTCTTTGACATTAGTTGTAAAACTTTTAGATGAGCACTAGAAGGAGATAACACTGTGTAAACTTTATCTACTGACAGTATATGGTTGAGAAATGCGTATATCTTTTATACATGTTCTTAAATAACTGTCCTCTTCTTTAAAGGGGCCCTATCATGCTAATTTCCCGGTTCATATTAATATTGTGTGCCTCTACGGCAGTGTTTCCCAAACTTTTTCATACCAAGGACCACTTAACCAATAAAAAAACACTCGCGGACCACCTAACAACAAATATTCAAAAACACATTGTTTTTCTAGAACAGATTACAAATCGCCTGAAGATGGTACAAACAAGTGGCAACATGTGTGATGAAGGTGTTGCGCTGGGCTATATCATGCAATCGAAAGTGAAACTTAAGCTCGCTCCACTGCGGAGATATTCCCGCGAGAGTGCGGAAAACTTAAATGTATTTATTTATTTCAAATGTGAAATGTTACCAATATACTCACGGACCACTAGGGGGCGCCGCGGACCACACTTTGAGAAGCACTGCTCTACGGTGACATGTTGTAATGCTTTAATGTTGAAAAAGTTCTTTATTTGTCTCATACGGAGGAAAGCAGTATAAGAAAAAATACCAGAGTGCTCTGATTGGTAAACTGGCCGGCTCTGCTGTGATTGGTCAACCGCTTAGAAATGTCCCGCCCCTTAGCCTATCACATACAGGGTGTTTCTCAATGTCGAGGAAAGCTGCTGCAGAGCCACTATTTCAAGCATACTACGTCATCGAGTGCCGCCGAAGGACTGTTCCAATGTCCAGCATACTTGGAATTCTACCGAGGCCGGCGTACTTCGTTGCGGGAAATTTCGGGGCTGCACATGTGTAGACTCCGCGGTCTTAAAATCCCCACAATGCTTTGCGCACGGACCAATTTCCAAATCTTTGGCGGAAATCGCGCTCCATTTAAGGCGGGGCCTCGCATATGACGCACACCTGCACACCTGTTAGCCTGTTCTTATTTTTCCGAGGCTAGGAAGGATTCTTGCATCGCTTCTGAAGGACCTGACTCGGAGGGACATGTGCTACCAAGCAAGCCTCCTCGACATTGAGAAACACCCACAATGTGTTGGAGCGCTAGCCAGTAGAAGCGTGAGAGTTACATATTGATGTCACTATGTTCGGGAAGTAAAAAAAGGAGTCCATGGGAGAAACCCCAAAAAACACAATAGGGTTAGGGTCTTTAAAATGTTTTGTACATCTTGTAATTAAATCATTATAATTAAATTGAATGCAAGTTTACTAACAATGTGTCTAAATTGAGTTTTGCTTTTGGCTTAAATACAGAAGAGAAGGTGTTGAAGAAAATCTATTTAAATTAGGATTTTTTTGAGAAAGTTTAAACCACCGTCTGAGCTAAGATGTTACCCTCCCATAAAAAGGTGCTCTCTCTCTCCCCCCCCCCCCCCCCCGTCTCTCTCTTTGTTTCTAGCCATGCTATTTCAACCGGCGGCTGAAATAAATGTTCAGGAGTCAGGGCCATGAAGGCTGAGGAGATACAGCTCAGAACAGCAAACTGACAGAGGTTAATGCCGGCCAAATGAGTCCGCTCTCTCCATACAACGGGAGCACTCAAGTAGGGCAAAGTGGATGAGACTGTATTCAACGTCAATCAAACTCTCAAGAGGGGCCTACCACCCACTACACACACACACACACACACACACACACACACACACACACACACACACACACACACACTTACACACACAACACACCACAACACACACACCACACACACACACACCACAACACACACACACACACACACACACACACACACACACACACACCATCAAATTACACACACACACACACACACACACACACACACACACACACACGACAGCTGCCTGATCTCCTCTGAAAGGAACATTACAGGGGGAAATGGAAAAGCAGCATGTGTGAGTCTGAAATAGAAATTACACGACAAACACTTTTGTTTTTAAAGCAGTCAGACTAACAAGGCAATTTCATAACCGACTCTTGGTGTGATCCTCGAGCAGAGAGTGCACCACTGTTTTCAGGGTGTTTTATACAACAGCTTTTCTGCAACTGTACTGACTTTTCTGCCACGATGTACTGTGTCTGTCCAAAAAGAACCGCTTAGATGTCGTAAGCAAATTAGGTATATGTCAGAGGCTAGGGATACATTGATGGAAACAAGCAAAAAAAAACACAATACGATATTTTTCTATGCATCTCATGAATAACCAAGTTTGAAAGACACACGCAACAGTACATTAAAATACCTGTCAACATTTAAATATAACTATTTACATATCTACAGATACCCACAACACGTAGGTAACTAACTACATAAGTCACCACAAAAGTAAATACAGAAAGTAGCCGAATGGATTTGTTAAAGTGGCTTCAAAACCAGTTGCTTACTACCCTCAAAAATGTAAAAATAATCAGAGATTCTTTGATTGCTGTGTATGACGGGTTGAAGAAATAATGAGGATGCTTCATCAAACAGAAACAATATTATTTTATTTTATTTTAGATACAAAACTCTTAACTTGCGTCCTTTTTGAATTGTTCTGCTGGCTCCACTTTAGTTCTCAATGAGTTTAAATTAACACAATTGTATTTTATATTTATGCCTGATTATTTTATCATTGTACATTGCTTACAATATATGGACCCTGCCGTGTTAAAAAGGACATCAATCTTACTGGACCTACCTTGATGGTAAGTAATATGAATGCGACTGATTTCTAAAAATGAAGTATTTAAACGAAATAACGTCATAAAGAGGAAACAACTTCAACAACTTTGAAGTGTGTGAGTGAACTTGATAAATAAATCATCAAACACTCAAATGAAGCTTCTTCATCAGCGTGGCCCCAGAGGACACACGTCTCACACTGATAAAAGACAAATATTTCATCCTTCATTGGAGAATAATAAATACAAGCTTATTGAAGACATTAAGCATACCCTTTTTTATTCACAGTTGTTCATTATTTAGACAGCCTTTCAGAAACATTACAGGCCCGCATCATCCGCCTCTCTTCAGGGTCTCAGGGACTTTTTCTGAGTACTTGCATACTTAAAAAGGCAGATCAGATTCAAAGATATTCAAGATATTTTCTTGCTATTCGTCATTTGGAAAGACCAACTTTGCAATAAAATGAAACAACATTATACATTAAAACATTTTCCTAAATACATTTAATTTGTTGTATGATACTATACTTACAATATCGAAATAGTGTACAAAATATGACTGTGGTAGGTTCTGGAAGACGGTAATGTGAGTCATTCACTTATTACATATATTTAAAATGATTGATATCAATATTTATTTATTTATAATTTAAATGTCAGAAAAAATACTTTTCATGTTTGAGCATTTTTTTTTAATGTTGGAACAATTAAGTAATTTAAATAAAAGGTCCTATTTTTTTTAGACACTTCACCCTAAAATGCTCCTGTGGGTATTGTCCACGGCAGTAATGTATTACATGTCTGAGATATGTAATATGTACAGGGCTTTGAGCACTTGTAAAAGCGCAAAAATAAATGCAATGAATAATTTTTTTTGTCATAAATTAAATGCTTTTCAAGACTTTTTAAGGGATCCGTTCAAATCCTGATACAATAAGAAGATAGATATCCAGCAAGACATACACCTGACAAATCAGACTACTCACTCATTTTGAAATCCCAATATTGTCAGGAATCAGTCTTCTCCAATGAAATGCAACCTTTTCCTCAATGTCCAAATGCAACCAGACATTTTGAAGGAATACCGTAGACACCACTGTCTCTAACGATGCAGAAGAATCTCTGACAGATCATCACGTTTTATTGTTTCATGCTGTACTTCATATTGGAGCAAACTTCCAGAAATATTGAAGTCTGCTCTAACTCACAGCCCAAAACTTTTTTGCTCTTGCTTCAAATCTCCCCTTGTTCTTTTGACATCTTCTGTGACCCCTTTCCTTTACTCCCTGTCCTTAAATCTATTGTCTTATGTACGTAAAGCACTTTAAATAAACAATAAATAAACCTATCATAGCCTTTGTCGTCAAATCTCCCAACCCTTACTCCAAAAATCTTGTATTTAAGGTGGGTGGTTTTTAAAGAAACTGTACAACATAAAGGAAATTTCGTTAATTTTGTCGTATTTTTTATCAATCTGGTCAAATAAAACGAAGTAGGACATCACAAAGCTAATTTCAGACATTTTGTTAAAAACATTCTATTAAGACTAGTATGGGATGTGAAAAAAAAACAGCTGTTGGTCAGTACCAACATCAATTTGACACAACTCTCTGTCCTTTAGGCCATTTTATGAGTTGTAAAAGCGTAACTGTACCGGGCCAAATGACAGAAGACTTTGCATGAGCATTGAGCACGAGCAGACTATGCATTAAGTCGTATGATTGCCAATTACAATCAGGAGATGTGTGAGGACAGCTGAGTTTTTATCATCAAGCTTCTTCCTCCATTAGCCGTCCAATCAAAACTGGAATGTTTTGCATTTTTATAACAAAAATGGATATTGTTATTTCAGTTTTTCACGCACACTTTTCTTCTAGTAGGGATTTGAATGCCCTTGTTCTGCCCGGGACGAGATTAGAATAGATTAGGAATGTAAATGCTTTCTGGCATTCTTTCATGGCTGGCATATTTCCCCTTCAGTTAAAATGCAATATTAAATAATTGACATCCGGCATGACAAGTAACTTTTGATATTACTCTAGTAAAATAAACACATAAGCATACTGTTCAAAAATGATTATATTACCATTGTGTGCTATGGACAAAGTGTCGTACATGACTTTACCTGCTTCAGAATCAACATATCTATTAATTTCCCAGTGTCTGTGTCAGAGAGAGGCAGCTGACCAAATGACACCAATTTGCTTATTTAATCTGTGTTCTCCTACTTCTGCCTTCTGCGCTTCACTGTAGTTTGTGCTGCTGTAAACCTCTTTGCCTTTTCGCTCTCCATAAATGCATTGTACTTGACTCTCTGTCTGATCTCTGCACTTCAGTGTATCCCCTCCAGTGCTCAAAGCAGCGGCAGTATCATCATTATAATAATAATATTACTAATCGGTGCCAGACGATGGCACAGACATCACAACAGTATTTGAACAGTACTGTAGAACCGTTGATTCAATTCAAATGTGATTTCCATTTTTGCCGTTTATGTATTTAAAGCTACAGTACTGTATTTGTTAATGTGTGATTATTTAACCTCCAGGGGGAGATTGCATGTTACATTTTGATTACACATACAGGACTAATTCCATGTATCCAGTTAACACTAAGGATATTTGGGAGAGGGATGCCTGTTAGTATTAAAGTAATACAGGAGAAAACGACTTTTGTTGTTGTTATTGCAACTTGTAAAAATAGTTCTCAGGGTTAAGGGAATGATGTTATCAAAATCTTTAGGATTAAAAAATGTAGGCTGGGAAATACGCAATTAGCAATTCAGTTAGCATTTTTTTTCTGGGTGTTTACTAATTAGCAGCTTTTTCTTTTGGAGCTGCCATCAGTCTGATCAGGTTGTTTAGCCCGTCGGCTACCAAACACACCAACCCACTAAAACCATTCATCGTTTGAGTTGGGGAACGTAACTCAGTTTCACCTGGGGTAAAACTCTGCTCTAGAAATGAGAAGAAATGAGAAGAAATGTCTCCATTTGTTTCCCCTGCTGCCAGCCTACAGGGACTGTCCCGACTTTCACACAACATTGAAGAGCCGCGTCACCCGAGACACATTTATCCAAGTAATATCTGAATGTCATTTTCATAACCCAGAGAGTAAGTAACAGGACCAGAGACGAAAACATGAGTCTGTTAATGCGAGGATCCTGGCTCTCTTCAGGGACCCTTTGTTTTGTTGGTTTTGTCTGTGACTAAATTGTCAGGAAGAAAAGTGAATGTGTTGCTCTTCTGCACTGACCTTTGTACTGCGCCGGAGAGAAGAAGCACTCGGAGGCAGAGCTGGATAGATGAGCCACAACCTTCTCCAGAAGGTCAGCCAGCACTGGGAAGAAACAGTACACACACATATATATATATATATATGTAAGTAAAGCTCCAATAAACCTTGAATTCAAATGCAATTTATAAATCTAAATGATGCATGAGTGTGCATAACTTCCTGGTACATACTGTACAGTACTAAGCAGCCATGTAAAGTGGAAAGACACATTTCCTGTGAATAATACAGTATGCGTGTTTAATGTAGCGATAACTAAGCCAGTGGAATAAAAGGAAGGCCGAAAGAGTCCCTAGTCAGATGAAGCACGTCTAAATCTAGTGCAGAGACGTGTCTGAACAGAAGATCATGGTTCAGCTGCTAAAACATGTTGACAATAACACCACCGCTACACTTTGTAGTGAAATGTGCATCCACTCGTATCTATTTACAGCTTCACTGCCCCTGATTGTCCCGGAGTAAACCCCGACAGCTTTTAGTGTCATATCACTGCTGTGCTCGGAAACCACCCACAGTCTCTGGAGGTCTGACTGTGGGACTTAAAAGAAAACATGTTATCTTGTAAAAGTAATAAAGATAATACGACTTTACAAGAATCTAGCAACACAGGAGTTTTATATATTTTCTTAGACATTCTGAACTGATCATAACTTTAATGTTTGCTTGAGTGAGTTTAAATGTATTAAGTTCAGTCAATGGCAGTAGAACCGCACAGAAAATGTGACTCTCTGTAGTATAGAGAGTGAAATACCAATCTGGCAGCTGTTGCACCACTAGCTTTCCTAAATAGTTGCATTTTGGAAAAGAGAGAATGGGTGAGGTAGACAACACAACACTGAGGTTAGTTGTTGAGAATGTGTGTATATAAGAAATAATAATCAGTTCCTCAGTTAACTATATCCTATAAATTGATGTTCATTATTTTCTACATTTATTTTCTTATTTGATGATTTTAAATGTATGTATTATAGTTTTAACTGTATTCTATTCTGTTGTGTATGCATTGTAAATATGTCATTAAAAAAAAATAGATGCATTTTGAGTTATTTTCATTTAGCTGCATTTGTTCACTGTCCTCCTGATCCAATTATTTTCTTGCAAGCAATGCAAGGCACAGAACATCGAGAGAAGCCATTAAAAATCACACTTTTTACAACAAGTACTACTCTTTTTTTTTACTGTTATATTAATACATAAGTGAATTGAGTGGCATGAATAATGTATGATGTGTTCTACACAATGGCTCTTACACAATAACACTTTTTGCACAGTAATGTTGAAATCTCTATGAATCATTTAATACATTTTTACAGGATCGAATGTAAACATTAGCTTCACCTGGCGTACATTCATGCAATCTAGCACAAAAGCCCCACAATAAGTGTTCATGTGTTAAGTAAGAGCACCACTTCTGGTCTACTTGAAGTACTGCATTGAATGTGTATCTACTGGTTAACAACCATTGGAAAGCCACTTCCTACTAAGCCTGTACCTTGAGCGGCCCTATCTGGTGCTTTACTTGAAATGGACTTTTCTTTGACGATAGAATGAGCTTGTAGTCGAAATGAAAAAAATAAATGTACATTAAAGGTAGGGTAGGTAAGAATGGAGAAACCAGCTCGAGTGCGCTAGAATTTGAAAGTACGCAGCCGTAAAAAATCTGCCCCTTCCTTCAGACTTCCTTACAGAGCCCCTCCTCCAACACACACGAACGCGCACATGACCAATGAGGGCACGAGATAAGTTTGTGCACAGATGGAAGGCTGACAGGCAGGTAGGCCATCCAGTTATTTTAGCCGGGCCGGCTTAAATGACTGGTCGTGCTTTTTACAGTACTACAGCTTCCACAGATGAAATTTCTTTATGTATTTATTGTCAAAGCACTTAATGTATTCATTGCTATCGGGATGTTAAGAGCATTCCATGGAATATAACAAAAAGTGTTTCTGAAGTGAATTACCTACCCCACCTTTAACTCGGATTCATGTTAGCTTAAGCACCACACCGATCCTTCGTTATTTATATTATTATACATGGTAAATCTTCATGCAATTGCTTTACATGCAAAAAAGCAATGAATGCACAATCATAACAATGCAACCCAGTGACTCCGAGCACCAGTGAATGCATCTCATTGACATGCTGTTGAGGGAGAGCAATTAAGCAATCGATTCGCTGACAAGATAGTGAGGTATTGAAGTTGCAAACAGTTCTAATCATGAGCGTTTTGATAAAGAGATAGTAAACGTAATCATTTCCATCTTGCAGCTGTGTCAAAGCCTGTCAGAGACAAGTAGTAATCACAGCGCCTTCATACGCAGAGCGCAACATAAGTAAATGTTCACTAAATTGCTTGGGAAGAAGGTTCATTTAGACCATAAATGCTACAATTTACTTCATTGAATGTTTCTTAAAATGTTGAATGCTAGGTCTGTGCGTGGTTAATGGCGTGCCAAATAAAATAGCACTTATGAAGCAGAGGGAAGCTTAAAGGATAATAAATCTTGATCATGGTCTTTTAGTGAAAAGCCCTAAATGAGCGCTTTAGTGTAAAGCGTGGATGCATTCACAGGCGGGGTTTTACAGCGTTCTGATGAAAGGAAGCAATCACTGTGCGGTGCGTGCATTAATGACAAGATTGTCAGCCCTCCTTCATGCTGGATGTATTTTTCTCATCGTTGAATCACAGCTATTTACTCCTACGTAAGAAAAGTATAGGCATCAGTGCTATGGTAGTGATGAGGAGTGTTTGAAATGTCCATGGACATCCGATCTATGTAATCCTGGTGAAGGGGGGTGTGTGTGTGTGTGTGTGTGTGTGTGTGTGTGTGTGTGTGTGTGTGTGTGTGTGTGTGTGTGTGTGTGGTGCACCCGCAGCATAATGGAATCAACATCAGCAGATAATGTAGTCAAATACAGAATCCAGCAGTATAGTTTGATTGAGTCATATTGATATGTGTTGTTGTTCTTACCACCTTTGGTTGCATGTAGTCTGAATTCATCCATTGTGTTTCGGTTTGCTTCTGGACAGTTATCAACTTGCTAGCTGTTAACTTAATCAGAACACATTTTATACCTAAAAGATCTCAAACTAATGGAACAATCAAGAAACGGAGAACCTTCCTGACAAGTAGGACTCTTTGCTACTAGAAGCATTTATGTATTTCAGTAATCTTGTCATTTTGTGTTGTGCATCCCATGCCTTAATTACCACACAGAGACTCATTCGCCTTTACAATCAACCCAATCGGCTGCTGTGTTATTGTTACACTGCTAGGTAAAAAAAGCCCAAGCTACAAATCCGTAGAGACCAAGTCAAGCAGTAGCTCACCCTTTCCAGTGAGGACGTTGGGTTTGGAGGTCATCATTTTGCAATACTGTCTCCGGCAGTCCTCCATCCAGCTCGCCTCATTCTTGGAGTCTTTAAAAGATGCCAGAAATGTACTCATCTCAGAGTCTGTTGAATGAGAAAACACTTTAAATGAGAAACCACAACATTTGACCAGTAATTTTTAAAAACTTCATCAAAGTTCCTCTCACCCTATTCAAAAGCATTTGACAAGCAATTGAAGCCTGATCCCCTTGTGGCCATTCTGGGGTCCACAAGTGACACTGATCTGAACTATGGCAGTGACAAATGGCCGGTGTTTTTGGGTACTGTTTTGGCTAAAAGATGATGGAAGTCTGATGCTGTGCCTACATTGGAGATGTGGCTGAGAGAGTTGGGTGAGATCCTCTACCTGGAGAAACTTAGATTCAAGAATGCAGGAAGGGCCTGGGCTCCAGTGTTGAGACACGTAAGAGGTCTGGGTGAGGATGAAGGTGTGGGATGAATGATCAATAATGTTAATCCGGTAACCATTTTCTTTTGTTTTCAATTTGCTATGTACATTTTTTCTTCTTCCTGATGTGCTCTCTTGGGTTGCCTTCTTGCTTCTAGCATGAATATTGCACTTCTTATTATCTCACCCATGGATGTGTTTTTAAAACCGCCAATAGCCTAATTGTACTAGAATGTTCTGAATCTGCTGTTTTGTTGTTATTGAAAATGGAAAATATGATTGCTTTGTTATACCAATGTGGTTTGTACAATACATTTCTGCAATACAAATATTCTTAAAAAAAAAAAAAGTTTCTCTCACCCTGCGAGTCACGGTGGATCTTTGGTGGGTCCAAAGTGTAGCAGGTGGGTAGAGGGGAGCTTGAAAACATGGGCCAGGGGTAAGGGTCCTCACCCTGAAATAAGCAGATAAGGTATTCACTAAATACACCATAATGCAGTTATTGTCTTACATTTCTGAGCAGCTCTGACTCATAATTGCTATGGGTGTTACTGTATGTATGTGTCAATATGTTGGATTGTTAGTTTTTGTTAGACTGATAATTAATTCATTACTGAGGATTGTCTAGCGCCAAGCTGGTAGCAGTTAATTAAATTATGTGTTTTTAAAATCTGTTTTCTCTGCGTAAATATATACTTCCTTTCTTTCTTAGTAATAACCCAGTGCCATATAATCTTGCATTCTTTACGCTTGTGATATCTTAGTTTTGAAGAATCATCTCTCATTTGAGTCATAACTCTGACGTGCCAGAATGATGTGCTCTGAATGTTAATGGGGTTTAGAAACAGGCCTGTTTATCCGATTGTCTGTGCTCTGCGCTCAGGATAATCCCTGTTGGTATTTGAGTCTGCCTCTCAGGTGATTTCCGGCTCTCACAACGTTCAAAGGAGACGCGCAAAGCCCTTTACGTTAGAAGGGAGCCTTTCTTACACAGCTTACATAGGACTCTGATGTAGGTAATCATTCTGGATGCAACATTATTTGAGGGACTTAACTTTGCCTTTTATTTCCCTAAAAAGTAAGTCATTACAAAAAGAAAAAACCCAAATGAATCACTTTCATAATGTTCCAAATGCTGCTTATCCGATACATGTGATTCAGGAGGACATGGTGAAAGTATTTCAAGATATTTAGAGAGAAAGATATCAGAAACAGCCTTTTAAAACCCAACATGTCAAATAACTGAGTAGTTGGACGAAGATATTTGGGGTTAGAAAGAGCTATTTTTAAATAGTTTTGTATGTCACATGACCATAAATCACCTGCAGCCTTACAGGACTGTTTAACAATGACATTTTGAATATTTGTATCAATATGAAGTGAATGTTTTAGCATGTTTGGAGTGTCATGGCTGTATCAGTGACATTCATTGAGTTTACTTGTAGATTGTAAATATTCTGACAGACATGTTCCCATTTCAGGAATAAACATTGTACTTAACACAATGATACTTCATTTCATTTCCCACCAAGTGATGATTCATCTTTCCATTTGTTTTGTAAATGTCTTCACACAATCAGTACTTATTTAACAGCTTCATGGTCCCTGTACTCCCAACAGGTGACAGGAGAGAAGATTAAAACGGAGCTGTGAAACACGAAGAAAACACTATGTCCTTCATATCTTATCCTTGACCTCAGCGTAAATGAGTTTCCAGCATCAACAACACGTAAAGAAGTTATATCTCTCCAGACACACTGAGTAAATAAAGCTGGAGGCAACGACTAAAGCCCTGCTGAGGGACAGAAAAGAAACAGACAATTATCGTAGTCACTTTAATCAGTGGCAATGATCAGACCAAGTGAAAACGAGTCACTTTGAAACAATGTTGTGAAACAGCGTGAGGTGTTAATGGGTTTGGCCTCCCCGGAATGATTCTCAGGAAAACAAAGGATAGTTCTTACGATTCGGTGGATCCTGACATGTCTTCATCTACTATTATATATACTAATGTATATTACTACTGTGATGTTTGTATAGCATTCAGCTTGCTCAAAAAAACTTGATTGGACTACTTTGTTTACCACTTTGTAACACTTACACTATTGGCTAGCGCTCCAGCACATTGTACGTGATAGGCTAGGCTAGGGGTGTCAAACTCAAATACACAGTGGGCCAAAATAAAAAAATGGGTACTAGTCGAGGGCCGGACTGGTTCAATGTTTATTGCAAAACGTATTGAAATGAACTTATTGCACATATTAAACCTGGAACTAACAAAGCTTAAATGATTGCCTCTAAAAACAACATTACACATTAAATAATCAGTTGCATTCATTGCCGGTTGAGTCATTTCTTATGATTACATTTGTCCACAGGCCAACAACAGCTTCAAAAAAACTATTTCCCTCAAAGAAAAAAACAAACATGCCCTGTTGTTGCAAGAAAGAAAGTGCAGAAGGAAACATCCATTTAAACTCAGTGTGCTGCTCTGTGATGCTAGTTCAAGCCAGATACTTGGCATCTCATCTCGGGTGCAAGTTCATCAATGTTTGGGGTCAGGCTCTGAGCTGAGGAGACCCTCAGGATTGAGTGAAGGTGTGGGTGCAATATACCGGCGGGCCAGATCTAATAGTAATTAAATCCACCAAGGGCCTGATTTGGCCCCCGGGCCTTGAATTTGACACATGTGGGCTAGGCTAAGGGGCGGGACATCTCTAAGCAGTTGACCAATCACAACAGAGCCGGCCAGCTAACCAATCAGAGCAGACTGGGCTCTGGTTTCAGACAGAGGGTGAAAAGAGGTGCTGCAGCACAGGCAGTAAAATAAAGAGCTTTTTGAACATTAAAGCAAGGAGACATGTCACAGTAGAGACACTACATACAAATATGAAACCTGGAAATCAGCACATTGTGACACACAGCTGACCTCTTGCAGTGCTCGAGGAGGAAGCTTCCTCTCAGACGGACCGCCCACCGCACTAACCCGAACCAGAACGTGATTCCTCTCCACTGACAGGTTGTCTATGATGAACTCCCTGAGAAAGTTTAACAGGAAGGAAAGAAGATTAGAGAAACAACTTTGGTCATGCTAATTATATGCAACCCCAATTCACTAAACTGCAAAACTTCCTTGAGAAGTCTTCTAAAAGACTGCATGAAGCATCTGAGGGATTATAGGACTGCTAGAAGACGAGTAAGAAAAGAAAGAAAGGCTTTCAATGAATGAATATTAGATACGATCAGAGAGTATTCTAATTATAAAGGTACTTCAGGTTTGTAGGGCGTCCTTCTCAGTGGATAGTTATTATAGCTTAGGCAATTTGGAACTGACATTTAGTAAGAGACTATTTTCTTGGGCAGTTATCTTTCAAACGGCCACAAAATGTAATTTTCACAAATTTCTTTGGGGATAAAATCACTCAAAGCTCGCACAGCAGGGGTCAAATAAAATGCGAGATTGCCCTTACAGAGGTGAATTTGGGTGTCCCGGATATTGAAAAGGTCACAGCATAAAACATATAAAGAGTAATGGGGGAAATGAACGACTAAAAGATGTCATCAAAAATCAGATGAAAGAAGTACATTTGAGTAAAAAGGAGAAGTAGATGATGATGTCTGTGATTATAATGACAGCATGAAGGGAAGAAAGGGCTTTAAAGGTTGATGGAAGAATGAATTAACAAGTCATCATTCTCCAGAAGTGGAGCCAGGACTCAGACTTGCAATTTCATTTTTGAGCCATTTCCATTCAGAACCAATAGCCACAGCTCTGCCAGGCAGCCATTATTACCGAATGAGAGAAAGCCTCTTGAACAGCCACTTTCAGAAATGGGATTTTTACTTATATCATTATTTCTCTGACAAGGCAAACAAACAAACAAACAATTTCTCATCCCGAGCAATGATTACATTTGAAAGTGCTCCGTCACATCAGGGTGAGGAGACGAAAGCTTCAGCTGAAGGAGAGTACGAATAATATTGTTCTTGTTCAGTGTGTTTAATGTGGAAGCTATTGAAAAGTCTAAATGTCAGTTCAACTTTGCTATTGCTGGAGTAACCGTAAATCTCTTAAAATATATTTATTTGTTTTCTTTCTGAGCGTTTCATGAGAAATGTATTATCAAGCTTAGGGCTGTGCAATTAATCGTATTTTAATCTCGATTACGATTTTGGCTTGCAACGATTACGAAAACAATGTAATCGAAATAAAACGATTATTATTTTAATTAAAAAAAAAAAAAAAATGTAATTATTATTATGTTTTTATTGGTTTTTCTGTTGAATTATACTTAAAGTTCAGGGTAATCAACTGTTAAAAACATACTGTTTAAAAAAAAAATTTCAATATATGGATGTTTTCAAAGTAAATGGATAATCGTTTTTAATAATCGTGATATCAATTATTGACCAAAATAATCGTGATTATGATTTTTGCCATAATCGCACAGCCCTAATCAAGCTAATGTCTGTGTGCTAAAATCAGAACTGAAATCAAGATTATGTTAGCCTAGCTTAGCATAAGACTAAAGGAAGGAAGGAAATGACAAGCCTGGTTCTTTCTAAAAGTTCAAAATGATACTTACTAACAACTGTGGTGGGTGTAGTGACTGAGTCTGAACATCATCACCATGTGTTTTTGAAAGTGAGAATACCAGTCTTTGTGCCTTTACAGAAACCTTTTCCAAATGTTATGTTAATAAGTGAGATCTAGAAGTTCTTGTTATTGTCATTTTGAGCCAGGTTTGCCTTTGCTTTCAGGCTATATGATAAGCTAAGCTGACGGGCTAAGGCCTCATAGTTTATGCACAGATATGACATTTAGAGTAATCCTTTCATTAGTCTCAATAACAAACTAAATTAAAGTACAAGACTGGTGTTATTTTATATTATAAACTAATAAACAGACCAACTCCGTCCGGCAGTGGCTCAGTCAGTAGGGGCTTGGACTGGGAGCCGTAGGGTCGCTGGTTCAAGTCCCCGACCAGACCTAAATATGGAGTGTGGACTTCTACTTGGAGAGGTCCCAGTTCACCTCCTGCCCTGCCGTGGTGCCCTTGAGCAAGGCACCGGACACCCCCCTTCCCCCCCACTCCCATTGCTCCCCGGGCGCTGTACAATAGCTGCCCACTGCTCCTAGTACTAGACTCCTTGTACTAGGATGGGTTAAAAGCAGAGGCCAAATTTCACTGTGTGTGCTGTGTGCTCTGCATGTGTGACCATTAAAGAGGGTTTCATCCCTCCCTATATTATTAAAACAATAATAACACATTAGTCAGTCTCTCAATGCTTTGTGACTTCCGTTACATCCATTATGATCATCTCTAAGTGCTGCTGTTCACGTCACACACTTGGAAGAGTTGTCTAAGACAATGATGAAAAGTTATCATATGAGTAATAATTCATACTTGATTGTATTGTTATTTCGGATTTATGTCAGAAGTCACTTTTGATTTGCAAGTCATAAACGCTTGTAGAATCTGTTTTATGCCATACTAGTGAGTATTCATTTAGTTTCATGCTAAGAGGCCCACCTATAGGAGGCGTGTGGCGCAGTGGATAGAGCCTTGGTGTTGGGATCAGGGGGTCACAGGTTCAAACCCCACTGCAGTCAGCATGTCGTTGTGTCCCTGAGACACTTCACCCCAAATTGCTCCTGTGGGGATTGTCCACAGTATTGAGTATGTAAGTCGCTTTGGATAAAAGCGTCTAATAAGTAACATGTAATTATAATGACCTATCACCATGACCAACAGTCGTCTACATTGTGTGATATCAGCAGAAAAGGGTCATGGAACCTGGGATTATTTAAAGTCTGGGAGGACAGAAGATGCAACATGACACTGCATGAGGTCAGGAAGAGTTCAACTATGCATGCACTTTGAGATGTATATAAATTCTGAGATGTTCTTGGTCTGTAGGGCATTACACTATGAACTGTTTTGGTGCAAGGTAATGTGTCTGTTATAGTGCTGTACAGCGATATAATATTTGACTTCAACCATCTCTGTGTTTGTGTTTTATTGATTCCTCTCTGTCTTATTCTTTAATGTTGTGAGTGTTACATCGGATCCACAACACGCTTAAATGCTAATCTCTGTGAATAACAACCGGTCTTTAGCTCTCTGTTCGCTGGTACATACCCATCATTGTCCTGCTCGGTGCCGTTCTCCCTCTGACTCTGCAGCAGCATGGACACGATGTTATACTGACTCTCCAGCAGCAGGAAGGAGTCCAGATTACAGCAGAGCACACTGAGCAGTCTGTAGACACACACACACACACACACACACACACACACACACACACACACACACACACACACACACACACACACAACACACACACACACACACACACACACACACACACACACACACACACACACACACACACACACACACACACACACACACACACACACACACACACACACACACCACACACACACCACACACACACACACACACACACACACACACACACACACACACACACACACACACACACACACACACACACACACACACACACACACACACACAAAGACATCATGAACCCAGAGGGGACTGGCATTTTGTCATACTGTAGCAGATGGCAGCACCGGGCAGTACAGACTGTATCGCAAGAACATGCAGACCACATTTAAACTGTCTGTTTCCCCTGGTATTGTATGTCTGCAGGTTCTGGATCAGTCAACGCAATTTCCACCATCTCGCCGTGGCAAATTGTAAGCTTTGTTAAGTAGGAACCCCTTGGGAAAAGCGTCATGGTTCAATTTGAGTCGCTGGTAATGACACCAGGCTCAAGCAGGCTGTTGAGCTGCAGCAGCATTTTGGGAGACCAAAGTGTGTGTTCGCTCTGTGTTTTATATGATCCAGCACCTGTAGAGAGAACAAGCTTCTTAACATATTTTAATGAAGCATCAGTACTTTTTAAATCCTGTGTTACTGATGGTCACAGCAATTTTTGGTGGAATAATCATACAAATCCCAAGGGAACAAGCGTTAGAAATCGATTCCCCCGTGACTCACCGTGTCCTCCCATCGGCACTAAAGGTCACCTTAATTTAGACTGGATTTAAGTGCCTATCAGAAAAGCTCTGCGTGTGTCAAAGCCTGTGTGCACTGCAGCACTCATAACACATCAGGTCATTCTCATATTGGCTGTCTGCTATGTGCTCTGGCCCTTCAATAATGTGGCTAAACTGGACTTTAAGACTTCTCATCATAAATATGAAGATACTCCTCGAGTCTCTCCTGTGTTAACCACTCTACACCCAACAAACTCTCTATTCCAGCGCAATTAAGGAGACTACTCGAACAAATTACAATGAGAAATAATAAATTATGCGGTCTTCACAAACACAGTAAGACCAATTAAGTTGTAGAAATGGTGCAAAAATAGTACTATTATAAAAACTATGGCAACAACTGTTGTCAATGATGGCAGGTGCACAGGGACTTTTTGTTGACCGCAAGATTTATGATTGCTTTGATCATTATTATTACAATGTCTATGTCTGATCACCGCGTATTTTTCATTAAACTACATTACAATTCAACAGAGTTTTGATCTCAGCAAGTACTCTTTTTTTAGCGTGTCATATAATATCAAACAGGCCCGGCCTCAGCCTCTCAGCGACTTTGTTCGTTTCCTGCTGTCGCTATATTTTCGTTAACCCATTAATCCCCAGGAAAGTGAAAATGTTAAGTAATATTTGTTAACGTCCCTCTTGAGCATAATCATAACAAGCCATTACTCAGGTAAAATACTGAATACTGAAGGATTTTCCAAATGATTCTGTTTGATATGAATCCATAACCGTCTCTCTGCAGATAGACCTGATGCTCAGGGTCATGAGAGTCTTTAAACTAGCATATATGTTTTTAGTTAACTCCTACTTTGTAGATGCATAGTATGACTTGCCTATTGGTGTATTTTCGGAGAGAGCTGTCCTTCTTCAATATCACTGCTTTTAGTTTGACACCATTTAACACTTCAGAACTGTTACAGGCTGTGTATTTTTGTATTTTGTAAATTGTGTAATTCTTTACATAATTTTTTATCAATTTAAAAAAAAAAATGTATCTTTAATATTTGTTTCTGTTTTTTATGCATACTTCTTGTTAAACATTAAAGGTAGGGTAGGTAAGAATGGAGAAACCAGCTTGAGTGTGCTAGAATTTGAAACTACGCAGCCGTAAAAAATCTGCCCCTTCCTTCAGACTTCCTTACAGAGCCCCTCCTCCAACACACACGAACGCGCACATGACCAATGAGGGCACGAGATAAGTTTGTGCACAGATGGAAGGCTGACAGGCAGGTAGGCCATCCAGTTATTTTAGCCGGGCCGGCTCAGATGATTGGTCGTGCTTTTTACAGCGCCATGGCTTCCACAGATGACCCTTTAATGTATTTATTGTCAAAGCATTTAAGATATTCATTGCTATCAGGATGTTAAGAGCATTCCATGGAATATAACACAAAGTGTTTCTGAAGTGAATTACCTACCCCACCTTTAAGCTATCTTTGGCTCTTTTTCTGCTGGAACAAATGTACATTTCCCCTCTGTGGGACGAATAAAGGTATTCTGATTCTGATTTATAAAAAAAAATAAATGTGCGTATAAAACAACAAAAGCACAATGAAACGGAAATGTCAGAGTTATTTTTACACATTTAAAAGGCTGTATAAAAAAACAAAAACAGATCCAGCTTTCAGAAAATGTCATTTCAATCTCCAAAAGTGTGTGCGTGTGTGTGTGTGTGTGTGTGTGTGTGTGTGTGTGTGTGTGTGTGTGTGTGTGTGTGTGTGTGTGTGTGTGTGTGTGTGTGTGTGTGTGTGTGTGTGTACGTGTGTGTCCTTGTGCCTACTAAGAGGAAGTGTTGAGCGCAGCCTGCTGTTTGGTGTGTTAGTCCTTGTGAAACACTTCTCTCCTTTTTAGTAGCTGATTTATTTCCTGATGTGCCGGGGCAGTTTCTTGGACTCCCGTTTGATTGACAGCTCTCCTCGGTCATGTTGACAGCAGCACAGCGAGAGGCTGAGAGGCTGTCAGGCCTTCTGACCTCTCGCAGTGTGAAACTATAAGTAACGGAAAACCAGGTCTGCTTCCACTTTGTCTCTCTGATGGGCTTCTCTTATCGAGTGGGGTGAAGAATGACTTTCCAATCAGAGATGTTTAGCTGTGCTCAAAAGGTGCCACGTATCATGTTTTCCACTACCAATAATCTGCCAATCATTTCTCAATTACTTACTTTGTGATCTATAACAATATCTAAAAATAGAGCCCAAGTCAATAATCAAATTGATTACTTGCTTTAGATTCAAAATTCAATATTGAAAGGTGTTATTGTCATATGCACATAAGCTACAGTGTAGAAATGGCAATGAAATTATTCGGACCTGAGCTCCTCCAACAATGCAACATATATAATACAATAAAAAATAGTGCAAAAAGTCTATATACATGTCAATAGAATATGATATGTACAAGAACAGAATATGAAATGAAATAATGTACATTAAGACAAAATTAAATGCAGTTTATTGCGGTGATAACTATTTAAATAAATAAGTAGATTGGCACACCAATATCATTTAGTTTATGACTACAAAAAACAATAACAAATTGAATTCTTCAGTGAGACAATGGTGGATAATGATGACCATTAACCATATGTTTGGGTCTGCATCCATTTGTAAACCTAAATGAACCAACAATGGGTTCAGTTGGCAATTAGAGCAGGCTGGCTGCAGAAAGGACAGTATGTGACCATTAGAGCATTATCGAGACAGTTATCTGCATGTTTCATTGTGCCAAGCTATTCAGTTAGCTCAGTAAGGGATGCCAAACACCCTGACGTGGGACAACACAAGGTTTGACATAAATAGCAGTTTAATATACAGTAAGATCAGAGGAGTTACCGAATGGATGCCTTATCTTTGAATTCTACACATATTTCAGATTTATTGTGTCCAAGACAGACACTTTCTACACCCGGGCACAAAGGGTAACAGAGGATAGATGTTTGAGCTTTTTTTTAAATGAATAATAATCCATCTCATCTGTGAGTTCATTACCTTCAAGCTGACATGGACTTGAAAATGAACCAATCAAAATGGAGTAATCTGCTTGCCAGTTTGACTGCAGATCATGCTCTTCATTGATTAGTCATGCCTGAAGAAAGATGCAACTGGTCAACTTAATACCAATATATACTATTCCGAAGGCTTATATCATTTCAGTCGACAGGGCCTGCTAAAATCAATAATTAAAAAGGTAAATAATGAAATAAAATCTGTAGAACACAGCATGCAGCTCCACACAACGCCATAACACGTTAATATACTACGGAGAATCTTGTCATCGTAAAACAAACAGGTAATTTCATCCGCGGATGTTGAAAGATTCTTTCGCTAAAGATTTTTAAAAGACATCTGCGTTCTTGTGACTCGTAATTACTACGCTTCTTATATGTTTTGGTGCGGACCAGTGGCGTTTTCTCCCGGAGGCCAAGGGAAGCCAGGCTTCCCCTGTTTTTTCGGATTGTAGTTATAATTTAAATAAATAAATAAAAACACTTTGTTTTGTTTCGATAATTCTCCTTTGCTGTGTGTTGCTGCCGGCCCGTCTCTCCCCGACTCTCATTGAGTATTTTACAAAGAGTGAAACAAACAGCGCCCCTCTAGATGTTATGGTGAAACAGTAGATTGCATTCACTGTTGCGAGAGGAGGCCAGTCGGATCGGGCTTCCCTTGGTGAAAAAAATTGAGGGATTGACCAATCAGATGAGGCCCACGTGATGCCCCTGCCAACCTGTGATTGGTCAGGGCCATGCCAAGGGAAGCCAGCTGGCTCTGGCTTCCCTTCAGAAGCGGCTGGCGATTTCACCTGAATAGATGAGATTGTTTATATTTTTTAGTTACTTTTGGACTACGGACTGAGCTAATTACAGAGACGAGGACTGTTGCTGCACTTGCCGTGTGTTAGAAAGGGAAGGGAAGAGAAGGTGGACTATCGCATGCAGATGTTTCTGTACATAATTGTTTTTGAATTCATGTGTTTCATACACGCCTACTGATACTTTGATGTGTACATAAAACTTTAAAGGTCTCCTGATTTACTTTGTGAATGAATGCACTGCGCATTGAGCGGCTGGTATTGCATTTGGGGGGGGGTGTGTCTGCATAAATTAATAAGAAATGCTTAAATTAATAAAACGAGAGTTTCGGCTGGAGAGTGCGTGCGGACCTGTCGGTTAGATAACAGGCGTGTGCAAGTCCTGCATCTGTGTGATACAAATGTGTGTAAAATGATACCGGGCGCTGTAATCACTCATCTGGTTACGTTATTGACCACCCCCCCCCCAACCAACCCAAAAAAATGGGCTTCCCCTACATTTTTCCCCACGCCACGCTACTGGTGCGGACTGCGTTCACACCAGCGATGAACCGCTCCAGAGTTCACTTGCAAGCGCTCTGAGACCACCTCATTTAAGCGGACCAGAGTCGGGTTGTTTAGTTCACTTCAGAGGTCTCGGACTGCGTTCACACCGACCCAAACAAACCGCACCAAGCGGTGAAACGCACCAGTGTTCGATTAAACCGGACTATACAAGGCTGGTGTGAATGCGACCTTGACTTTCTTTTATACCCTTCCAAGCTGTATTTGTACATTTTCAGTTCTAACATTTTAGGGTTTCATCATTACCATCACAAACTCTAGCTCATCCTGCAGTATAACCAGAATCTTTATCCCCTCAGAAACTCCAGATCCAATAAAGATTGTGACCACTTTTTGTTCCACCTCGGAGCACCAAAAAATAGTTTTACTTCTAGATGTCAATGTAAGTAACATACGATTCACAACATAACAAACACTGCCCATCAGGGCTTTTGTTTATTTAGTATTCGTTTTATTTAGCTAGTAAAACCATCCATATTTAAAGTGGACCTATCATGCTATATTTGAATAATATAGTGTAGGACCATACCTATATAAGGCATATTTATACTTTTTTTTTTTCAAAATACCAAACAGATCATGCATTTTAGCCATGCCTCATTTCGCTCTATTTGAAAATGTTTAGCTCTGTTTTTGCAAGTCTGATTCAGTGAGAACAGCACCACCTACAGGCCTGGCATATGTACTACAGCGTCTCCAGCGCTTTCGAACGGCAATGGCCGTGGCTGTCTCCTCCTGATTGGTGGAGTTGGCCCAATAGCCGTAGCGCCACCGTCCTGACGTCAGGACAGTGTTCAAATCTGGATCAGTTTTTATCAGATCCGTTGCAGCCCCTTTTTTAGAGATTTGGGTATGGAGGAAAATAGAGAGGGTTGTGTTTTCTGACACTTGGTGAGTTCCCTGGAACACCGGGGACACATATTCATGTTTAAAAGACGTACAAAAGTGCATTTTGCATGATAGGTCCCCTTTAAGTATTCAGACAGTCGCGTACAACTACCCTGGAATAATTCTATGAATAAACATTGTACATCTTCAGTTGCAGGTCTGCCAGCTCATTGCGTAGACTTTTCCTTTAATCCATTGAATATGTTTCAGCAAATTGCATTACCTACTATTTATAATTGTCATTTTCTTAGCCATCAGCATATATCTTCGGTATTTTAAATGTTCAGGTGGTTCTCAAAGTAAATCAATATTGGACCCATTGGGACGGCAAATAGTCATTATTTCATTTCAATCTCCTCTTATAAATATATTAACAAAATCCCTGCAGTACTGGACGGTCCCAGAAGATAGTGAAGTGATCTCAGTCATCCTATATATCAAGCCATTATAAAAGTCATACAGAACCTTCAAATGTTGAAACTATCAATGGAGTAAAAAAATCTAAATTGTAACTCCCAATCTAATGTTTAAATAAAAATGGCATACTGCATGTCCTCCCTACTACTTTCTTTAATCATTCATTCTACTTAATTCATCATTCAATAGTTTGTCCTGTGATATTGTAATATGTTAACAAGATTCCTTATGTGTGTCCTTCCTTGTCTCATTCATAGCATATTTGAGAAGGATTTTGAACATATCCATAATAATCTCTGTAGTGCTTCGGGCTGATTTTGCAGCAGACATTTAAAAAGAATAAATTCAAAAATAAAACCAGCTTTAAGTGTGTGGAGTCCCTGCACAAGCACTCACACTTGACATGTCAGCAGCTGAGAGGGTGAAGAATGAAAAAAGGGAGCCAAAACATGGGGATAGAGGGCTGGTTGCCATGACAACAAAGTGGCTTTTAGCAGCATGGAGAAAGGCAGGGGGATTTTAGCTCTCATTAGCTTGTGAAGATCAAGAGGGGTGGAAATTGTGGGGACTCTTTTATTTATTTGTTCAAGAGGGGGCTGCACTTCAGGAGTGCTCAGAGCCTGTTTGCCTGGCAGTGGTGCTGGTGGTTAAACCCTGCGATGAATATGTTGTCCTCGGTTGCATTGGTCCAATTTAGTGAAATTCGCAAAAAGTTCAAACCGTCTTCAGAGGTTTCATTCACAAAGCTGCTTTTAAGGTAAGGTTGGCAAAGGGTTAATCATCAAATTCCATTAAAAGTTAAAATAATGTTAACCCTTCTGACAAGTATCATCTGTATAACCAACGCTCTGTGCCATAGAGCTCCATTCTTTCCTGCAATACTATCAGAAACAAACCGATTAGCTATTCAACCTATCAAGACGTTACATGATTACAGTGAACATGGACAATAGTTAAATCAAGATACACCAATATGTACATGACCACTAAATTCAAGCCTCTGCCAAACAAGTCCACACAATACTGACCAAGTCTATCGACACCAGTAAAACCACTGTGTTTTGCAGCGTACTGTCGTTAGATGTCCCCACACCAAGGGCTCTCTTCCTGTGCACATAGTTTCTCTTTTATATGGTGCATCAACTCCAGATCACTGCTGCTGCTGCTTTGCTATTCTCTCCAATATGGTAATTTCTCATACCAGCAGACAGAGAGAGACAGCAGTTCAACACTCTAGCTTTGAATTTGTATACATTCACAGCTCGAAATAGTCTGCAACAAAAGGCACTATTTACTCCCGTTGGAGTGGCATTTGCTCAGAATTACAGTGCCTTGCTTTTTGTAGGAAATGACTAAGACTTTGCCACTACACATTTGTAACGTTTTTGAAGATGCGTGTCTTTAGTAGGAACCAATGGTCTTAGAATCCTCCGTAATTTCTAATATACCAATGAGAATAGTATCTTTGTAAATATGAAACTATTATCTATTATGTGTTAGTTAGAGACTGTTGCTAATGATTGCAGCCAAGTCCCCATACTCCCTATATTGTGGTCATACAGTATAATCACATTAATAATAATAAATAATATTTGTATAGCGCTTCTCTAGGACTCAAAGTCGCTCTACTTTCAGTGTTAGTAGCTGCTGCGTTGACCTCGGGTAAAACCCAGTTTTTTGTTTCTCATCTAAAGGTTTACACGGAGCCAACATGAACGTTTATTCACAATAGGATTCATTCTTAAACCTAATATAAATACAACATCAACTAAGAACCCAGTCTCTTAATCAGACAATTGTTTGGTTGCAAATGGTTGTCGGTTCTTTGAAACAACTTCTCGTCTCAGTGGAAAATAAAACAAGGCTACTGCATAATGTGTGGGGTTGTTTGACCCTGAGAGAGACCACTCTTGGCTCAATGGTCATGTTTTAAATCATGTAGCCTTGATACAAAAGTGAAGTAGTTTACCTTGAATTTCAGAAGGGAACTTTTCGTGTAGACCGTCAAAGAAAAATAATTGAATGTAGTATTTAAGACTGTGATCAAATATATGTAAGGGAGGGACGAGGAGCCTTGGAAAACACATATAAAGAGCATTTAGTTTGAAACATACAGAACAAGCTCAGTTATTTACTACTGAGCTTTACACTGCAGGGGGCGCTCTTCTCTACGAAATACAAACAGCCAATGCAAACTACTAAGCCTACAAGTCTAACCTATAATATAAGTCATATAACATAAGAATACTGTGAATAGTGAAGTGATTCTGAACACAATAAATCAACATACATGCTAACAAACATCAGAATAAATGCAGCTGTGTGAAGCTTCAAACATATACTTTGCTGTCTGTGATTAACTTAGAATTAATAATATACTTCAAATGAAAATAGTTTGCTGCCTTTGACCTATTGATAGTAAAGCGCTACATTTAGCAACCCACAGAGTGTCACAGAGTGTTTGTCAGTGCATCCATCAGTCTGCGAGTCAAATGAATAAAGCATCTTGTTCCTTTCACTTGGCTTCTGGATGATAATAGGAGTGGGCTGACTGACAGTCACACACAGAGCGAGTGAGTCAGCAAGGCTCCAAAACAAGGCAAGGCTATTGTGATTCAAAAAGCAAGGCACAGTGGCAAACAGAACTGCAACACAACCAGGAGACACATATGCACCTGTGTGTGAGTGTGAGTGTGAGAGTGAGTGTGAGTGTGTGTGTGGGTGTCTTTTAATCTTCCTGAAGCATGTTTTAAGCCATTTGATGTTCATTAACCTCACCATCAACCTTTGTTTTCAGCATGTCAAAGAAATAAAATGCTACTTTTCTCACACAGATATGATTCAATCTTTTTTTGGGTTTAGTTTTAACCTTTACCGAAACCATATACCTCAGTTTAAATGTACTTAACAATGAGGATACATTTTCATTTCAGATGGATTTCACCCCCATCACTACCCTTCTTACTCGTTATGTCCGATCTATATAAATATAGACACACACACACACAGATGTACGCACACACACAGCTTATTTCTCTCTTATCCAGAGAAATCCTTTAATCAGCCTCTCAAAGCTGGGTAATCAAATAATAAAGAACCATGTCAGTCTGCTATTGCTAGAGACTGAAGTGTGTGTGTGTATGTGTATGTGTATGTGTAGCTTCGCGGATCTGAAATGGAAGACGATTCCAAAGGAGAGGTGTTCGGAATGAAAAAGCTCTGCCACCTACGGATGATTTGTGAATTCGGGGGATGGAAAGGAGAATGAGTTCCAGTGTGTGTGTGCTTTGGCTCAAGAGGGGAAACATATGTGTGTTTGTCTGTCTGTCTGTCTGTCTGTCTGTGTGTGTGTGTGTGTGTGTGTGTGAGCGTGAGCCTGCAGTCACCAGGTGCTAATCCGTTACCATGTGCTTCCTGTCTGATGTTAAGTAATATGGAAGAAAAAAATATATCAATCTCACCTCAGGCCGAATGTGTGAGACTGCTCATAGTGGAACAGGGAATGAATCTTAGCATCTGTATTCACAGCAATCAGCCTGTCAATCATATCCTGTGGAGTCAAATGAGAGGCTTTGAACAAAACACAGCAGTTATGGTGCAAAACAGTTGATAATCACGATGTGTAAGGTGAGAAATGTACATCAGACTGGGTGCATTAGGGTTTTTGAGGGGGAGGTCTTTGCTAGGTGAAACAAATGCGGAGGTGGTGGATGAAAGCAATATAAAAGGTGCAAACATGCCCTCACATGGCTGAGAGAGGCATTGCATGAAGTCTGGGCTACACAGTGTGAAAATCACTCACAGGAATGGAGGTTGGCATCTCTCTCAGGGTGTATTCACTTTTGTTGGCAAGAGGCTGCCGGCCAAGCAGCTCCCAAACTGCCTGGGAGGAGGAGAGCAGGTTCACCAAGGAGAGGAAGGACTGGAGAGAGGGACAGAAGCACCCGAGGGTTAGAGGAAGTAGTACAATACAATACAAATAGTGAGAAAGAACTGAAATAGAGATATAACTTAAAGGTCACCTTTCATGCTATTTGTAGGCAATAGCATAGGTCTCAGATATATAAAAATATATAAAAAACATGTCTATGAAGTGTTTTGCTCAAAATACCAAACAGATCACCCATTCTAGCCATGCCTCATATCCCTCTATTTCACTTGCTGTTTCAAAAGTGCTGATTTGGGGTATAAAGCTTTAAAAAATAAAAAAGGAGGGGGCTGAGCTCATGGGGGACCCGGCAGCTACTGTCTAAACTAAATACTGCCGTGATGAAACGCCATATCATGGATTATCAAGGATTGTTTCTGAAACAGTATGGAGCTCAAAGGCTTTCTCTCTTGCCGGTTATACCACAAGGTGAGTTCCTTTTTATTTCCTGCTTCTTCACACACATGCTCTCCAGTACAGGTTAGCTCTGAGTGTTAGCGATGCTAATGTAAACCATATTACGTCCAAAACAGTCTGGCATTGTTTCTGATAGCGACGTTTCTGATAGTGCCGTGGGTCCACATTTTAGATATTACGTCATATCGGACGCTAATCTGGATCAGCTCCGTTGTAGCCCCGTTTTTAGAGATTTGGGTACGGAGGAAAAGAGAGAGGGTTTTATTTTCTGACGCTGCGTGAGTTCCCCGACACACCGGGGACACATATTTATGTATAAAAAACATCAAAAAGTGCATTTTGCATGATAGGTCCCCTTTAACTCAGAACTCACAATTGATCATTCCAGTGATCATTTTAAAATGAAAATGTTTTTGCAGAGTGATCCTGCATGTACTCATTGGCTATTTAAAAAAAAATACTTTTGAGTGCAACTGTTGGTTGTTAACTTGTGTGTATTTTGTAGAAATAACTATTAAGGATTTGGTCTTTGATGTAGTTTAGGCTATTAATGCAGGTGCATTTGTCAAATCATATGCAACCCCTCATAAAGAAAAACAAAAGAACCTTCTGAATACAATTAACTAAATACATACTAATGCAGATAATAGATAGAGTTAGGAATATAGATGAAAAATGTAAGGGCTCAACTAGCCAGTTAATATCTAATATCTTAATATCTAGAAGTTCCGTTTATTTTGCCTATGATGAAAATGTTAATTGACGCTAAAAACAAAGCGAACATTAAAAAAGGGATTTCACAGGGATGAAGACATGCTGACAACATGTGAGCACTCACACGGTGAAATTAAAATGTGAACATGTGAACAGAACAGTAGCCTGAAGATTAATAATAAAGCAACTCCACCTGCTCTCATCACTAGATCAAGGAGAATTGGGAAAACTCAAGGCAATCAAAGAAAAACAATAAAGTACGCACTCACACATACATAAAAGTATTTCTATTAAGCGGCTTGAAAGCAACCACAAAGCTTTGACAATTGCAATGATTGTAAAATATAAAGAGTAATGAGTAACAGAGGTCCATTCTTTCATCTTCTCTCCTGCCCTGTTTGATATCTGAAAGGAAAATAACAGACTTATATTATCTGTCTTTTTGTGTTTTTTATGTTTTCCTACAGTAGACACAATTGAATCAAAAACATTAATACAATTCAAAATCCACAAAAGAAATGCTACCGCCCCCCCCCTCCCCAGATCAGAGCTAATTTGCAAGGAATTGCTGGTGTAATGCGTCTGTGCTACATATTTTGTTTGTTTTAGCACACATTGACCACACAGGGCGGTGGTGGCGAAGTCAATAGGGACTTGGCTTGGCAACTAGAAGGTCACCAGTTCGAGTCCCGGCAAGACCAAGTGCTACCGAGGTGTCCCTGAGCAAGGCACCGTTTCCTACACTGCTCCCCGAGTGCCGGACATAATGGCAGCACACTGTTCCTAACACTAGGATGGGTCAAATGCAGAGGAACAATTTCGTTACATAGTACCTGTACTGTGAAATGACAAAAAGAGCAATTTATTTTGTATTTATTTATTTGTATTGTACGTTTATGTGTTTGCAACAGTCTTGGGGCTCTGTTACCAAGATGTAGCTGGGATGTAGGAAACCTGGTAGCCGACACCCTGATAAGGCTTTAAATTCACCAGTTCACACTTCACTGACTGTCTGTATTCACTTTGCTATTTTCACTGAGAGAGAGAAGACTAGGCTCCTGTCAGAGCATCACACACACAAACACACAAACAGTAGAGCTTCAACTAAACTTTGAGCCTGTCCTCAACTTAAACCCCCAGCAAATTTGTTTAAAAACTAAAAATGCAGCATCATGCAAGGAGGAAGTTCTCAAGGTTGGACATACCTGATTTTATTTATAGATAGAAGACTACAGCCCTTTTTTAGCTTCAGCAGAGACATGCAAGGTTACATTTTCAATCAATCAATTCAGTTTGATCCTCTTTCAGAATAAACAATTTGGTATATCAGGGTGTATGCAGGAATCCTGAAGTCAAATGTAATTCCTTTTAAGACCTTTTTTAAGACCCTTTCCATACATTTTAAGACCTCATCGCCACTTGGAGTTTTAACCGGTTACATTGGCGACACACCTTACCTCACATTTACTATATACAGTATTGATTGTCCTTCCTCCTTATCTTCCAACCATTTGGACGCAGACTTGCATTTCCCCATAACGATGTTGTTTAACAACCGGCGTAAACGGACCTTCGCGCTATCAAGCAGTGAGCGCGCGATGTCCTGTTCAGATGACGTCACATCCAACGGGATGCCATAAATAAACTACACAGAATCACACTACACACCTACGCAATGATTACATTCAGGCAAACTGTAGAATACAACCTCTTTGGACAATTGATATACTTATTGAAAACAAGCTACAAAATGTAATACCTTGGAAAATGCCGTTTAATACTTTTTAATAGCCTTAATTTTCGCTAAATGTATTTATCAACTTTTAATACTTTTTAAGACCCCGCGGACACCCTGTATAAAGTGGCACTTTTTCCACCCACTCAAACACACAGTACCTTAAGGCAGCTCCTGTCTATGGGCTCCATGGGTGTGGGCCTGGGACAGACCACCCCCACCTCTTCAATGCCGCACTCGAGAACAGACCACAGCTCTACCACTAGTGCACGGACCAAACCTGCAACACAAGCCAGTGGTATCGATATGAATATGAATGTAGAAGAGACAATAGAGTTAACAGATATGGAGGGCGATAAAGAGAGGGGGAAAACATGCATCTAGAGTCTCTAGGCAAATTCAAACCGTGGAAATTGTAATAAATGAGTAAACAGTTTTAATGATTTTGATTTTATTGGTTGTATGCCACTCTCTCTGCCTAAGGCATCCTTTTCCCATATGTACCTGATTATCTATGCTACTTATAAACGTGTTTCTGAAATACATATCATAATCTGATTTGCAATTCTTGTCACACAGGTACTTACAGTAAATCACATAATCCTTAGATAAAAGACAGCTTTCTTTCTCCACATATGCTGTCAGAAATGATTTGAAAAGCACGTTGTTCCCTTGGCCTCTCGATGCCTGCTTTATGTCGACTGTTACCATTTGTGGATACAAGCTTTAAGCATCACATCTGGCCAGTGTTTGTCTTGAAGTGCTTTAGTACCTGAAGTGTGTAAAGCTGCCACCCCTGGAGCGGTTGCTGCCACCTGTGTCACCATCACGCCATATCCAAACTTCTCACAGCGGCTCACCTGCAGAAAACACAAACAGAAACCCAATAATCCCCTACGTTTGTTTGGGCTTTTACCATTTTTGATTCGGCAAGTGAAAATTGAATAAGAGTTTGGAAAGGATCAACTTTGCGGGGGGAAAAAAAGGAAAGGGAGAATTGTAAACTTGGCATTCAGTATGCAAACTCTGCCATGACTCTGCTAGAAAAAGCACTTAGTGACGAAGTTTAGTACGCTAAGCAGAAAATGCAAATTGATTTTTGATTGTGCCGGCCTTGCATTAATTACAACACAACTAAAAATAGACAAAATGTAATTATTTTTCTTAACTATAGTGAAATGCAAAATGAGAGGCGCAATTGCCAGAGTGCGTAAACATTGGCAGTAAATTAAGCCCACAGGGGATTGCAGTAAGACGTGCGCGTGGACAATAATATGTATATAAAAAGGTATATGTACGAATCAGAAAATAATAAATGAAACCCTGTGTGGGAGTATCTGCATGTAACAGTCTCCAGGCTATTGCATATTCCTCAGGAAATATGGCAGTGGCCTTGAGGAACAGTAGAAACAAAACACCACATCTCCTGCAGAATGAGCTCGGGCTACAGATGACACATGGAAACAGAATGAATACCGCGTTTTTTTTCAGAGTAAAATTTGATTGACATTTCAAATGCAAGAGTTTTTTGTAGGGTTTAAATGCTGTATGATATTTGACCATGAGTTATTCAAGCTCAGTGATGCGACTTTTCATTTTCAAAAAGCTATATTTTACTTTATTTTATTCCACCGAGTCTGATAGTGGGTGTGCAGCTGTTCATCTTGCTCCATTGCTCAGGCGTCTACGCTCGATTTTTTTATTTTCTAATCCTGCATCCTGGCTTCAGGGTTGGCTTATTGTAACTCAGTCACTGTGGCAAAGAATCACCTGAGCAGTGTCATATTTCTTGCGCGCATTGATGTGATCAGGAGGGATTAAAAACAGACAGCTAATTCTTCCAGGGCTTCAATAAAGGAGATGAAACCGTTCCACAGAAATATATCAGCACCGATGATTATCTTCTGCAGTAATGAAGTCACAATGTTTGTATTCATATGAAGGTGGCACATGATAGTTATACTGTATAAAAAGCTTACAATTTAACTTGTGCTTTTATAGAAAAGGATTCATGGAACATCTGGAATTCCTGAGTAGTGTAAGAAATTTAGATCAACGTTTTTATGGCGTAATTTAAAGTGGACCTATCATGCTATATTTGAATAATATAGTGTAGGACCATACCTATATAAGGCATATTTATACTTTTTTTTTTTCAAAATACCAAACAGATCATGCATTTTAGCCATGCCTCATTTTGCTCAATTTGACAATTTCTAGCTCTGTTTTAGCAAGGGCAGATTCAGTGAGAACAGCACCACCTACAGGCCTGGCATATGTACTACAGCGTCTCCAGCGCTTTCGAACGGCAATGGCCGTGGCTGTCTCCTCCTGATTGGTGGAGTTGGCTCAATAGCCGTAGTGCCACCGTCCTGACGTCAGGACAGTGTTCAAATCTGGATCAGTTTTTATCAGATCCGTTGCAGCCCCTTTTTTAGAGATTTGGGTATGGAGGAAAATAGAGAGGGTTGTGTTTTACTTGGTGAGTTCCCTGGAACACCGGGGACACATATTCATGTTTAAAAGACGTACAAAAGTGCATTTTGCATGATAGGTCCCCTTTAAATTAAATACACAGTTTTAATTAGGGCTGTTTTATTCAGAAAACCGGAAGTTCAGAACATGACTTTCGGTTTCCGGCAATAAAAATCGTCATTTCCGGTTAGCATGTGGCTAATATTACGTTTAAGAAAAAGTGAATTCAAGGTGAAATGACAAGTGGTGTTGTACACTAAACACACTGTCTTTAACACTGCAGTACTTTTAATAGGGAATGTTTAAATAACCACAGACATTAGAATATTGTAAATTGAAAACAGGAAAAGACAGGATATGCATTGGACACGCCCCCGTTGACGCCGGCCAATAGCGTTGATATCTACAGTTGATATCAGTGAAGCCATTTGAAAATGTTTCTCTTTTCGACTCAGCTGAACCGGCCGGCAACAGCTGTAGGGGGGAGAGCCGCCATCTCGCACATATTTCATTTGTATATCATCTTATCATTTGTTTGATTAAATGCTGTTAACTTGTATAAGCTTCCTTGGACTCTTTTCAGTTAATCCTGCACTCAGGGCTAAGAAATCCTAACAGTAGTAGTATCTTACATCAACTGTTGCAAAGTCAAACACATGTCAAATAATACCACAGTTTGTGCCATTTAACCCTCAAATTCATTCAGGGATTACCTGCAGTTAAGGTTGAGAAACGTCCAGGTGTGTATGTGGGGAGCAGGGTGTGAAATACTGATAGGCTCCAAGAAACTATGATCAGTTGGTGGAAAAAAATCCTTAGCGTGTGCCTTAAGAAGCAGCACATATAAACTAAATAATGAATAGAAAGACAAAGTTTAGAACTCTATTATTAAAAAGGACCAAATTGAAAATAACCAAAGTCATAGTTTATAAAGAACGGTGTTTGTTTTCACCTGTAGTTTCTTAGTGAAGCGTGAGAACATGTAGGAGACGCACTCAGTGATGGCTCCTGTCTGCTGGAGCAGCAGCAGACCTTTAGGAGTTGCAGCAAAGTTCAGCAGGCTGTCCAACAGCGTCTCCTCCCAGATGAGCCTGCTCCAAAGTCAAAGAGTGAAACACAGTGAGCTGTGACACAGAGCTATCAAGAGAAAAGTTGAAGTTGTATAGATGAGAGTAACACCTACGTCACTTCCGGGCGAAAATGACGGCCCCGCCCACTTTTGGGAGAAAACAACGCTGTCATTTGAATGGCGGTCAATACAAATTCTGAAGTTTTTGCCAATCCGATCAGACATTTTTGAAAACCGTGGATTTTTGGTCAGGCAAACAATTACATTCAATCATTTGAACACGAAAATCGGGCTCGATATATGGTTACATTAAAATCAGTAGGCGAGGCTGCAATTTCGCCAGCTGTTACTCTCATGAGCGAGGCGGAAAATAATTTTGTTATCATGCCAAAAAGCTGCTGTGTCGTTTATTGCACCTCAAACATTAAAACAAATCCAGAGTTCAGTGTTTCTGTACTTCCTCTAAGAAAAACGGACAGTAAAAGAAGAGCTCTGTGGCTTCAGGCTTCATCGCCATTCAAATGACAGCGTTGGTGTCCCCCAAAAGTGGGCGGGGCCGTAAAGTAACGTAGATGTTACTGTCATCTATGGACATCGATCGCCTACTGCTATATTTAACCATATATCGAGCCCGATCGTCGATTTCAAATGATTTAATGTAATTGTTTGCCTGTCTGGCCATTGTAATCGGGCTCTTGGAAGATCCAAAAATCCACGGTTTTCTTACATTTCTGATCAGATTGGCAAAAACTTCAGAATTTGTATTGACCGCCATTCAAATGACAGCTTTGTTTTCCCCCAAAAGTGGGCGGAGCCGTCATTTTTGCCCAGAAGTGACACATGTGTTACTCTCATCTATTGAACCTTATTATTGTGTCGTAATTGCATTTTTCTTTATTTAAATTCAGCCTGTAATTGATGAAAATGAAAAACATAAATTCTGTGTCTTTCATTTATCCAAGTTTATTCTCTGTAATAGCTGGAGTACCACAACCTAAATTCCAGGGATTTGAATGAAATACTCAAACCTTACATGTTGTGGGAGAATGTCCCAGCAGTGGCTCCAGGTACCGGTGTTGGGACCCTTTCTGACAGAGAACTGGTCTAAAAATAAAGTAAAATGTATTATTTAATTTGGGTTTTTCCTTTGATTTTTCTCAGTGTTTACAAGTGTGTGGCATATCTGAAGGTTTTCATGTGGCTCTCACTTCTTTAAATTGCTATAATGTTGTTCTAACTGCCTTTTATGTTTTATCTTGATATTGCAATTCCTAATATATATTTCCGATTATCTTCGTGCATCCCTATCAAGCCAAATGAAGGCACTAGCACACTGGATTCATCTCCTTCTCCTGTGTATTAGCTTTGTTTATAAAACCTTCTGGCACCATCGAAAAACGTTTGGAAATCAGGGTCAAAACTGTCATTCTGATCAATGAAACCTTTAACAGTTTTTTCCCTCGTGAACTAATTAAAAGCAACTTCATTAAGATGCCTTCCCCAATCTCGAGTTGGTGTCTTTTGATAGTGGGTGACTCTAGGTCAGCGGTGTTTTTACATTATGTAAGACTATGAAAACAGATGTGGACTTGGATTCATGACATCTTTTAGTACATGCTGTCTGCTGCATGACAGTGCAGTACGTGCAAGCTGATAATTAATATTTAACAAACAATGGGCGAAAGTCATGAGGAAGTAAGTGTAAAAATAGTTTATGCTGATGCCACAATGTCTCATGAGTTCATTTCTGACGTGAATGATTTGAAAAACAGAGCAGTAAGAGGGACTGTGTGCTGAGTTTACAGATATCTAACAGACATTAATGATGCTTCCTACCAGCTAGAGGCAGTTTCACTACGTCTATTTCCTCTGTAGCTGTATTTTATTAGGAGTTGTTAGGAAGTGTTTTTGGTTTTGGTTGCAGTTGTCTGTTTTGTTTTCAGTTTAGTTTTTCAGTTCAAACTATATTACTCAGATGTTGATGAATTGCTATGACAAAAGCCGCATTTTAGAACCGAAATGGAGCAGATTACAATGGTTAGTTAATTCCCTTCCATCTGCGAGCAGCGGTGGCACTTCTCTTGCTGCACTGAATGAATGAAGAGAGAACACGGCATTCATCAAGCAAATGAAACATGACAGGAGTATTCTAGCCAGTGAAACTCATCATTAGACATGGACACCCCTCCATTAGACATTCTCGGAACAAATACTGAAATGGAACTATTATCTACCATCTCTTACTATGTGTTCATGGAGAGGATTAGTCAGGCAGTGCTCACTGAGAGAGGATCTCATTTCTTACATTTACACAGTCAGCCTGTAATAAACAATCAATTCTATACAGCAACACCAGATTCATGATGCTAAATTGTTTTTATAATGTGATAATAATTTCGATTTTGATGTGTTTATCGTAGGGCTGTGCAATTAATCGTATTTTAATCGCAATTACGATTTTGGCCTGCCACAATTACGAAAACAACATAATCGAAAAAAACGATTATTTTGCTTTGCTAGGTTGTGACAGTGCACTGCGACATATTTGATCAAATGTATTTGTATTTATCATATTTATATATGTTTAGTAGCTTGTTGAAGTGCGCTCCAAAATATTTGTTGATCTTGTTTATTGGTATTTATTATTTTGATATTATTTATTTAAATGTAGATATAAATGTATAATTTATTTTATTTATTTTTGTATTGGTTTTTCAGTTGAATTATACGTTCAGGGAAATCAACAGTTAAAAAGATACTGTTCAAATTATTATTTGTATTTCAAAGTTCAATAAATGGATGTTTTCAAAGTCAATAAATAATCGTATTTAATAATCGTGATATCAATTATTGACCAAAATAATCGTGATTATGATTTTTGCCATAATCGCACAGCCCTAGGTTATCGTCTTTTTTGCCTTAAGTACTTTTAAACGGCAAGGAGAATTTTACAAAACAAACAAGTTTCCCAAATGAGTTTCCAAAGAATTGTTGTCAAGCTGATATTAAACCACTTCAAATCAGATTAGATTCACAAACTCAATGTATTGGATTTCCAAACACTTGACCTTTTTCCATGCAGCAGCGACCGCTTTGTGCAGGCTGTAGGGTCGGAGGACCTGCAGACCCTCACAGGTGTTGTACATCTGCCGACAGACGAAGATAAAGGCTCCACACCATGTTTGGGACATGTCAGAGTCACTCAGGGAGGACAGCTCCTTCTCCAGCAGCATGAGGGTGAACTGCACGATGACATGAGCAGGAAAAGTTCTGAAGAGGGGGAACAAACAAAGAGAAATATTCAGATGTTCACATGTGACAGCTTGCACATGTCCGGCAGTGGCTCCAGTCAGTAGGGGCTTGGACTGGGAGCTGTAGGGTCACCGGTTCAAGTCCCCGACCAGACCTAAAATATGGAGTGTGGACTGCTACTTGGAGGGGGTGGGAATCAACTCAGTGAACAACAGATACCAAGGATGCTGGCTGATGAAGAAGACGAAGTAAGCTAGGTAGCCAATATAAGACTTAGTCATCTTGCCAAATAGTGAGCCTGTGTTGATGTATGAAAACTGTTAGAACTGGTTTATAAATGGTTCTTAATGATTAATAAAGTGTTTACAACCTAATTAAAGGCGAGTGCGGTCGTCTTTCAACCAGAAGGTTGTGGGTTCGATACCAGCCCGTGCAGTCAACATGTCGATGTATCCTTGGGCAAGATACTTAACCCTGAGTTGCTCCCCATGGCATGGCCAACGGTGTGTGAATGTGTGTGAATGTTAGTTCCTAGAGTAAGGTACACTGCTCTGTATGAATGTGTGTGAATGGGTGAATGACATGTAGTATGTAAAGCGCTTTGAGGGGTCTTAAAGACTGGATAAAGCGCTATATAAGTACAGTCCATTTACCATTTAATAAACCATTTATGAATCCTGTATAAGGGTAGTCTTATTGTAAAGTGGTACCCAAAGAGCATAATAGCGCCTCGTTAAATTATAAAATGACAAAAGGCCTGATAGTAGAAGCCCCTTGGTCTTTAAGATGCTGATTTTGTAGCATAAGTATAAGAACTAATGGAATTACAACAATTATAACAGGATACAAAATGTGTGTGTAGGGCCACTGAGTGCCCTGAACATCTTTTTGGCTGTAATGAGATTTGAATATATCGAAGACACATCCTCAGTGACTGACAAATGAAGCTCAGCGTAAGTTCAACCAGGAAGACCGTCTTTACACTTCATTTACTATTCCCATGTCTCTCTCCTCTCAATAAGTGATCGGGGGCGTCACTCCCCAGCTTAACCAATCACTTCGCTCTATTCCCAAGAGCCTATCATAGCGCTCTGCCAAACCTTTTAAGTCTGCTCCCCCCCTCTGACAGCTGTCATTTCAGGTGACTCGACGCAACCCTCCTCCGCCCCTTTTCACCTCCTGTCCCTCTGAATCCAGGGTCAAGCTAAGCCCCTCCCCTTCAGACCGACCCCAACTATCCATTCACCACCACCAGGGTCTAGACCTCGGGGGGTTTCATCGGATCGGTTCTCCCCTCCCGAATGATACTTCCTGCACAACGGGGCCTAATCGCCAAAATCACCATTACATTAATTTGTGTATCTCTGCAATAAATATGTATTCTTACATCAAAACCGTCTCTCCTGATTGAACAGGTCTAATCTGCTTTCTGTGCACGACCAGGTGGATTTGATATGCCAACTTTACTCTGGAGTCTTGTTGCCAAGTCAGAAAAGATATATGTAATTTATTCATTACCATCAAAGATGAAAGAAAGTATGTATTTAATCATAATTCAATCACGCTCTCTCACCTCTCATTGTTGGATACAACGAGATTCTTCTCATATAGGAAGAGAGATAATCCCCTGTCGGTGTTTGCGATGCGAGCCAGAACATCAGCGATCAGAGGCAGTGTTGCTGCCGAAGATTTTAATTTCACCTGCAAACCGTAGAGAATAAACAGACAAAATGACACAACTGCTTCAGACACAAAGTCAAATCCCAGATGAATAGGTATTGCAAATTAAAATACCATAATCTTTGGAGCTGATGGAAGTAAGGAAAAGCTATTATAAATGGATGAGCAATGCTTCAACAATTTCAAACTATTTTTCAGAGAATGATGGATGACAATTATCTGTCCAGCTGTGAAAAGTGAACAGCTGACATGAAACACTTTAGGACTCAGATGTGGTGTTTGAATCAAGGTTTGGAGGAATGGTTGAGGTTAGACCTTGCCTTTATAATCAATATTAGGATTCATATTGTTGGTAAATGTTGGAAAATGGATGGTTGAGTATGATAAGGCATTTATTAGACTGAAAAAGCAATGATCTAATATGACCCTATATATATATATATATATATATACCCTGGAAGTAAAACTCTTTGAAATATAATATACATTAATACAAAGCTACAAACCAACATGTTTGTGACATAAAAGGATCCACGGCTATATAGGCTTTGTCATTAATAAACAAACAGTTTTCAGTTTTACAACCCCTGCATTCAAACACCAATTTTGAAAAAGGGTAAACGTATGAATCTATATATTTATAAGTCCAAGAATCGTAGTTGTAGTTTCTACAACTCATCTGGTTTCTATTCTTCTGTACAGTGTGTACTGTGTATTTTTAAAAGGTCACCTATTATGCAAAATCCACTTCTTCATGTCTCTGCTACATCAACATGTGTCCCCTCTTCTTCATGTCTCTGCTACATCAACATGTGTCCCCTCTTCTTCATGTCTCTGCTACATCAACATGTGTCCCCTCTTCTTCATGTCTCTTCTACATCAACATGTGTCCCCTCTTCTTCATGTCTCTTCTACATCAACATGTGTCCCCTCTGTGTAAAGAGACTCTGAAAGTTTCAGGAAAAAAGATTCTCTATCTGTTTTGGCTTGAGTAACCATTAGCCAATCACCAACCAAGGTACCCCCCCCCCCCCCACCTTATCACCTGAATGTCCTCCTAGAGCACCATTGTGTTCTTTTTAACCAAATATCTCTCAGAGGGGCGTGGGGAGGGGCTCCTTATTTTCATCTAAAGTAACAGAGAATCAGCACTTTTGAAACAGGTTATGGGATGCTGCAATGATCTGTTTGGTGTTTGGAGCCAAACACTTCAGAGACATGTTCTGTATAAATCTGAGACCTGTAATATATTGATGAGAAACAGTATAATAGGGGACCTTTAATGTATGTCAGTGTGTGTTTAGTGTGAGCGTTTCACCTGCTGTCCATTGAGCAGAGCGATGACAGGAGCCAGCAGCGTCTCTATGACAGCGGTCTGGTGGAGACACTCTGCTGCGCTCTCTGTCCTCTCACACAGCATCCACAGCACTTCCATCGCCAGACAGCTGGGCGTCAGCGAGTCTAACACACACACACACACACATTTAACTGAATTATACAATACATCTTGGAATATTTATATCCTTTAACCTGACACTAAACACATTGTCTGGCTAGCACACCCGACTGGTCGATAACCTGGAAATCAAGTTTTGGAAAGACACCCACACCAAAGCTGCTGGAGGCTTGCGGGGTGTTTTATATTTAAAACAGTTTTTTTCTAGACGCATACAACTTTATACCTGTCAATGTGAGTTCCACTTGCATTCTGGATGCACTTTTTATGTACAGTATCAATCAGATCACCTAGGACACAGGTATATTAAGCAATCTATGACCAAACGTCCCACTCATATACACTTAATCAAGAACTGTACTGGTTCAAGTCCTGAACGGACCAAAGTAGAGAGTGCCAGTTCACCTCTTAGGCACTGCCTTGCTAAATCTACTTAAAAAAAAAAAATAATAATATAGATAATTCTCCTCCAAAACATTTTGAAACATTCATCTCCATTGGATAGAATGCAGAAGTTCAAATTAACTAGAAATAAATAATTTAAAATTGTCATTTAAATAAATCATTACTTTGGAAAAACATAAAAAGACATCGCAAAAGTCTCGTTCTTGTTGAAAATGTTTTGTATTTCTACATAAATATTGCCTAAAGGGTTAGGGTTAGGGTTCGGCTCTTACATTTTGTGCATCCCCTCCAGGCACTTCTAGGTAAAATCTCTGCCATTTTCATTGCATTGTGTAACATCATGATACTATTCAGAATACACCCTCATAAAGGGGTGCAGGTGATCGTCATCAGACTGCAGGTAAAATATTGATATGTAACTATGACTTGCTCCGCGTGACTCTCTGCTGCAGCAGCCAAAAGAGAGATGATCCTCCTCTGACAAAGTCAAGCCAGGGGACACTATTGATCACTGGCAGGGAGCGTTGCTGCAGTGTAATTCATGAGAATGAATGGGGCAATAAAGCAAGGTGATCCAGGATACAACCAGAAAAAAGTCTATGACTCGGTACAAGGTTAAGAGATAAAAGATATGGGTCTAAGGAATGCTGTTCCGCCTCATAGGGAGGGTCACTGTGTTCCTGCTGATCCCAGACTCACAGTCTGCCCAGGAAAACAGGGAGGAAGTCGAAACTCTGTGACGCATTGTATCCAGTGTGAGTGTGTGTGGCCTCACCTGTGTGTGAGGGGTCACTGTGCAGGGGTTTGGGGTGTTGGTACACGATGTTAATCAGGATGACCACCAGGTCTGTCAGGCTGACTGGATCTGAAACAACATGATGAATGAGATGAATCACTCTGGTTACTCAGTGTAGACAGAGACAGAAAAAATAGGGTTTTTTTGGGAAGGATATAGTTGAGTCAAGGAAGTTACTTATTGCACTGTTGGCTCATCATTTTATCTCCGGGATGAGTTTTAGTAAATGTGTGTTTTTTTTTATTTCCAGCAAAATTATGATTAAATATTAACTTTTCAATGAGTTTCTTAAGCAAAAAATGTCAAACTTCTGCTGGTTCAAAGGTCTCAAGTGTTAATATTGTTCCCTTTTCTAAGTTGTATAGCACAAGACACCTTTCACCGTGTTGAAGGAACCTTGGTACCTTAAGGGTGCTCTGAAAATATAGAAAACATGATTAACTAAATCACATTTAAATGTATTTAAGCTGCTTCAGTGTGAGTCTATGAGAGAGCAAAGACTCTGTTTAGTGAGAGTTATGTAATACAGTTTTATCAAAATCAATTGGCAAAATTAGGAAATAAGGCTTTGGATTTAACATAAAATAGAGAAAATATCCTAAAACATGTGGAAATTTCATTAAAAAAATCTAAACTGCAATTAAAACCTGTTTAGGAACTGACACATATTATTACATTACATTACAAGTCATTTGTTAGACGCTTTTATCCAAAGCGACTTACATACATTCAGTACTGTGGGCAATCCCCACAGGAGCAATTTGGGGTGAAGTGTCTTGCCCAGGGACACAACGACATGCTGACTGCAGTGGGACTCAAACTTGCCATCATACTACCCACTGAGCCACAGCCTCCTCCATGACACATATGCGTGCCGACCTGATCCAGGTGCCCACTTAAAAAAAAGTGTGGAGGTAATAGGCCTCCACCTGAGGAATGTGTCACATTTCAATATAAACTACTCGTCAGAGTTAATTGCCTACAGAATGCCATGGAACAAGAGTCATGTATCGCTAAATAATTGACGAAGACCACGAGTCTGTTTTAATGGTTCACCTATGTATCATTCACGGCGTTACATAACGTTTTTAGTGATTAAGACGGGTGGAGGGATCGATGATGGGGTCAGACGGGAAAGAGGAGGGAGTGGCACCAAGAGTAAAATTATCAGACGCATTGCAACATGAGATTATCTGCTGTAAAGATTAAAAAGGGACAGTTTTGTTGGGGGCAATAAACTATAAAACACATGTTTTTCCATTTAACTCTGCGTCACTCATTTGAACCATGCGTGGATTCTGCAGTTAGATAAGGGGATGGACATCTTTAGTATTTCTATGGTTAATAATGGTTAGCTTAGCACAAAGACTAAAAACAAGGGGAAATAAGGTGCACATTCCTCACTCAAAGTGTTAGATTAAGTTGATTTAATCAGTACCAAATCAACAAATGTGAAAGATACGTTTTTTTATAACAGATTATGTGCTGGATTTTTTTTCTTAAGCAATTTGCAAATTACAGGACAGATATAAGAGGTTTTTAAAGGTCTTATTGTTTAACCCTCATCAAACTTTTCCTTTTACTACTGTACAATATGTATGTACAATATGTATGTATTATGTAATATTGTAACGCTCTGTATGTGGGTATGGACCAGGCCTCAATTAAACGCCTACAGCTAGTCCAAAACGCAGCTGCACGTTTGCTGACTGGCCACAAAAAGCGTGACCACATCACCCCTATTCTGGCCTCACTGCACTGGCTTCCAGTTTGGTTCAGAATTGATTTTAAAATCCTTTTATTTGTTTTTAAAGCACTAAATGGGCTGGCTCCGGCCTATATAACTGAACTGCTCCAGCGCTACACCCCAGCCAGGGCTTTAAGGTCTGCTGACCAGCTGCTGCTGGTAGTGCCCAAGACCAGGCTAAAAACCCGAGGGCACCGAGCCTTCGCAGCAGCTGGCCCTAGGCTCTGGAACACTCTGCCCCTCCATGTGAGGTCGGCCCAGACCCTAGGGGTTTTTAAAACTAAACTAAAAACACACTTCTACTCTCTGGCTTTCTAGTTAGAGCGGAGCACGACTCCTGACTTTTCCGTGTGTTTTATTTTTATTTTGTTTTTAAGATATATCTGTTGTAATTTATTGTCGTTTATTGTGATTGTAGTAATGTGTTTTTATTACATGTACAGCACTTTGGCTCGACCAAAAATCGCTTTTAAATGTGCTATATAAATAAAACCTGATTTGATTTGATTTGATATGTACCTTATACAGCCTTTAGTGAAGATGTCAAGCAAGAATGTAAACATTAAAACCCACATGCTTTTGATTGATCTAACACAGTTTACAGAACAGTGAAGTTGTGTACCTCTGCGCTTCTTCACTGTGATGGGAAAGAGCTTCCTGCCGTTGGTGTAGATGAGCAGTTTCCCCAGGACACACAGCGAGTGGACGAAGAAAGCATACTCAAGCTCTTTTCCCGTGTAAACACTCCTCTGGACTGAGCCTGACACATTACAGAGACACATGGTGTTGAGAGGATTAAAGATGATGGAAAGAGCAAAGCTAAGACGGAACACTTTTTCCGTCACATGGCTAATTCTTGTTTACAACTTGTTTAGGTGTTGCACTAAACATATTTCAAATAAAAAGGGTAATAGTCTTGCACGACCAAAAAGGTGCATCCACAAGAGAAAGGGTCAAATTCTGATAAGCAAAGATGTTGATTGTGTTTAAAAATGAAAATATTCATACAAAATAAAAAGTTATTCTATTCTAATATTTAAACTACTTTTCATAAACCCAAGATGAATGCCCCTGCTGTGGTAGACAGAAAGCGTAAAGACATTTCATACAGTGGCTGTAATCGAAGGAGATTGACAAATGAAAAACGCCTGCAGGGCCTCCGGGGGGGCAGAAAATCTACAGGAAGCACAGTTTATTATTTTATGAGGAGTGTATCCGCGGTGGCGGGGAGGCAGCGTACCTCCAGTCAACAAAGACAAGGTCAAAGTGTTCGCTCTCAAGGAGGCAGCTGCTCCAGGAGATAACTCACCGACACACACTTTGCCTTAGCCCATCTCCAGCTATACTCACTCTTTTTAAGCATTTTACCATCAATCTATATTACTCTAAATGTTAATATTGCATATCTCTTGTATTATGTGTTGCAAGACATTTGTATTACCCTCATCCAGAACTTGAGTTACTAATGGCGCGTTTCCACTACAGCGTCTGAAGATCACGTCACGGCTCCGCCTACACTGCGTTACTATAGATACTACCCCAGTTCCTAAACTGTAATGGAAATGCGCCATAAAGTGAGCCAGTCCTAACGAGGCCCAGCCATACCGAGCGGGGCCGAGCGAGGCCGTGTAGTGGAAACGCGCCATTACTGTTAAAACAAGCCTACTATACAAATGCTTTTTGTGCATGTCAATGGTCTGCAGAGGCTTAATTCCCAGAGTTTCTCACACACACACACTCCCCCCACCTGCCTGAAACGACTCCAGTGACATCACTATGTAACACTTGCACTTTTATTGGCTAGCGCTCCAACACATTGCACGTGATACGCTAAGGGGCGGGACATCTCTAAGCAGTCGACCAATCACAACAGAGCCGTCATCAACCTCCCATTATTCCCTTCTGTCGGCTTTGTCTTTTGTATCCCTTTTTTGTTTTCATTTCTTTCTGTTTAATGTTTCTCTCTGCTTTCCTCTGCTTTTACAACAGCAGGAACAGCATGTGCCCGTTAACAAAAGAGAATAAATAAATGATGACAGCGAAGGTAGGTAAAAATACATTTAACACCCACAGGCTTCAAATGAAGCATTACTTTCTCATTAGGCGTTCTCAGTAGCTCAGCCTGAGTGTATGATATTTTGGTTTGTTTCACAGCACACATTAAATCAGCATTACTGCAAATGTGTTGATGTTAACCACACAGAGTGAGAGTGGAAACTGTTATCCAGATATGCCTGAGAAAGTACATAAACCTGTTGAGGAAATCATGAGTTTATGGTCTGTTTAACTCACCGGGTTCCTGCTGCTCCGCTGACTGGGGATCAGTTTCATTTGTTACACGTTCACAGGATTCAGTGTAATGGATACACTGCTGAAGGGCTGCTACAATCTGAAGAAGAAAAAAGATTTGAATGTAATGTGGCTGCTGTAAACACCTGATTGGTCATGACAACTGCTAATCTCCTTCGACTCTTATTGAACCCTTTAATCAAAGTTCATTTGAATCTTAATCCTGAAGCACTGGAGGGAATTTGAATGCACTGCAATGCAAGAGTAGTTTAGGCTCAGAGTGCTTGGAAGAGTTATTGACATTTACTTTTCAAAGTTTCAGGGGTGATTCATCAGTAACCCTCTCTAGAGTCAGAGAGAGAGCACAGAGGGAGGTTTAGGATTAAACAATCAATCTTTAAATGTCAAAGTGACACTAAAATCTTTGTGCCCCTTTATATTGACCTTTACTGTTTGGCTATGTTGATCACACACACACACACACACACACAAATGGGCATGAATAGGAATGTTATTGTATGGTTTCAGTTAAATGCAGCCAGTCTTTTGAAGAATCCACCATCTGTTTTATTCTGAATACATACAGTATCTTGGTACAGTAAAGGTAGGAGCTAAAACAGAAATGTGGCTTCTTTTCTGGGGTCTAAATATGAAAATCAAAGAAGTCTGAATTTGAACTTTGCCGTGTTATTTTCCATCCTACCTTTTCCTAGCTCATGCACTGTGTTTTCTTTTTTGGATGCTCTTCCTGGTGCCTAAGCCTGCACTCACACCAGATCAGGCTCTGTGATTGAGTTTGTGTGGTGATGTGGGAGTGCTGCTTAATGAAAGCCTAATTTACTCAAATCGACCGATTTCTACCAAAGTAGATACTCAACTTTGGTAGAAATCTTTGAGTTTCAATTTGTAAAAGAAAAATGTCCATGAGACAACTATGTTATATTTAGTTTTTCCTGCACTACCACTACTACCACTGCAACATAAACACACTTCCCATTTTTTTGTATTAATGTAAATACTGCATTTTTTTGGCCCAACTCCTGATTTGGAGAAACACTTCTCATGCTTGTTTCATTGCTGTTTCTTTACAGTGTTAGACGTTTGAAAAGTACAAAGGAGTCAGAGAGAGATATTGATTTAGGAGTGGATCACTCACCAGAGACTTGTATTTTCTCTCCAGGAGTCTGAGAACTACAGTCCTGCTGTAGTATCCATGCTGAGAGAGGGTGAGGGAAACACACCAGGATAAAAGAAAGGGCATGTACAAGATAATCAGTGATAAAGACACTACTGAGTTACAAAATAACACAGTAGTGCATCATGGTTCCTACAGCTTAAGGCAACATTAAAGACCTTTTTATGGCCATTTGCAATTTAAATTTAGGACCAACTTTCAATACAATTGTTATTTAGGGAACTCTTTAAAAGAAAACGATGTAACCAATCAGGAAACATCCTAATCATACTCCCTGCGTCTCAGTATTATGGATCTGTAGGAACCATGTTCATATACACCATACACTCTGCCTAAATCAATCAAAACTGTGTATTTCTAACTCATACCATCCACTTTTTAAACCAGGTAGCTTTAACATCCAGTAAGGCCAGCAGGTGAATGGGTTCCAGGACGTTCTCTGTCCCAGGTGAACCTGAGCCATGTTCATGATGTAAAGACAGCAGAGAGAAAGTGCTCTCTATAACTTCCTCCATGTACCTTAAGCAGGGTAGAAAAGATGTACACCTTAAATCTGGACATAGGAAATAAAAAATAAGTACATTTGAACTGGGATAAACCATGTGACTACATATTAAAGGGGACCTATCATGCAAAATGCACTTTGATGTCTTTTATGCATAAAGATGTGTCCCCGGTGTGTCAGGGAACTCACGCAGCGTCAGGAAATAAAACCCTCTCTCTTTTCCTCCGTACCCAAATCTCTAAAAACGGGGCTGCAACGGAGCTGATCCAGATTTGCGTCCGATATGACTTAATATCTGAAATGTGGACCCACGGCCCTATCAGAAACGTTGCTATCAGAAACAATGCCCGACTGTTTTGGACGTAATATGGTCGGTGTTTACATTAGCATCGCTAACACTCAGAGCTAACCTGTACTGGAGAGCATGTGTGTGAAGAAGCAGGAAATAAAAAGGAACTCACCTTGTGGTATAACCGGCAAGAGAGAAAGCCTTTGAGCTCCATACTGTTTCAGAAATAATCCTTGATAATCCATGATATGGTGTTTCATCACGGCAGTATTTAGTTTAGACAGTAGCTGCCGGGTCCCGCATGAGCTCAGCCACCTCCTTTTTTATTTTTTTATCAATTTTTTTAAAGCTTTATACCCCAAATCAGCACTTTTGAAACAGGAAGTGAAATAGAGGGATATGAGGCATGGCTAGAATGGGTGATCTGTTTGGTATTTTGAGCAAAACACTTCATAGACATGTTTTTTATATATTTGTATATATCTGAGACCTATGCTATTGCCTAAAAATAGCATGATAGGTGACCTTTAAAGTCAAAACTCACTTCTCAGGATGGCGGATCCAAAACGTTGTCACCTCTTTTTGAAAATCATTCATCAACCGCATCTGAGGCAAGGCAGACGGAGAAAAAGTTGTAATGTGTGTGTTTTGTTATACACATGGTGTAAGACAAGAGATGCTGTACCTGTTTGAGAAGGCGACTGATCTCAGGTCTGTTGATGTCGATGGTGGCTGAGCCCGTTGGAAAGCTTAGCTTATGAGACAGGAAACTTGACTCCACACTTTTAGCTGCACATCAAAAGGCAAAATGTACTAATTATGAACCATGCAAGATAATATTGGGGTTCAAAAACATAATGCAGCATTACAAAAACGATAAATTAACCGTGCACATCAGCCTTTCACAATAACACATTTATTGGACGATGTATTGTTCCAAAAATAAAAAATGTCATGCCACTGACGCAATGGCAAAACAATAGGAGTACACCCTTTCAAAGAGCAATGAACTTTTGATTCTTAAGCAAATTCAGACATCCAAATTGAAATGTAAAACAAATATTTCAAAAAGGAGCTGACCGCTTTACATATAATTTCATTTATAGATAATTTATTGATAACTGATTCTCCATTGCTCAGTTTGAACATGAAGTGATGCATATGCACTGCATGAATATGACTTAGGCGGTGTTTACACGAGAACGAAACGGGTTGTATCTGCTACTTTTCTCTCGCATATAGCCCGTTCGTTCACACGAGGCCGTAACGGAAACGCTGCAACGGACCCCGCAAACGATAACGGGTCCCAAGGTGGATAGATCTGCAACCGGAAAGCTCTGGGGGGCCAAACGGCTCCGTGTGTACGCCCTATACGATCATTTCCTGATAACGATGAAGCCATAGCCCCGCCTCTCTCCGCCTCTGCTGCTCACTGCTGTAGCATGGTACATGGTAGCATGCTACTGCTACTGACCATGCTACAGATGTTAGTGCAAAATCTACAGCTCCTCTACCACAACCATCAGCAACAAGTGGACATGGAGAATTACATGAACTCCATGTTGCTAAATCCACCGCGGGGCATAAACAGAACGGCAACCATGCTCGGGGTCTTCTTCGCTGCTTTTGGTGTATTTTGTGCAACTTACAGGCCCGGCATATGTACTACAGTGTTTCCAGCGGGTCGAGCGGTCTCGTGTGAACGGACACGTTAATTGAGCCGAATGCGTGTGAACGGAAGACTTTTTTGAAAACAAATTAGGTGCGTAAACGCAAACGTTCCCGTGTAAATGGGGTCTTACCCAGACTGGTGTAGATCTCTCTGGTCACATTCAGTGGAGAGGAGGAGAAGCTTTTAGCAAAAAACTGCAGGACATTATCCTGGTGGAGATAACGGGCAGAGGCATAAGTTATCAGCATACTCACAGACACAATCAATCAATTTTACCCGAATAATCAATTATAAGAAGATATAATTAGATTAAATTGTACAAAATAGTTCCAGCTTCTACTGATTGGCTCTGAATCAGTGTGGACAACATGGTTATCTTGTTTTTTCCTCTAACAAATCAGGTGTGACAGGATTGCTTGTTAGACGATTCACATTATGTTTTCTGTGTTTGTTATCATTAATTATAACGTCTGAAATTGTCCATAACAAGGACATGATTAATATTGATTATGTTGTAACTGAATTAAGTGTGAATGTGTAGGAGAGGCTCAGGACTCACGCTGAGGTCGGGGTCGGTCAGAGCGTCACAGAGGTTCCTGCGCAGGCTGCTCCAGCTCTCACAGATCAGCACGTCAGAGGGGGGGGCTCCGCACAGAACCTGAAGAGCTTCCCAACGCACCTACACACACACAGTCACATCACTTCACCTGGAACTGTCTGGTATTTAAATGGCTTTGTCAAAGTCAACTTTATTGTCAATGTTTCCCACAATCCCGAATACAAAAACAACTATATATACAAATATGTATGCAAATATGTATATACCTATACACAATCAAAAGACACATTCATACATATGCACACATTAAGACCTAAATAAAAGCACAACAATCAATATATAACAAAATAACAGTCACTTCAATATCTTTGAGAATGTACATTAGTGCAAGACTGTCCATAGCAGCGGGAAAAAAAGTGTCTGGTGCTGGCTTTGGGTGTCTGTGTGTGTGGGGTGTTAAAGTCCAGTGGGGGCAGGGGGGAGAGGGGGGAGAGTTCAGCCTCCTGATCACTGAGAACACAGTGCTTTATAAATATTGTGTATTATTGTTATTTATATTCACATTTCTACACTTTATGGCTTGTGACCCCTCCAAACAAAGTCACGTTTCTTTATCATAACCGGTTGCTTATGTCTACATCTCTAATAATTCAGGCTTCTCAATTCAAACTTTTCTTATTTAAGTCTGATTTTTTCATTTTTAGATGCCTGAAGAAGTATATTATTTTGTTTTTCAGTAGATCATTTGAAAACACCAGAGGAATGTCATAAAATACCATATAACAATAAACCAAATTTCCCACAAATCAATTTTTTAACCACTTGTTTAGATCCAACCCCCGGGTTTGAAATGAATCTATTGCCACACATTACTCAAGGTTACTTAAAAAAAACAAACATGCAACAGCGCTTTATCATAGACCGCTTTCACACCAAGTACTTTGCCGTACTTAGTTCCCAGCACTTAGTTCCCAGCACTTAGTTCCCAGCACTTAGTTCCCCCATGGTTCATCACACCGGAATAAGTTCCACTGAAGGGAAGATTACGCAAATGAAGCCGCTGGACGTACACTTCCTCTTCTGCTTCTGTCTTCTGCTTTGAGGTTTAGCTGAGGCAGGCCGCAAACAAAACTTCCACGGCGTATACTGCCACCCGGAGTCCCGGCCGGAAGTCCCCGGAGTTGGGGACTGGCTGCAGTAGAAGCTGGCTGGGGACTTCCCCGGCAGCTTTACTAGCCTTCCGAGTAAATCGCCAGAACGCCGGACACCTCCTCATCTCCACGCCTCCCATGTTTATTTTGTGTTGGCCATAAGTTATTCTCTCTGCCGTTGGTGCGCGGGGCTAATGCTAATGCTAATAATGCTAATGCCAGCAAATACAATGGCGGACTTCACAAAACTTTTCAGAGTTTTACGGGGCGTGGTTTTGCCTATCGCCCAGCCAATCAGAAATTGGAACTTTTTTTCTCCCCAGGACAGTACCTGCTCTTCCAGCAGGACTGGAAAAGGGGGACAAGTTCTCAATGAACTAAGTTCTCTTTTTGGTGTGAACGCAAAATCCCAGGAACTATCGGAACTAAATGGGAAAAGTACTCCGGTGTGAAAGCGCCTATAGTGTATTTGTGTAAGCAGGCCTTTGTACCTCTTTTGGTCGGCTGGAGTCAAGTTGTTCAGCCAAAACTTGAAGCTGCTCTTGTCTGATGAAAGCATAACTCTAGAGAGGACAATGGAGACAAAGCACAAAGCAATTAAAGTAAGATAATAAGAGATATGATGCAATATTGGCACTTTATATTGGCTGAAGACTTTTCTTTTTGCCGCTGCTTTTAATTGAACTATTCATATCTTAAACTGCACTGTAACTTTTATTCGGGTATTTTTTTCTCTTAATGTTTATTTTATTATCTTTGCTTTTTAATGACTGTTTTTAAATGCCATTTTCTTAATGTCTTTCATTTTTCTAAAGCACTTTGAATTGCCTTGTTGAAAGGTGCTATATAAATAAACTTGCCTTGCCTTGCCTTGCCTTGATATGAATCATTCAGTAATAAAAAAGGCAATAAATAAATTGACATATGCTCCGTCTGACCTGGTTGAAGGAGGAGTCGCTGTCGGAGCAGTTGTCGGTGTACTGGCTGTTGGCCTGGCTGTGCTGCTGCTCTCTGTGTATCTCCTCCTTCCTCATCTGGTCCTCCTCAAATTTGTTGATTAAAGACTCCACCACCATGATCATGGTGTTTTTTAGAGTCTGCATCATCTGCTGGTACCTGCCACAAAGAGAAAAGTTCCTCATTTCAGGATTTACAATGTTAGCACAATTAAAAAAGTAATGACTTATAAACTGACTCCACAATTAATACGTCATAATCAGAAGGAGAAAAGAGAGGAAACAAAGCTCAGAGACTCAGCACCACTCACTCTGCTGAGTCTCTGCTCTTCCGGGTGATAGCATGAATCAGGGTGTCGTGACCTGAGCCTATTGCATGTTGTCCATCTCCTCTGGTCAGGTAATTGGTCTCTTCTTCCACCACAGTCCCCAGAGAGCTCTCCACATACTGACGGAGATACTTGACAAACTCATAACTGAAGAAGAATAATAACAGAGTCAGAGCTACTGTTCAAATTGAAATAGTATAAATTACTTTTAAATATGACCATAAAGTATATTCTATACTATCTGACTCTTGTGGCCTTACTTGTGGAAGTTCTTGTCAGTCTCTTCCAGGTGGAGGAGGATCTCTTCAGCACATTCGGTGGACGGAGCTCCAGAGATCCTGTCGTTGATGCTTCTCAGAAGCTGCTTCAGCAGGGACTGCAACTCCGCTTCGTCTTCAGCCGACAACTGAGACATCTCTACTGTTGGTCCTTTAAGGGACAGAGTAGAGTGATTGGTTTCATAGGCCCTCAATGTGAAAATGTATGAGGGTGAAGAGCCAGTTCCCTGTGTATTGCTACCCAGGGTTTGACAGACAGTTCAGAAAGGAGGAAAGTATTTGAGTTGGTTTTCTTTAAAGATATATATTACTGTTTAACTACCTGTAAATAAGATGCATAGATAGAGGGGAAAAAACACTCAACCAAAGATTAGTAAAATAATGAATGTGCATAACCATAGTCAAGGTCCTTTCCAAACGAAAATGTAATTTTTCTAAATTGATGTTATCATTTGTTTTCTTGTGCTTTTACTTGTGTAAGCCATTTGAGTGGTGTTAGGTATGAAAGTTGATGTATTTGGGTATGAAATATGCTATCTAAATAAAAAGGAGTCAGTTTCAATGCTCAGCACACAGGGGTAAAATGCTCATATGTTATGGGTCATGCATTTTTCAGAAACAAGTGTCAATCAGTTCATCACTGACAGGTGTATCACTGTCATCACTGACTGGTCCAGATAGTTTAAATAACGTGTTTTCATTGTCACTAGATAGCTGTTTGCACGCCACAATACACAAATACAAATATAGCAGCCAGAATTAATTGGTCTATGATGTACACCCAAACTAACGTATGTGATATTAAATGTAGAGCCAAACACTACACAAGTATATCATGTATTCTCTCTGGTTAGCTTTAAGATGCTAAATGCACCACTGTAACACAGCTAGCTCAAGACAACACTGCAGAATTTTAACTGAAAGCGTAGCTGTCCAAAAACCAAAAATGTCACTGTTGCACAAACTGAACATCCGAACATGAAGACATCATATGAAGGATATTTTTAAACCAGTTTACCTTGTTTATGGACTTGTACAACTGTTTCATCCAGGTAGCATTTTGGGAGAATTTGCCACCGAGTGCTGCGTCTCTATGGAAACGGTGGTGCATTGTGGGATGTCAGAAGAAACTGTGCGCTACCTTTTTGAGCGTTGGAAATATGGGCTTCATAGATGAGGTATGTGACGTTTCAGATAAAGCATCCTTGAAAATACAAGATGTCGACAGAATAAAATGTAATGCAATATATACTTGGAATGTAATAATTTATTTTAAATTCTCTTAAGAGACGTATAAATAAACGATCATTTTTTTAACAACTACTGTAGGCAAGCATTGGGACCAAAAAAAGAGAAACACGGACTTTATCTTCTCTTAAAATCCTTCTTGAAATGTCAACATTATTTTGTCATAGTTAATTGTTTATTATCCAGAAACTGCAGTTTTAATATGGCTGTTATACCTCTGTATTCTTCCAAATCATTTCTGTCGGTTTTTCTCGTGTGGTCTTAAATGCAGCACCACTACCTACGTCACATGGCTCAATGTTTTGCTCTTTTGACATGGTGCTGCGTGGAGACATCTCTGCCTGCTAAAACCGGCTGAAACTCTGCTAAACCTTCATTTGTTATCATTTATTTAATATGCCGTAACAAGGAAACGTTTTGTTCACACGCCTGACTGACTGTTAACTTTACGGTTAGGAATCTCAAAGCTAAATCTGCTGTTTAAGCTTTAGCTATAGCAAGCTAGCATCAGCATCAACAGTGTGGATTATGGCGTCAGTTGACAGCTTTCAGTTTTTGTATAGAGAAATGTCTCGATCATGCAATCCTTACTTTGAAACCCTGGCCCTGGTCGGTGCTATTTACACGGCCAGCAGGGCAGTAATCCTGCTCAGAGAATGCTGCTCTTTGGTCAGGGTGCATTTTCTGCCCAGATTAATCCCCAATAAGAAGAAGCTGAGCCAAAGGTTTGGAGACTGGGCCATCGTGTATGGTAAGGCTGCAGAAACTAACAGAGTGCATGATGATTTAGATATGTGTGACAGAGAGGAGAGGAGAGTCCGTTTCATGCATTTTATTTTAGGAGCCCTTCAGTTAGATTTGGGATGTAAATCCCTTTTAATTTGATCAAGCACAAAATAAAGTTGAAGCTTCTTAGATTCGATATTTTTTGACAACACCACAGCTAATTATGTCTGCAAATAATCATATTCATTATTGACTTATCAGGTACTGATTTGCTCTATCAAAAATATGGACAAAAAGAGAACATTTTAAATTATTTTATTATATAAAAATTAGAAAAGCAGCACATTTTAGGTAACACTTGAAAAGCTTGAATCAAAAGATATGAATTGCCATGAAAAGTGCTAATGTATCAAATGAATTGAGATTGTTGTTGTTTAATGTCTTGGCAATATACTAATCATCTTATAATTTCAGTAACAAAGTGAGTAAATTGCATTTTTAGAGCCCAAAATGAAGTTACTGTGCAATAGCTCTCAGTTATATATCCTAATTTCTTCTTCACATGCATTCATTGATAGATATCGTGCTCTCTCCTCTCAGGTGCATCCGAGCCGGTGGCCAAAGCCTACGCAGAGGAGCTGGCCCGACATGGCGTCAGCATCATCTTTGTCACTCAGAGCGAGGCCTCTGTGAGAGACATCGCTGCTTTACTCTCCCAAAGCTACGGAGTGGAAACTGTTGTGCTCCTCGCTGACTTCTCTTTGAACCAAGCAGCCAGCAATACCATCAAAGAGGCCATGAAGGGCAGAGAGATCGGCATCCTGGTGAACTGCATGGAGTCTTTGGATTCCCCTCAGAGCCTGATAGAAATGCCTGAGCAGGGCCTGTTGGATCTGGTGAATAAAAATGTAGCGGTGGCGACTCTGATGGCGCGGTTGGTGCTGCCCGGGATGCTGGAGCGCCGCAGAGGAGCCGTGGTCAACATATCATCGGGAGCCTGCTGCAAACCTCTGCCTGGGAGATTGACACTAACTGCATTTGCTGTAAGAAAAACACTGAGAATATCTACTTTATAAATACATATTTAATACCCCTTTCTAAAAGTACAATATATCTTTTGTTATTTTCTCTTGACATTTCAGGGCTATATGGATCATTTGTCAAGAGCTCTTCATCTCGAGTACAGCGGCAAGGGGATCTTTGTCCAAAGTCTGATTCCTTTCCAGGTAGATGCCTTATATGTCGATTACAAGTTGGCCTGCTTGCTGTCCTTAAATACATTTAAGGTGCCAACCAAAGTGTGTCAAGCTAGTGAAGCTAGTTTCAAATGCACGTTTCTGTTTATATTTAGACAACATTTAACATTTGAGAGTTTTGGCTTGTAAAAAATAGCGTTTGTTTTATATTTCTCAAAGTAATGTATCAAAAATAATTGGTGTTTTTACCAAAACGCAGGTTTTTTCAGCTGCATCAATTAGCTAATTAACAACAAAATTATTGAAGCTTTTCTCAATTTGATATCATGTTAAACTTAAAGGTGGGGTAGGTAAGTTTGATAAACCGGCTCGAGATACACTTTTTGTTATATTCCATGGAATGCTCTTAACATCCCGATAGCAATGAATATCTGAAGTGCTTTGACAAAAAATCCATTAAAAAATGTAATCTGTGGAAGCCGTAGTACTGTAAAAAGCACGACCAATCATCTGAGCCGGCCCGGCTAAAATAACTGGATGGCCTACCTGCCTGTCAGCCTTCCATCTGTGCACAAACTTATCTCGTGCCCTCATTGGTCATGTGCTCGTTCATGTGTGTTGGAGGAGGGGCTCTTTAAGGAAGTGGCAGATTTTTTCCGGTTGTGTATTTTCAAATTCTAGCGCACTCGAGCTGGTTTCTCCAAAATTACCTACCCCACCTTTAATATCTTTGGATTTTTTTGAGACACCACACAATTCATTTTTATAGACCAAACAATTCATTAATTAATTAGGTCAGGAAATAATAATTGAATCACACACATAACATGAATTGGATTCTTTGGATTTTTACCAAGTAAGTATACATTATTCTCTCAGTGTTTGATCACCAGTATGTATATGTGTTACCAGATAAGTGAGCAACCACCGTCCTCATCATCACCATCATCAAGACTCAACTGGTTTGAACCACAGCCGGAGGTTTACGCCCGCCACGCCATCTCCACCCTGGGGGTCTCCAACAGGACCACCGGATACTGGCCTCACACTCTGCAGGTCAGGACGACATAAGTCATGAAGGGTGTTCACATTGAAGGAATCTGCTTTCTAGTGTTGATGCATTACATAGAAGTATTCTACATAAATGAAGACTAGAGTAAAAATCCAATAAAAATGTGTGCAAAGCATCTGAATTAACTTTGAATATGTGGTAGATATGTTCCTAGAAGTACAATAGATCAATTTAAATAATTCAGATGTATTTTATATTTTTTATAGTTCAATTCTTACAATTTTGTATTTTTCCATTTTAATGTATTATATGTTTTATCCTCAGAAGTAACTCAGACAGTAACACTGATAATATGATCTCAAACATAAGATATATTTCTGATCTGTTTCTCTCTGCTGTTTCTCTTCACAGTACGGACTGATGAGACGTATTCCAGACTTCATGTGGGTTCTTGGATCACGTGTGTGGATCAGTTTAAGCTAAAAGCTCTGCTCTCCTCCCTCTGACTTACTCTAACCCACTTACTGGATCTTCTTGTTACAGAGTTTTAAACATCTGCCATTAGTCTAAATTCATTCAACTCTCAGGCTCAGTTAAGGTTGGTAGTTAAAGATAATTTCATATATTTATTTGGTGTCAGTATTTATTGAAGCTGCAGTGGAATTTGCCTAAATGAATGAATCGATATACACTACTAGTGTATCAATATATGGTCGGACAAATGTGTGACATCCTTTAGTTACCTATAGAAACTAGACTATAGAACAATTATCATTTGTATATCAAAACCTCACCCTGTGTTGAACCTTGAATTTGTAAAGCAAAATGTGTGTTTTTCCATTCCTCCATGGTGAACAAAGAATACAAAACAAACTTGTAAATGGGGGCATGTTCAACAACTAGCAAAACTATATTTAAAAAATCTGTTTACAAACTCTTAAAGAGCTCGCGCAGTAAAATCCAAGTCTCAATTATCCGGTTGTATGCTCAGTACTTCCTAAACACATTCATTTTAACTTAAATCTTACTATTTAAAACACTTCTGTATAATAATGATGCTCAGGCGCACTGCTCTATCAGACAAGACTCAAGTGTTCAAAGGCCTGGTTCATTACATGCAAGCGAAAAACTGAATGTACAATTATTCTATTTGTATATGTATTCAGATCAAATGTTACATTAAAAAACACAGCCAGGAGAAAGCAATACAAAATCAGCCGCGATGAAATAAACAAAATGTTATTTTTGACACTACCTATATCCTGTGTTATCTGGTTTTATCCATACAGTAGGGTTCATTTTATGTATGCTCAGATAACTGCTTGTACCACAGTTTACTGGTATCTACCACACCCACAATATATAAGACTCGTTCAAAGACCAAATGGCATTCACCCGAAAACACAACATCATTCCCAGTTAGAGAGACGGACTAATAAAGTAAAATAATTATTCTCAATGTGTGCAGAGCTGTATTAAGCAATACCAGTTAATAGAGTTATTTTTGATCAATATAATTAAATCTCAACGTGATGTACAGTAGAGTGAGATTGTGATGTTTGTTTCATTGAGAAACGATATTTGAGATACCTTTAGTATGTGTGTATATATTGCTTTAAAATCTGTATTTATTTTAAACTAGGTCAACAGATCTGTAAACAAATTATGGTGTTTTTTCTGAGTGGTTGCTTACACATACACAGTATATAACTTCAATGTGTTATCATTATACAACAAACAATAAATGTCTTTCTCCATTCTCAAACTGTCCTGTGTTTTATTTAAATGAAGTGCCAAAGTGTTTGTCTATATACGAAATGTTGACTGGACTATATTCCGAAGGCCACACACGTTTTGTTGTTCACCTAAAACGTCAGGATGGTGTAAATCATTCACGTGAACAGACACTGCCAGAGTTCACCCTGTGACCCCCCTTCCCATCAGCCAGGTCACAGAGTGTTGGTGACCTTTAGTCAAAGTGAGTGAGGCGCAGGCTGCCGTGAATCCACGTGGTGCAAAACCAACCTCGACTGCTTTCAGGGGATTTAAACACAAAACCATAGTCTATGAATCCATTGTAGGTGTACTTATCTGCGGGTATTGTGTCAGCCAACAAAGTAAGATTCTTTTCAGGCTAATTTGGTAAATGTCTTCATGAAATATCAAGTTGTAAAGGCATTAGGTTTCCTCATAAACATTCATATAGCAAGTTTTCATACAAATACTGAAGCTTTAAGGAGGTCCTATTATGCTAAGTTTCAGGTTCATAATTGTATTTTAAAGGGCCCATGTCATGCTTTTCCGGTTATTACCCGTCCCCTTGTGTGTTATGTAGCTTTTTCTGCATGTAAACGGTCTGCAGAGTCACAAACCCTCAAAGTACACCCTGTAGCGAGTAAAACTCTTAACACAGAAATGTTATGCTGCCCCAGAACGCCTCGTTGGAGATTTCTCTTTTTACATTGTTTGCTTCCTGGGTTCTGTGACGTGTGAACACCCAAATCAACAACAAATGACCGGATTGGCCCAAATGGACCAATCCGCGGAGCACCTCACACACCAGGATCCCTTGGCTAACTAACAGGGAGTCCCCATTGACTTGCATAGAGCTCCCTGAACGCTGGTAATAGACGAGTTGGGATGGCGGAGAAATGCTCTCTGCAGACCCATTCTCACAGCGTTATAAACCTTTTTCTTACTCAATATCAAGCCACACTTATTGTTTTTACTTCGGCTGTGAGTGTTTGTGTGTGCTCAGGATGAGTTTCGCTTGTTCTCGCTGCATCGCCGACCCGGAAACCTGTCCGCAGCTCGCAGCAACGAGCCTCGCAACGAGCCTCGCAACGTCCCGACCAATCAGAGCACACTGGGCTCACAGGGAGGGGGGGGGGACCGGAGCTCCAACAAGCCGTTTAGGACAGAGAGTGAATACACATACTATACAGAGATGCTGTATGAGAAACCAATGAGATTTTGGAAAATTGCACAATGTAAATCTATTCTAGTAGACCTCAACAATGGAATTATGATCAGTAGAAATGGCCATGACATGGGACCTTTAATGATTTTGCATCCTGGCTGGTGTGATCCAATTTAAGATGATGCCTACTTTTCATACCCCTTAAACCTTTTATTGAATCCTGAAAGCATCTGCATTTCTTTCCCTACTCTTATACTAAGGTATGCCCTTTGATGCATCAACCGTCTGTACAAAATGTACTAAAAGTAGATGAGGTAGTTGAGTATACTTCAATGTGTTGTTGAACAATGACAATAAATGATCCATGCAATACAACCATCCCCTTCTTTCTGACCCTGTTCCTTCTCCACTGTGAAATGCAGCAGTATTGTCTCAGATATAAAACCCAGGTGTTCAGCAGCCACTCAGATTCAGTGTTAGGACTTTTTTGTTGTGGTTAGGATGGTGTCCTTCCAGATAAGACACAAAAGGAACGATGAAAGAATCTTCTTCTCCTCTTACTCTCTTCGTCGTCCTCCTGAGACATCTTTCTCTTCACTCATCTTTTTCTCTGTGGGTTTGTTCAACTGGTAAGTTTTTATTTGGATGTTATGATACATATGTGTATTCTCTTTTAAGCTGTAAATGGGCTGGAATCTCTTAGAGTTGGTCGGTTAATGGATTTATTTTGATTGGTGTTTTTATAATAATCTACTCTGCATTTGTACCATGCACAATTTGGAAACAAAGGTAAATATGCTGGCCGCTTGTACTAACGTGTGAATGCAAGAAACCGTAACAATAGGCTCAAAAGGCAGAGCTACATAGTGGATGTGCAATGGTTTAATAAAGTACAAAATGTTGTTTCTAAATGTCGAAAAGCTAATAAAAATTCTTCTTACTAACATTTATTTAACAGCTAATTTACCAAACAGTCAATCATTTCGTCGTGTAAGGACGCTTTAAAAACTATGATTCTGATTAAATAAACAAACGTAAAAAAGAAAATAACTATATAACATAAAACAAATACTTTACTTGTTGATGTTTTTGAAAGCTATGACCTTAAACTATAGCAGCTTTTTTTTACTCGGTCTTTATTCGTCATTGGTTGAGCTCACATTCTTTGAAGTGAGATTTGCAACAGTTTGTAATAACCAAGGTTAAGGTCTTAGTTGTTTTGGAGAGGTTAGATCAGCAGCTGTGGCATCTATCAGTAAACTCACAAGCCTTCAGGAAATGATAAAGTGTGGCCTTGTGAGAGAGACTGTGTTCTGGCTTCAACAACTACAGGGATTCCTGTAACACTTTTTATAAAACTGCAAAAAATAGGTCCAATCAAAGTGTGAATGGAAGGAATAAAAAGCAGACATTGAAAAATATTCTCTTCTTGTCAAACAATAATACTGGATACTTCTCAAATAACGCATGTATACCCTCAGATTATAGTTGTTTTTACAGTAGGTCATGATGGATTGTTTTTTCCTGTTATCTCCTCACACAGAAAGCAGGACAACTGGCGACTGAAATGGGCGAATGGGATCTGCTGGGCCGCCTGCTGGACAAAGTGCAGAGCCACTCCACGGTGATCGGCAAGGTCTGGCTCACCGTGCTGTTCATCTTCCGCATCATGGTCCTGCGCACCGGGGCTGAGAAGGTCTGTATATATAATAAGCATTTCACACAAAGAAAGAACGTGGAATGTCTTCTAATTCCCACTAAATGTAGGGAAATAGATGCCAATGAACACTTCAGTACAGTTTCATGATCACTTTCGAAGTACAGGGCAGTAGATATTGACCCTACTATACTTTAAAGGTCACCTATTATGTAAAATCCACTTGTTCATGTCTCTTCTACATCAACATGTGTCCCCTCTGTGTAAAGAGACTCTGAAAGTTTCAGGAACAAAGATTCTCTCTCTTTTTGTCCTGATCCATTTCTATAAAAACCTGTCTGAAAATGAGCTGATCAGATTTTGGCCACTTTATGATGTCATAACGATTTTTTGGCTTGTGTAACCATTAGCCAATCAGCAACCAAGGTAACCCCACCCCCCCCCCCCACCCCCCCCCCCCCCCACCTTTATCACCTGAATCTCCTCCTAGAGCACCATTGAGTTCTTTTTAACCAAATCTCTCTCAGAGGGGCGTGGGGAGGGGCTCCTTATTTTCATCTAAAGTAACAGACAGAGAATCAGCACTTTGGAAACAGGGCTGAAACAGAGGGGATTATGGGATGCTGCAATGATCTGTTTGGTGTTTGGAGCCAAACACTTCAGAGACATGTTCTGTATAAATCTGAGACCTATAATATATTGATGAGAAACAGTATAATAGGGGACCTTTAAGGGATTTAGAAAAAACTAGGATTTGCTTTGGGCGACTGTGGCTGCGAGGGAGTGCGGTCGTCTTTCAACCAGAAGGTTGTGGGTTCGATCCCAGCCCGTGCAGTCAACATATCGATGTATCCTTGGGCAAGATACTTAACCCTGAGTTGCTCCCGATGGCCAACGGTGTGTGAATGTGTGTGAATGTTAGGTCCTAGAGTAAGGTACACTGCTCTGTAGGAATGGGTGAACGACATGTAGTATGTAAAGCGCTTTGAGGGGTCTTAAAGACTGGATAAAGCGCTATATAAGTACAGTCCATTTACCATTCCCAAAAATAAAATAAAACCGGTTAAAGAAGATTATATCTGTGTCAGAGAGGCTGATGGGAACAGAGGATTTAGCAGCTGATGATTTGTCCTGAAAGCAGAGTGAGTACAAGCTTTGAAAACATTTATCCTGAAAAGCCAACCGCCAGATGTTAGCAGATGTGAGATGAAAACGAGGGGCAATCTACCAAATATGACAGAATATTTTCCAAATGTCACAGAAGCACTTTTTATATCACAGTATCCACAGAGGATGTTCTTCTCTCTTTGCTCATGAGTGCATGAAGCTGCCATCATGTGTTCCTGCTGAAATAATATATAATATATGTTCTATTAAATAATCCTAAATCTGGGAATTGAAAAGAAAAGTGGTTCAAAGGTCAAAGATGGGTTCAGGTAACAGTAAAACAGGAAACTGTGTTGTCTGGGGATGCAACATGGATGAAAGAGAAGGATGAAAGGAATATAAAAAGGTTTGAAAACTGGGATGCTGCAATGATCTGTTTGGTGTTTGAGAGACATGTTTTGTATATATCTGAGACCTATAATATATTGATGAAAAACAGTATAATAGGGGACCTTTAAACTCTTAAAGTTTGCATTATGTATAATCTTTCGTTCTCTATTCTCTTCCTCTAGGTGTGGAGTGATGAGCAGTCCGACTTTGTCTGCAACACCCAGCAGCCCGGCTGTGAGAACGTCTGCTACGACATGGCCTTCCCCATCTCTCATGTTCGCTTTTGGGTCCTGCAGATTATTGCTGTGGCGACTCCCAAGCTGCTTTACCTTGGCCACTGCCTGCATGTGATCCACTTGGAGAAGAAGGTGTGTTGCTGCAGTGGGTGTGGTATAAAAGAGTGAAATAGTTTTACAAAACAATGGCAGAGACATTAAGATGGGTTCTACCGCTGATCCTTTGTTGCCAACTTTAGGCAGCTGTTTCCAGATAAACTGGTCCCATACAGGCAAAAGGTTGATTAACCCTTATGTTGTGTTCGGGTCTCCCGTGACCCGTTTCAAGTTAAAATTATATAATAACTACGCTCTAGTTTTTTTTATCTGAACAAGGCTTCATGATATCCTCCACAGCAGCTATATAAACACTACAAAACTGATTTTGACCATTTTAGCCAAGTCTGAAGGTCTCTAAAAAAAAAGTGTGTGGAGACCCAGCAGAATTGTTTTGGGTGACTCAGGGTCAAATTTGGCCCAATCAAGATTCATCTTTGACTTTAGACACCCCTCCCCCACCCCCTTCATCCACTGTAACAATAATTTAAAACTTTTGGGGGGGAGATTGTATTCTAATATTAGTCTATTATAGTCAGATAACGTAATGACCCACTGTCTTCACTATAGGAAGTGAATTGAATCACATGTTTTACTTAAATATGTGGTGTAATGTTTTTTGGGGCCATAGAATAAAATTACAGGATTGTACGGTTATGAATGCATAATAAGTTAGTTATGATGTAGTTAAAACAATATTGGATGATAGTCATTATTTATGAGTGTTTTGGACAGAGATAAATCATGGGCCCCGCGAACACCATGAACGGTAACAGCTTTTGAACACCACACAAGGGTTAAAGCAGCTTTAATGTGACACTTACAATTCAATTATAATGTACAAGTATAGCACCATATCACACAAAAGCAGTCCAGAGAGCTTTACATAATAAAACAAAAGAGACATGCGGACCGACATACTAAACTCAAATCTATTTTTAAGCACCTAAAACTCACTTCTTGGTTTTAAAGCTAGTGTTGTTGTTGATCAGAGGTATTCATGACAGAAATTTGTATCAACACTTTAACATTATCTGAAACTACTCCAGCAGAACGCTCAACTTATCTGCTAATCACGGATATGCTGATCTTTATAATATGTTCATATCTTTTCCCAAAACTTTGCTAAAAACACAACTGCCTCCAAGTTTCTAGGAGGTAAAAAGTAGTACTTGCAACAAGTGTTTTGAAATATTTGGCAACACTGAAAGCTAATCTCATACATTTCCTGGACCATGTGTACGTAGCTACAGCGTAGATATGTCAATGAAAATCTTAGGTCACAAGCTCCTCCAATGGTGCAACATAATAAAACAGACAAAATAGTTAAAATAGTGCAATTAATACAAATCAAATAGAATAAAAATAATGCAAGGTTCACCTTATTACTTCCAGTGCCTCAAATCTGTAGGGTTACCAAAACCAAATCTAAATCCGATTTCTTATTCTTCCAAATCCAAGGTGAAGGAGAGGATGAAGAAGCAGGCTGAGTTGGATGACCAGACCAGCCTCTTCCTCAGGAGAACCTACAAAATCCCCAAGTACACGAAAAGCACCGGGAAGATCAGCATCCGCGGACGACTCCTTCGCAGTTACGTCCTCCATCTCGTGGCCAAGATCGTCCTGGAGGTCTTGTTCATCCTGGGTCAGTACTTTCTCTACGGCTTCACCCTGGCGCCTCGCTACGAATGCGAGCGCTCGCCCTGCCCCCACAAAGTGGACTGTTTCCTGTCCAGACCCACGGAGAAGTCGGTCATCATCTGGTTCATGCTGGTCTCTGCGCTCGTGTCCCTGGCCCTCAGCCTGGTGGAGCTCTTCTACCTGTTTGTGAAATCCGTGAAGGAGTGCATGGCGAGGAGGCAGGACTACACCGTGACCCCCGTGACGCCCCCGCCTTCCGAGAGGAAAGCGTTTAAAACCCGTGACGAGATGATACAAAATTGCGTCAACCTGGAACTGGAGCTACAAGGGCGAAAGTTAGGGGTCAACGGGGTCAACGGGGTCAACGAGAGGAGTAAGATAATACTGCCTGAGAGCAACAGTTTGGGAGGGGAGGTGCACATCTGAAACATGAGGTTGAACGTGTCCAATTCAAAACAAATCATATCAACTCAAGATTTATTATAGCCCCAAATCACAAGAAATGCCTCAAAGGGCTGTACAAAGCAAACACAAGCAAAATACAAACGTCATAGCATACAAATTATAAAAACATTATACAACGACATAAGTATTGCTATGTGATAAAAGCATGTGACTGAAGTGATGGTAATGATGAACGGAAACTAGGTGATGGAAATTAGTTGACAAGGAAGACAGATGTGAAGAGATGGGTTTTTCAGTTTGCTTTTAAAGGAGTCAACAGAAATAGCTTCGCGGATCTGAAATGGAAGACGATTCCAAAGGAGAGGCGTTCGGAATGAAAAAGCTCTGCCACCTACGGGCGATTTGTGAATTCGGGGGATGGAAAGGAGAATGAGTTCCAGTGTTTGTGTGCTTTGGTTCTAGAGGGGAAACATATGTGTGTTTGTCTGTCTGTCTGTCTGTCTGTCTGTGTGTGTGTGTGTGTGTGTGTGTGTGTGTGTGTGTGTGTGTGTGTGTGTGGTGTGTGTGTGTGTGTGTGTGTGTGTGTGTGTGTGTGTGTGTGTGTGTGTGTGTGTGTGTGTGTGTGTGTGTGTGTGTGTGTGTGTGTGTGTGTGTGTGTGTGTGTGTGTGTGGTGGTGTGTGTGTGTGTGTGTGTGTGTGTTGTGTGTGTGTGTGTGTGTGTGTGTTGTGTGTGTGTGTGTGGTGTGTGTGTGTGTGTGTGCAGCAAATAAAGAGAGAAGCAGGGGGAGTAGCCAGCTTCTGTAAACAGGACTCTTTCACAGGCAAAATGTCACTTTTCGGGCATAATACAAAAATAGTAATCAGCAGACAGATCCATCTCTTTAGATCTGCTGATAGATTTTGAGAAGTGCTTTCTTGTAATAGTTTTTAGACAATGATGGTGTGTAATTTCGTTTTCAATAAACCTCCAATATTTGCTAATATGTGTCTGAATTTTACTATTCATTTTACAAACATTAGGTTACTAGTTGATGAATGATTTTGTATGCACTTTGTTAACCGAGTATAGCTTATTATATTTGCCTATATTCAAAAAACAAATGTGTTTATTTCAAACAATCAGCAAACTTTTTATTCCTAAAATAATTTGTTCATCAAGTATCAACAAAAAGGGCAAATAGAAAATACCTGTTATTGCTATTATTTTGAGACAGAAATGTTTAAAAAATAGCCATTTTGGGTGGAAACAAGTTCAACTCTCTGTCCAAACGTAACAAATATATTCTTCGTCAATTGTTTAACGCTGTACAAAACACAAAGGGTACAAATATCAAGACTTAGTTTTAAAGGGACTTATTTTATGTGCGCTAAACTATTTCTTGGCAAGGTGTGACTTAGAGTCTGCTTTATATGGATGTTTCTGATAAGCTAGGCTATTTAGCTTAATATTTAGCTTACAGACATTATGATGGTAGCAGCAAGCAGTAAACAAGTATTTCCATGTTATTTTATCTCATGTGCTTTATTGCTATTATTCTTACTTTTAGATAGATAGATAGATAGATAGATAGATAGATAGATAGATAGATAGATAGATAGATAGATAGATAGATAGATAGATAGATAGATAGATAGATAGATAGATAGATAGATGGATAGATAGATAGATAGATAGATAGATAGATAGATTAGATCTATAGATAGATAGATAGAATAGAATAGATAGATAGATAGATAGATAGATAGATAGATAGATAGATAGATAGAGATAGATAGATAGATAGATAGATAGATAGATAGATAGATAGATAGATAGATAGATAGATAGATAGATAGATAGATAGATAGATAGATAGATAGATAGATAGATAGATAGATAGATAGATAGATAGATAGATAGGTACTTTATTGATCTATTGATTGTAATCAAGTGAGAGTAACAAGATATGATATCATTATATCATAAAAATGTAAACGTTTCAAACCTCAAGAAGATTGTTTTTTCCACACACTTCTTAAAAGGGTTTTTCAAAATGAATAAGGGGGAATGATACTGTTAAAAAATTGCATCTGTTTGAAGGGGCACCTTTGTGTTTACCATTAGACTGTTTATTATGACAGTAGTTGCTTGTGTCTGTATTCATTGGCACTAGATGGTAGAACTGAATTATTTACAACTATACACTTATATGCAGAATATTCAAATATGAGCAGCAGTGGTTTTTATCCTTAGTGATAACTAAGTTGTTTATTTCCAAACATCCAAGGCCATTTAGCTGAGATACTGAGCACCTGTCAATTATTACACATACCGTCTTCCAACAACTTTTTTTGCCCTCGTTGGCTGACGGGAACAACGTGACATTTCTCGCCAGATGTGTGTTGTGCAACAATGTGCATCAGTCCTCATGCTGTCCTCACCCAGCTCAAAACTCCAAGGTCCAACTCTAAAGTTAACTATCTGTCCCAAACGCAGACAGTCCTCTCCGACAGGTCGCCAGGTAAGATGCAACCATTGTTCTCTGCTACAGATTTTACGCATTTTGAAAGAATATCTGAATATTTGACAAGGTTACAATCCAGGCTGGGAATGTAGAGTACCGTTGTTTATTTTCAAACAAGTAATAATAACTGTAAGAAAGTTTTAATTGTACTTTTGGCTTTTCTTTACCAGTATTCATATGACCAATGATGGCACAGGATTCATTTTCATGTTTCAGATTGTCCTTCAAGACATATGTTTAATATCTTCATTATATATAATTAGAATTAGAATATAGTTTTTTCTAATGTTAAATTAACACAGAAGAAGTGCTTATATTTTATTAGAGTTGTCTTGTTTAATTGTATTTACCATCCTAGTATGCCTTATTGGTTTGAAGCCACTGGCTCTGCTGTTTTTTCCGTTCAAAATTCTGACTAATGATTATTTTAGGAGAATATTGACCAGCTACCTCATGACTCAAGGAGCTCTGATTTCCTCTTTTTTCTCAAGAACATATTTATTTTAACGGAATTTAAAAAAGAGACAGAGCGTATTTCTTCCAGCAGCAGCGTGTTGATTGAAGTTAATATTTCAGGTCATAAGCTGTGGCGTAGGATCATTTCAAACATAATGTGGTATCAGCTCATGAGTATTTTCTTTGCTCTTTTTATCACAGATTAGTAACTGATCATCACAAAATAAAGATGGGAGACTGGGGATTCCTGTCGACTTTGCTGGACAAGGTCCAGTCCCACTCCACGGTCATCGGGAAGATCTGGATGAGCGTCCTCTTCCTGTTCAGGATCATGGTCCTGGGAGCGGGAGCTGAGAACGTTTGGGGGGACGAGCAATCGGGCTTCCTCTGCAACACTCAGCAACCTGGTTGTGAGAACGTCTGCTACGATTGGATCTTCCCCATCTCGCACATTCGCTTCTGGGTCATGCAGATCATCTTCGTCTCAACGCCAACACTGGTCTACCTGGGCCACGCCGTGCACGTCATCCACCAGGAGAAGAAAATGAGGGAGCGCATGTTGAGCCCTGGGGGGTCCCGACTGAACAAAATGCCCAAATACACGGACGAAAAGGGGAAGGTGACGATCAAGGGGAACCTTCTGGGGAGCTACCTCACGCAACTGATCGTCAAGATCATCATCGAGAGTGCCTTCATTATAGGCCAGTACTACCTGTACGGCTTCATCATGGTGCCCATGTTCCCCTGCTCCAAGAAGCCCTGCCCCTTCACCGTGGAGTGCTACATGTCCCGCCCCACGGAGAAGACCATCTTCATCATCTTCATGCTGGTGGTGGCCTGCATCTCCCTGCTGCTCAACTTCATCGAGGTGTTCTACCTGCTCTGCACCAGGATCAGGTGCGGCTCCAGGCGTCACACTCACAAGATCACCTCAGCGGAAAACCCTGCCAGCCTGTCGAGTCCAAAATGGCCGAACACAGAAGACCCACTGAGGCAGAACAAGATGAACATCGAGATGGAGAACAGCCAGAGGATGGGGGGGAGTCTGGGGGGAAGTCTGGATGGAGCCAAAGAGGAGAAACGGCTGCTGAGTGGACATTAAAAAACATTATGATGCATTAAATGCTTGTTTTTTGGTTTCTGGTTCCTTTTTCAGATACATCTAAAAGACTCAAGTACAATAGGGTGTACACATCATGACACAACAACAACAAGGAAAAGCACGTTTAATGTGTAGTTAAGAAATGTTCTTGCTGAGTAAAGTCTGCATAAATCTGTCCACCCATCTTTTGTAGGGGCGCTTTGTTAGAATTTTACATATTTTTTATTATTTAACAGGAAATCTAATGATGGAAAGTGTGCAATGTTGATGTCTTTATGCTCTTACAGTAGATACCCACTTGTTAATCTGTTAGTGAGCAGAGTTTTGTCCTTGCCTAGTTTTGAATGTGTCCTGTAAGTTATTGCCATGTATCCAAAACGAATAATTTGCTCACTGATAAACAATGATTATGATGTCGATGATTGTGGTGAAAAAGTGTTTTTCCACTGTATGGCTGAAACATGTTTATGTGCTCTGTTGTTTTTAATAAATTATTGAGGTTGGATTGAAGAAAAACTGTTTCATGACTGAATAAATGATGTTCAGATGATAGGCTTCAAACACCTTTCTTTCAAAGATGATTGACACTTTTTAGTAACACTTTTAAGCTGGAAATAATGGGTTTTATTCATTACTGATTCGTAAAACATATGTTTGAATTAACTGAGTACATTTTTAAAACCGTAAAAAGTCAGAAGATTATAAAACACCACTTCCCAGAGCCCATGGTTCAAATCATAAAGAGATATTCATTTAAATATGATATCAAATAAAACTTTTGAGAAGCTGAAACCAGTTTTGTCTTTTATTAAAAACTACATTAATGATTAATCGATAAGCAACATTTGAGTAAACCGTTAATCATTGCAGCTTTATGACAGTGTTTTTTGCTTCAGAATAGGGTGCGTTCAACAGATCGATAAGTCAACCTCTGATTCAGAGAGAGGGCGTAATAAGTTAATGTAAGGCTAAAGGCATTTACATAAGATGAACTGTGCGTCACACACTCACCTGCACTTTGCAATTCAATACAACATCTCTCCAAAGACCCTAACCCCTAACCATAACCCAAACATATGTTGGGATTACAAGATACATTTGCTCCATTTGTTAAGAATTTCTGAAAATTAAGCCGTATGAACCAAAACAATACTTCCTCTTGATGCAATCTCACCCATCAATGAATGTGACAATCCTCACGTAGTATTTATTCAGGGTTAAACTGGATTTCATAAGATTGTACAAGAGTTCATGTCATTGTGTCCTTGTCCTTAAATCCCTGAGATTGTATCTGAAACAAAATGCAGAAAAGGCATTTCTTTCCATTAACTGTAGGCGTTTTTCAAATAGCATCATTATCAGAATCTGACCCTGATAATGGTAAACAATAACCTGGAAAAGCAGTAAAAAATTCCTGAGAACATTATTTGTTTTATTGCGGTGCCAATCAATCATTAACCTTTACAATCTTGTCAGTTTTCTGCCAAAAAAAAAAAAATGGTCCACTTCTATCAATCTATCATCTCCAGATGTCACGACAACGTGTCAGCGCTCACTGTTGCGCAGTAACAATCGAACCTAAAGTTCAAGGTACCACAGACACAGCTTTGCTTGGTTCACTGGGCTCTCCGTCATTCTTCTCCACAGCTGGTGAGCGCTGTTTGTCCGCAGAGGCCTTTAAACTCAAAGGTAAGCTGGTACCATTATTTTTTCCAACACAAAATACAAGATTGAATGAGTTCAAACTTATGTTACTTTTGAATTAAACACAACAACATCTAGCAAAATGTTATATTATGATGGGTATGAGTTGTTTTTTTACATTGGCAGTGTTGAAAGCATGTTAGCAAAAGTGGGTGTGTGAGTACAGAGGAATTCATTAAACAATATATAATAATAATAATAACGAATTTTTCTAAATTCTAAATTCTAAATTTTTCTCACGATTATGAATTTTTTGCAAACAAAATTCAATGTTACCTTTGACCAATGGAGCCATGTTGTTTAATGAGGATATTCGTGTGCTTTTATTCTTGTGAACAATATCTATATCTATCAGCAATTCAAAATCACAAAAACATCTGTGGAAGATAAATTCCTATATCATGACATCTGACCTCCTATAGTAAGACAACTTGAGATAAGTTGTTGTTATGCAATGGATGTTATCGATCCTTCTTCACCATGCGAACATACTACCCTATAGATTAGGAGTTTTTACAACACGGGTTTATGTCTTCAAGCAAAAATAGACCTTGTGCTGTTGTTGATGTTTAACCTTCAAGTTAAATAATAATCAGAAAAAACAGCACCACGCCCGATGTGTTCAAAAAATATCAAAATGCTTCATCCTATACCTTTGTGGTGTGAAATGCAGACTAAAATTGAATAAAAAGGAACTGAATTAAACAAATGATGCATCTGTTCTCCAAAATATGATACTAGATTGATACCATGTACAATCTGTTTCATGATCTGCCAAATTATTTGGAAACCATTGAGCAAAATAAAATGCCATTAATTAAAAATAATGCGTGTATCACCCTGTGGTTGAAATACACTTCAACATGTAGTGTGTTTTTTTTTAACACATGCTAAACCCTTGCTCCAAGTTTCATGAGAGTCAAGACACTAGTTGTTTGTAAAAATGCTGCCAGATGACCAAATCTAACAAAAAAACATAACCTTTCTTGGCGGGTGTTCTTGGGTTACTGAGTTTCCATCGGCCTCTATCTCCGGTTCACTGAATAGATGCTTTGTAAGACTATTTAAAGTTGTAGGGTCTGCATGTAATAAGTAAACGCTGATATTAATGTGTAGGCTATATTTATATGGGTTAGGGTTAGGGTTAGGGTTAGGGTTACGTTTCTCTGTCTTTATCTGATATAGTCTTCCATTGTTAGATGCCTGCAATATCATAATCCAGGCATCAATATCATAATTCATTCTTCTGTTTGCTCTCCTCACCAGATCAGACACCATGGGAGAGTGGGGATTTCTGTCCTCTCTGCTGAATAAGGTCCAGTCCCACTCCACCGTCATCGGGAAGGTCTGGCTCACGGTGCTGTTCATCTTCAGGATCATGATACTCGGAGCCGGAGCAGAGAAGGTCTCCTTTTGTTTATCAGTACTTTACTTTTAGAAGTGTTTAACCCAACCGATGAATTACTTTTATGACACGTTAAAGGCTTTACGGTGAAATAACACTCTCTGCTGGCCACAGTATGAAAACTATATTTGGCTTAATTACAATCCTTATCAGGTTTTATAACAATACCAGGACTTGATGTAGCCTGTAGACTGTTCCATGTTCATTGGATGAGATTTGATTCAAATGTTTGATAAATAGATGAATTGTGGTATTTTCTAGGCATTATAAGCACTTTTTGATATCTTAAATTACAATGTTATACTAAAATGTTAGGTGCAATCATCTATCATCAATATATTTGTAATTGAACGGTGTATATAGCTTCTGTAACTCAATCACTTTTCTCCTTAATTGTTACTTTTTCATTACTTGACCTTATCTGAAGTTTCCAGTGGAAGTCCATAATGATGCAAATAGAGGATGATGGGAAATATGTGCAATAAATATATTAAAAAGCCTTCACATATGTCCACAAAGGTAACATAGCACTCAGAGGACTGTATACTGCTGGGTGTAGGTGGGCGGGAGGTGTGGATTTAAAAAGAAAATGCATCAAAAGTAACCTCAAGAGTGGCTGTCTGCTTGAAAGAAAGGATAAAGTGTCCTGTAAGGAGGACTCAAAAAAAGAAAACATGATACGGTGCCATAAAGGAAAACCTCTTGTGTGCTTTTGCCCCAAAAAGCATGCCTTTTTTATTTTGTATCGCTACTGACACATCCTGACTCCTCCTCTGTTGATAATAATATAAATGTATCTTCTGAATACTACAGGTGTGGGGCGATGAACAGTCCCAAATGATATGCAACACCAAACAGCCTGGTTGTAAGAACGTCTGCTACGACCACGCCTTCCCCATCTCACACATCAGATTCTGGGTCCTCCAGATCATCTTCATCTCATCACCGACGCTCATCTACCTCGGACACGTCCTGCACGTCATCCACGAAGAAAACAAGCTGAGAGAACATATGAAGACCCACTCCAGGAGCGACATCGTCAAAGTTCCCAAGTACTCTGACGACTGCGGCCATGTCCAGATTAAAGGCGACCTGCTGGGGAACTACATGACCTCCATCTTTTTCAGAATCCTTTTGGAGGTAGGGTTCATTGTTGGGCAGTATTATCTTTACGGGTTCATCATGGACCCGAGAATAGTCTGCTCCCGAGCCCCCTGCCCCTTCACCGTGGAGTGCTACATGTCTCGCCCCACAGAAAAGACCATCTTCATCATCTTCATGCTCGTAGTGTCCTGCATCTCTGTCCTGCTCAACGTAATGGAGATCTTCTACCTGGCCTGTTTACGCTCAGCCAGACGAAAGTCGAAAAAAAACAGTCGCGTATACGGCCATCGCTCTTCACCCGCGTTCAAATGGAGGCATTATGATCAAGAGTGACAAGATGAGCCTCCATGATGCCTGAATAATGCCATTTAAATAGTGTAAACAATGTACACAGTTGCATAATTACTGAGAAATGTTTTGACTGAAATTAGTCCAGTTATTTATTTATGTGATGCTTAAGAATTTCAGACACAAATTTGAACTTTTTTATGAATAAACAAATATTTTAATGTGCACAAGAATAACAGGACTACAATAAACTGTACCCCTGAAGCAACCTTTGAAAAGTGTACAGAAAGTGAGTATTTTGTTTTTGCTGTTTTTTGTACTTGACACATTTCTGCTGGTTTAAAGCCATTTGGTTTAGCTTAACGCTTTTTGTTGTTGCTCGGAAACGGTTTTAAGGGCTGTTTTTGCCATCTTGCCTTTAAGTTTCTTCAATAACGTTCAAATTGCAGGCACAACTTGTAATATTTTAGTAACAAATCAAACGTTTTTCCCTGTTTTGTATTTGAATATGATTGTATGTGCCTTGTGTTTGAGTATATTGTAAAAAGGAGTCAAACAATGTTTATTAAAATATTCTTTTGTCAAAAACTGTATCTGAGTTTTTGTCAATGATCACTGTTTTCATCCATGTGCACAAATCCTAATTTATTTTTTGGAAAACTGAAATATTTGAAATGGAAAACAAACAAAAACAACAAAGAAATCTTGAAAAACACTTTTAATACAACATTGAGAAATAAAGACAATATAGTCAGATGTAATATAAACGAATTTATTTTTTGCCAGATAGCCAGGACACCAAATATTGGAAAATGTGGCTTAAACACTGCTAGATGTGTAAATAATCCATGTCAATTTCAAAGGTGATGACATGTCAATGTTGTGTACACACCTTGTGTTGGCTGCCCCCCAGTGGCAAAACAAATCAATACTTGGATGAAAACTATTCACATGTCTCTCTTTTAGTAGTGTTTTGGCTTTTATGCAATAGATATAATAATAATAATAGATTCAGTTGGTATAGGAATTTTTATATACACTGTATATCTGCCGAATAATGCATCCACAAATTATGTAAAGTTATTTCAAAACATTTATTAATCAAAAGCGCTTATGAGGATTGAAGATTTGTTGCTATTATATTTACACTGCATTGTATGTTCTCTTCTGCAAACCTCAACATATTCTCATATTTTTGCTAAAATGCCTTGCTGCACTTTGTTTTTTGGAATACATTTAACAAATTATGCTTTTAAATAGTGTTGGGGACACAATTGGACCCTTCTGAAAGTTGTCCGGACATGTACCCAGTTTAAAGGACAACTATGCCATTAATGAAGCCCATAAATAAGATTATATAGTTCGATTTTTAGTGTGTTTTTCCCGTTTTGCCACACTCTGCGCACACGCTCTTGCTGGGAAAGACCACTAGATAGCGCCATTAAAACATCTGGTCCATCTGTGTGACGTAAACCTTACGTAAACCGACGTCCCACCCACGCAGCGACCTACGCAAACCATGGACGCAAACCAGCTTCCTCTTCCTTCTTGTAACAAAACAAAATAACAACAGCTGGAAGCAGCTAAAGATGGCCGCCATGATAGCCTCCGCCAACACGGCGGGGCTCAGCTCCCACAGGATGGAGGAGAAGAAGTTTGAATACTTTTCCTCCATCAACTCCATGGCGAGGAAGATAATGCAGGAGAGGAAGACTATCGAAGAGAAACACGGCCCTACATGGGAGAAAATGACGCATCAGGAGCAGGACAGCGCCATCGATAACGAGATGATGGATCCTCAGATCCGAGCCCGATACGCCATGCACAGAGTAGACCGTGAAGAAGTGCTCTGTTACCCCAAACTTCTCATTCAGACGGGCCAGAAGATTGTTCACTTCGGAGAGGAGGTGATTTAATAACATTTGTATTGATGTTTGATGTGTTTTAAGTGTTTTTCCAGGTCACAATAGCCAGTGTTGTCATGGTTGCTAACTAGCCACGTAGCCGTTGAAATATGCAGGTTAACGTCATAGTGGCTAATGACGTAACGTAACATAGCTACCAGATGATTGTAATCGCAACTTTAAGAAGGGATAACTATAAAATGAGGCATAAAAGTGGAACAATACTCAATGTTAGGTAGAAATACACTACCCTCACATAATACGTTGTCGAAAACAGGTTCGCCAAGAAAATATGTGTCTCTGTTTAAGGCTAACCACATAAATAATGTATGCAAGTCGTTGTTCTAAATATAGAATGAGACATTACTATATAATGAAGGAAAGCCAGTGTGTGTGTGTTGGCAATATAACTATGCAGTTGTTAGTTGTCAGCAGCCCTGTACAACCAACACATTCACTGCCAATTTCATATTATAATTTTACAGTTTTAAAGCTGCAATGTGTACAAATAATAATAACAATTGTTGTTCATGTGTTTGTTTACAGTTTACAGAACATCTTGTATATAGAAGTTATTGTGTTGTTAGTGGGTTTTTTAATAGTTTAACATCCTTGTTTGCCTTTTATAGTCCTGTCTATTATTTCTTTATTTGCCCAGCTTTGTTCCTGGCTGTCATGTCTATATTATTTAAGTAAATTGACAGCAATGCAACACAAAAATAGATTCCTTGTACGTTCACACATATTAGGTTACTAAAGATGATTCTGATTTTGTGTTTCTTAGGATATGACCTGGCAAGATGAGCATTCTGCCCCTTTCTCGTGGGAAACAAAGGTAAGAATATTTAGTTAAAGTTTGAGTCTGTCACTTGTGGCTTGTTAAAGAAATGTGGCTCAATATTAACCCTGCAACTTAATATGTTGGTCTTTATTGATTTAATTATGTAGTTTAAGTTCCTTCGAATCATGTCCAATGTATCCTTTTCAAATATCTTGTTTTGTCTGACCAATAATAACAAGAAAACTCATTTAACTCAACTAATATTAGGTTCACAATTACACAAATCTGTAAATGATCAAATACTTTTAGATATAGACACTATTTGGCATTGTAGTTTGATAGTTTACTTAAATGTTTACCCATCATAATGTTCGGCTATTAACTCGTTATTTCAAGACTTAAGGTTTGTAATAACAAGTTAATCTCTGCAGTGCATTTTCTAAATATATGTCCTTTTTACTGTCTAAAATGTGCATGTAGGGTAAGGGTTGCACTCAAGTCCTGAGATATTGTTGCTTCCATCTTTCAGAGCCAGTTGGACTTCAGCTTGACGTCTGGCCCGGCAGAACAGGGAGTCTCAGTCTCTCAGGCCGAATCAAAGCCTGCGAAGGTTCCTCATTCCAACCAGATCAGCAAGAGTACTCCAGGAACTAAGGTATGTTGAGATGAGTGTACTGTAGTTGGTTGGACAAAAAACACTTCATTCATCAAAAGGTTATATGTAGTTTAAGACTTGACTTTCAAATGCGTCGCATCCAAATCTCACAGGTAGATTATTCTTAAAAATCTTGATTTGGTCTGATTTGTCAAAGCATCTTTCACACATTGGAAGGGACAGAAACCTTAATCCTTGGCCAGGACTCTCTTGAAAAAGAGATTTTTAATTAATAAGACCTATCCTGGTTCAATAAAGGTAAAATACAAATAAAATTGATCAAACTGAGGAGGTATGGTTGGTGTTATGAAGTAGATCTCAACATCCCTCTTTACACACAAAGTAAAAAAAAAACAGCTTAGTTATTCAGGTGTTTCAATGCTAACAAAAATATTTGGAGCAACATGCCAAGGCCACGTTTACACGGAGACGAAACGGGTTGTATCCGCTACAGTTCTCTATCGGATGGACGGTTCATTCACATGAGGCCGTAACGGAACCGCGGAAACGGAGCCCTCAAACGATAACAGCTCCCAAGGTGGATAGATCTGCGGACGAAACGCTCTGGGGGGCCAAACGGCTCCGTGTGTACGTCCTATACCATCATTTCCTGATAACGATGACGCCATAGCCCCGCCTCTCCCCACCTCTGCTGCTCACCCCCGCGTCACCCGCGTCATTGCTGATGTGTTTCGCCAACAACAACAACAATGGCGGATCACAGGGTTGCGTTCGTGCTCCAGGCGCTACTGACCATGATACAGATGTTAGTGCAAAATCTACAGCTCCTCTACCACAACCATCAGCAACAAGTGGACACGGAGAACTACATGAACTACATGAACTACATGTTGCTAAATCCACCGCGGAGAATAAACAGAAGGGCAAGCAGGCAACCATGGCAACCATGCTCGATGGGTCTTCTTCGCTGCTTTTGGTGTATTTTGTGGTGGAAGTACAGCGCCACTTACAGGCCCGGCATATGTACTACAACGTCTCCAGCGGGTCGAGCGGTCTCGTGTGGACGGACACGTTTCTTGAGCCGATTCCGTGTGGACGGAAGACTTTTTTGATATCGACTAAGGTTAGTTTTCGTCTCCGTGTGAACGTGGCCTAAGTTTCAAAGTGTTTTGGTCACAAACAAACACTCCCCTCTTGATAAACCTTCACCTTGAATTCAATCACGACAATGATGCCAAGAGTATGGTATGTATGATTAATAAATACAGACGCTAAACTCTGGAATGTTTGACTCATACCCGTTATTATTGTGTGATTGTGAAGGTGACTGTCAGCGAGGCCCGGAGGCCAGAGGAGGAGTCTTCTTTCTGGAAGATCAGCGCCGAGAGGTCCAGGCTGGAGGGAGAGATGGCCGACTTCCAGTCTCTGACCCCCAGCCAGATCAAGTCCCTGGAGAAAGGAGAGAAATCCCTGCCCTCGTACCTCCGACTGGTGAGCACTGAAATGTATCTCACTCTCTGATGGCGTTTTCAATTCAATCAACAGCTGCCAAAACATGTTTGTTTTTTTACATTTGGCACAAGTACAGCATTTACAGCAAACACTGTCTGGCCTGAAGCTGAGAACTCTGGCATCTGTGCAGCCTCCACAAGTGTCGGAGAAACAGACGGTGAATGCAGCAGATTTGCAGTCAAAAACAGATCTGTAGATTGTTTCCGAAGGGTCTATTTGTTTGTGCATTGTAGTCCCTCATCAACCACCTATAGCTCACCATGCTCATACAAGTAGCTTCAATTACATTTTAGTCAAAAATACATGTTTTTCTTACCTGCAGTGCTATTTGTAAATCTAGATTGTTATGGTGTGAGTGTTGGAGGTATCATGTCAATAATTTTTTGCATGATGTTAACAGCAAAGCGGGGAATTTTTGGTCGCCGAAAACAGCATTTTCTGCTACCTTTGCATGATGTGAATTCCTTTGTCAATCATTTCATTATTAACCCTAACCCAAATACATTGTGGGTTGAACTGTCCCTTTTTTAAATGAGATGTCAACCAATACGGGACCCCTTTGTTGTGGCAATCAGTTTCAGGACAATAAAAACACATTTTTTATCTCAGGGTATCTTAACATATGTGTCGTGGCTTCCTTCCTAGTTGTTCTATCAAGCCACTAGACGCCTTAAACAGACATTTTTTACCCGTTTTCTTTCCTTTTATATTATTTACAGTTGAAGAGTTGCTTGGCCTCCGATGGTTTGGATGATGTTATACGATGCGTTTGCTCAAAATCAAATAACAAACTTTTACACATGCAACAAAGAAAAGAGGGGCTTTACAATAGTCAAAAACAAAGAGGCAAATCAAATAACAAACAACTTGGGTATTCTTTCTGATAACTTAAAGGGTAATTGGACGGTTAAAAACTGTTCCTCTTTCTAGCAGGTTGCCCGTCACTGTCACTTTAGAGGAGGCGCCGTGGGAATTGTAGTCTTTTATAGTGTGTTGACTACAGACGTCACAATGAGGTGGCCTTTCTTATAAAACAAAAATACTGGCTCTAACAATATGTATAAAATATGATATTACAGTATCAATTACAGTAAAAAATATCAACCGTAAATATGATTCTTTTTCCCCAGGAGACCTCTGTGAACACCAAGGAGCCTGAGGTAGTGGAGCCCCCCCCTCCCGCTCATACCAGGTCCACAAAGCACCGAGCCCCCAAAGCTCCGGCCCCTCAGCCCCCTGTTCCTCTTAATCTTCCTCTTCCTCTTCCTGTGGCTGTCAGCGCTACACCAGCCTCCATCTCCATCTCTCCCAACCCTCCTCCTCCTGTCAGGGTGTCGTCGTCCGTGGCCGGGTGGGAGCGCTCTCAGAGCACGCTGCCCTCCGTCGGGACCACCGTGGACGAGGTGTTCTCCTCCGGGATGATGCCCAAACCCTCCAAGCCCTCCAACCCCCCCGGCAGTGTGAGAAGAGAGCGAGAACAGAGAGAACAGAGAGAGGAAGACGGCTCCTCCGCCAGCCCCACCTTCGCCCAGGTGAGTGTTGAAACAGCAGATGGAAACGAGCTGTTAGCAAATATCTGGCTTAATTCATCTCTTCTCTTTTCTGAGATGAATGTATTTGTTTGCATGGTCCTTGTTGAAATAAATAGTGAGAGCATTGTTTTGAACTGCTTTGGATGTTGTGAGTGGAGCAATAATTGATTCAGGGTTCTTACGGTCATTAAAAACCTGGAAAATTCATGGAAATTCAAAATGCTAATTCCAGGCCCTGGAAAAGTTATGGAAAACAATATTTTTCCCAAAGTTTTGGAAAAGTCATGGAAATGTAACTAAAGTTGCATCAAATATAATTTATATTTTATCTAATCGCCAAAATAGTAATACTATAATGATAATAAATACTGTATCGTATAGTAATGAAACGTAAAATGGCATTTAACTGTTGAGGTATTTTGCTGGTGAGAGATTTTAGTTGCTTTAGCGTGTAGAAGCTAGTAAGCCTACTATTGGATTTGTTTTAGATAGGCACATGTTTCAGACCTTATTTTCCTGTTCCATGTTAAAATAAACCATTTTCAGTGGTACGCTGAGAAAGAGGAATGTTTTGGTCATGGAAAATTAGGTAAAGGTCATGGAGAAGTCATTGAAAAGTCATTGGTGAAAAAGTGCATGAACCCTGTTGATTGAGTTACAATTAGAATCCATGTTGAAACAGATGGAGCTTTCAGAGTGACGACTAGCTCAGTCACTAAAGACAGCATTTGCTTTGACGTTGTGAAATGCAGCTCTGAGTCAAAGTCACAATCCATGTCTACAAAGAAAATAAAAGGCCAACATGTATTGTGTCATAAGGAGGTGAGTGTTGACACAGAGGGAACAGTTTTGAACTACTTTGGATAGTGTGAGTGGAGCAATACTTGACGTAGAGTTAGAATTACAATCTGTGTCTCCAAAGAAAATACAAGGCCAATTCTTTATTGTGTCATTAGGGTGTTGCCAGCAATGCATCATGCTCTACAATTAAGTTCAGCATTTGTTTCGCCCTTTATCGAGCCACAGGTATCAATACATTCTAACAAGACAAGTAAATGCTAAACAGGATTAGTTAGAAAAAAGGGATGGTCGTGAGAAAGCAATTTAAAAGACGGATTGCAGCTAAATTAGTTTCAGTAAGGTGCAATGTGTAGACTAGACATGATGTCAAAATGTTCGCCAATAAATAAATTGTAGGAATATTTAACAACTTAAAAAATAATGGAAACAAGTCATTTATTTATTCCAATTGTAATTCTTGGTATCAGATACAAGAGTCAAGAAAACCTAAGAGTACAGGGTTTGTTCAAAGTGGAAAATATATTCATTATGTTTTCAAAGATTAGGAATACGCTTGAATTTGAATATACTCCTTCATTTGCAACCTGAGCTGTCGTTTCACCTACAAAATCACTCCAAAAAAGTGTAATATTTGACATGGAACCATCTTATTTGTGTGTCACCTCGCACAAATATAAACAAACCTACAATATACATCAGTCTCTCTGAATAATAGCACATTTTTCCACATTTCTTTGACATTTTGCTCAAGTTACCTTTTACTAAAAAGCTGTACGAATCCTGTTTCCCTAGTCCTTTCCTATCTCAGTTATATACTGAACGGTGTCTCTCTGTCTCTCCCTTCCCTCCTCCCTTTTCCCCTCCTCTCTCCTCCCCCCCCCCTCTCAGTACAACACAAACAACAACCTCCTGAAGACCGGATTCGACTTCCTTGACAACTGGTAAAACCACAGCTGAGTTTTTCAGCCCCCGCCTTGAATGAATCATCGCCATCATCACTCTGAAGAAGGACCACACTGCCATGACTACAGACACCCACGTCCACATCTACCAGTCTTTATCATGATCACATTATATTGTTGTGATTATCTCCAGTGGCTTGTTAAGACCATATCTCACTGCCTGTGTGCTGGTGTCTCCCCTCTCCCCCTCTCCCCCTCTCCCCCTCTCCCCCTCTCTGATTAGCTTTCAGCAGAGTAAGAAGGGGTTGTTTTCCTCTTGACTGTGCATTCACACTGAGACCACTTTGCGTTAAAGACTATACATGAGTTTGGGATATATAATAGATAATATGATGCATTTTCAATTCATTTACCCTCAAGTATTTCAATTGCAAGTTTTAAAGGAGATTGAAAGGCTAGGGGGCAAAGTAGTGTGATCATCCAATGATTTTATTGTTAGAAAAACTAACTCATTTGATGCAAAGATGCAGCCAAACACACATCAAATACATTGAAATGAAAATATATAATAACCCAAGACAAAACAAAGGGTTTCATCACAACATAACAAAGCAATAACAATGACACTACAAATAAATATGTCAATTTTGACAGTTTATCGCCATAAAAACCAAAATCAGCTTTTCCAGTTTTCTTGCAGTCGGCAAAAATGTTTTAGCCAATAAAAATCCAGTTATGGATTGGTACATTAAGTTTGGGATGTATCTGGTAACCTGTTGTAGTGTGGATGCTCAGAAACTGGGTGTTTCTCAATGTCGAGGACGCTTGCTTGGTAGCACAAGTCTTCCGAGTCACTTGCTTCAGAAGCGAGGCAAGAATACTTCCTGGCATTCGGAAAACGTAGAGTGGAACAGGCTAGCAGGTGTGCGTCATATAAGAGGCCCCGCCTTACATTTTCCGCCACAGATTTGGGGAAATTGGTCCGTGCGCAAAGCGTTGTGGGGATTTTAAGACCGCGGAGTCTACACATGTGGAGCCTCGAAATTTCTCCAACCGAAGTACGCCGGGCTCGGTAGAATTCCAAGTATGCTGGACATTGAAATAGTGGCTCTGGAGCAGCTTTACTCGACATTGAGAAACACCCCATGTGACTTGGCTGCTTCACATAGATTTAAGACGCTAAACTAGCAAGCAAAGGTGTGTTTTTGTACTGTTAGCATGTCAGATATTCATGTGAGAAAAACACGAGAACCCTCATCGTTTTTTGTTATGAAGATTATTTATACGTACTGCATATCCCCCATGAACCAATGAAGTGTTTTAGAGTTACAGTAGTGCTCAGTCCTGGCCAACATGTTGCAATTATTACCGATGTTCCCTAAGCTTCCCGGAATATGGGATGTTCGAGAGAAACGGGAAGCATCATGGATTTGTAACCATTGCATCACAGAAATAACACAGAATGTATTTACAAACTTTAACACACCTATTGAGTTAGGGGCTGGTTTTCAGCAAAAGGAGAAAGGTGTTAAAATGGGAGCAACAGATGTTCTGTATGGATTTAGCGTCTCACCCACACTTCCTCACCCCCTCGCTACCGTCACCTTTGACCTCAAACTAGTGCTGAGCAAAGCTAGTGTGCATTTGTAATAAAAATGAGGCGCACTCAGACGTCGTGTTTTAGATGAGCAGGCATGTAGTGTTTTGTACCACTTGTGTCGTAGATCTAAAATCCAGTTTACATGACTAGAGTACTATTTTACTGAATTTTATATTTATCAGCTGATTGTATCTTATGCTATACATGTCTACTGCACACGTGTATTTTGAGATTCGAAGGAAGTTAATAAAATAATAAAGTCAAACCTGTTTTTTGTGTCTTTCTGTTTTCTGCAAATATATTTTAAGAGGAGACACTAAGGTTTAAAAAAATATGTATCATCAACTTGAATCATCCAGAGTTCATTACTTGTTTTTGATTTTATGTATTTGATGATATGTTTAAAGGTGGGGTAGGTAATTTTGGAGAAACCAGCTCGAGTGCGCTAGAATTTGAAAATACACAACTGTAAAAAATCTGCCACTTCCTTACAGAGCCCCTCCTCAAACACACACGAACGCGCACATGACCAATGAGGGCACGAGAGAAGTTTGTGCACAGATGGAAGGCTGACAGGCAGGTAGGCCATCCAGTTATTTTAGCTGGGCCGGCTAAAATGATTGGTCGTGCTTTTTACAGTACTACGGCTTCCACAGATGACATTTTTTTTATGGATTTTTTGTCAAAGCACTTAAAGTGGACCTATCATGCTATATTATTCAAATATAGTGTAGGACCATACCTATATAAGGCATATTTATACTTTTTTTTTTCAAAATACCAAACAGATCATGCATTTTAGCCATGCCTCATTTTGCTCAATTTGACATGTTTTAGCTGTTTTTGCAAGGGCTGATTCAGTGAGAACAGCACCATCTACTGGCCTGGCATATGTACTACAGCGTCTCCAGCGCTTTCGAACGGCAATGGCCGTGGCTGTCTCCTCCTGATTGGTGGAGTTGGCCCAATAGCCGTAGCGCCACCATCCTGACGTCAGGACAGTGTTCAAATCTGGATCAGTTTTTATCAGATCCGTTGCAGCCCCTTTTTTAGAGATTTGGGTATGGAGGAAAATAGAGAGGGTTGTGTTTTCTGACACTTGGTGAGTTCCCTGGAACACCGGGGACACATATTCATGTATAAAAGATGTACAAAAGTGCATTTTGCATGATAGGTCCCCTTTAAGATATTCATTGCTATCGGGATGTTAAGAGCATTCCATGGAATATAACAAAAAGTGTATCTCGAGCCGGTTTCTCAAACTTACCTACCCCACCTTTAAGTTATGATGATGATTATGTAGATTATTGGTTATTCATTTTGTCTCATGTTCATGATATTAAACAGAAAAGCAGATTTTTTTTTGGGGCCAAAAACAGTATGTTATGCTACTTTTGCATGATGTTAATTCCTTTATCAATCAATTCATTACTAATACAATAAACAATATATTTAAGGAATAATATTGTAGGTTAAATGACCCAAATGAGGCCTTATCTCATCTGGGTAAATTAAGGAGGAATCTACTAATGCAAATAGAAAACGTTGATTAAAAAACGACTGTATTTTGGATGTTTTCTTTCCACAAATAAGACATGCTAAACATCATTTGACCCATAATGAATCAGTGCATTATAACAATGTTCTTGCATGTAGTGTCAAGGTCACAAACCCCTTTCCTTTGTGAAGCTGAGTGAGGTTTCCAGGTTGGTTTTCCCTCACTCAGACTTATCATATTTTCCAACGTTAATGACTGACACAGAGGGTGAAAGGAGGTCACTGCTGTGTTGTGGGGGGGGTGTGTGTGTGTGTGTGTGTGGTGTGTGTGTGTGTGGGTGTGTGTGTGTTGTGTGTGTGTGTGTGTGTGTGGTGTGTGTGTGTGTGTGTGTGGGGGTGTGTAGTGTGTGTGTGTGTTGTGTGTGTGTGTGTGTGAGCGAGAGGCGCGAGCGCGTCGCGCGCGTGCGCGCGTGCGCGCGAGCGGCGCATCGCGCGCGCGCGCTCGCGCGCGCCCGCGCGCCAGCCGCCTCGCGCGCGCGACGCGGCCCCGCTCCGCGCTCGTCGCTCGCGCTCGCGCGAGCGCCGCGACAGAGTGTTGTGGATACAGATGCAACATGGTTTGCAGATTGTTTGCATTCTTGTTGCGCTCCCTCTCAATTCCATGACATCAATTCCTCCAGCTGTAATTCCTGCCAGGACCAAAATGCCATTGAGGGAAGAAGGGGGGGAGGGGGGAGGGGCTTAAAGGAGGATGTCCAGTGCTCAGAGGAAACTTTGAACACGTTGGCCCAGTTTAAAATATCCAGAGCTCATTCCAGCGGCTCCCTCGGCACAAAGCAGCCGCTCCTCTGTGGATATGCAGGGAAGGAAGAGGGTTTCCGTGTTTCGTCCATAATGAATGAGCTGAAGGCTGCCTGAGTTTCACCGACATGAAGTGGGTCATTGAATAACTGATGAGGTTAAATTCCCCTTTGCTTTGATCAAGATCCATGAGGGTAATCGCCCTGTCCTCACCAAACTTAATTTTATACTTTGACTCTTCCCTGATATTTTCCACAAACTATGCCATGACTGATATGATTTGCTGCACTATGACTTTTTTTTAATAAAACGTTACAACTACTATACTATGATTTTTACTGACATGCTACGATATGATTTTTCTCTTACGCAATTTCGACATACTGTACTATGAATTTTTTTTCATGATATTTGTTCACATACGATACAATGATTACTATGACTTTCGTTCTGACATGTATGTACTCTTTTTGACATGCTATAATATACAAACTATACTATGAACCTTCAACGTTAAAATGTTTTCAGAAATGTTTCAAAATACTTTATTATGACACTTTTAACTTTCTATATTATAACTTTTTTTCTGAAATGTTAAACATACAATTCTATGACATTTTTGACAGTATTATAATAAATGTTTTGTTATGAATTTATTACATTACTATACTACGATTTTTTTATACTACGACATATGCTTTCCCATCAAAACTAAATGTCCGTAAACAGATCAAATGTAAGTATCTCATGTATCAGTGTTGGTTTTAAAGCTCTTAATGTTTGTGTCCATCCTCCTGCAGCACTGAGAGACCTTTGTCCCCCCCCCCCCCTCCCCTCTCTCCCCCCCCCTCCCAACTCCTCCACTCTCTGAATGGCTGCTTTGTGTCGCCTCTCACCTTTTTTGCAACAACTGTTTGAGTGAATTAAAATCATCGCACGCTATTGAACTCATAGCGGAAACCGAAACCAGACTGATGTTGTGTTACCTTACGTCTAAAGAGGCAGCTTCCTCATCAGACATGGCACTTCATTAAACTGGAAATAAATCCACACTATTTCTGACAGACACGGATTTATTTGACATTTTCCCATTTCTTTTAAAGCACTGTGCATCGAGGTCTGCAGATTGTTGGACATTGTGTCAAATGTTTTGATACTGATGAAACAGCCTGTGGTAAATGAGCAGATTATGGGAACAATCTGCAGTCCTGTTATATGTAAGATTATACAAACATAAACCCAACGCTAATTTTGTTGACATTTTTCTGTAAGCATTACTAAGGAGACACAGTTTGAGGTGATGCTTTTAAATA